GTATTTTTAAGAGCCATCCCTACTGGATGTTACCCAGAAATTGGCAAAAGACTTTGAGAGGAATTAGCGATCAAACGGTGTATAAATACTTTTGAGACACCCCGTATACGGTATGCATGTCGAATTTTCGAATATTCGGTGCTTATCGAATTTTCGAATAGTCAATTCTTATCGAATTTTCGAATATTCGGTGCTCAACGAATATTCGAATATTTGATGGACACCGAATGATCGAATGAATGACCCTCGAATATTCGACTATCGAATAATATTCGAAAGTTAAGATTTTCGGATATTCGACTTTCGAATAATATTCGAAAATGAAGATTTTCGAATATTCGATTATCGAATATATTCGAAAACTGAAAATCTCGAATATTCGACTTTCGAATTTTATTCGAAATCTCAGATTTTCGAATATTCGACTTTTCGAATCATTCGCATTCGAATGATTTATTCGAATGATCGAATAATTATTCGATTCGGTCCCAAGTATACACACGAAGGACGGTCTTCGACGGACCAACTTTATCAGTAATAATAAAACCTTTTCTAGCGTAACAAACTGCTGAAGTGTGTGTTATCAAATACTCAGATAATCGCCGGGGACAGGCGGTCGGCAAACTCGCTCTTTTCTGCAAGCGGTCAGCAGAATTTTGGGCGTAGCCAAACCTTCAGCAAGCGGTACTTCCGTGTTATGCCAGCGGGCAGCACTACAAATTTTTATGCAGACGCTCGTCAAATAATCTTTTTTTAGCGAGCGCGGGCAGACGCTCGTCAAATAATCTTTTTTTAGCGAGCGCGGGCCAAACTTTCAGCAGGCGCTCGCTCTTTTTACGCTGTTTCGGGCGTACACCGATCAGAGGGAACACTCTACATCGGCTTCCCGATTGCCTCGAGGGCGGACTTGGGCGAGCGTATCAGCGATGCGGTTGCCCTGTGTTGAAACATAGCTATTAAATTGATTATCGGTTGACCATCGTGACCACCCTCGCAGCATTAGGGAGCCGATGGTGCATATCAGAGGTACCATCGATGGTTTAATTACTCAGGTTTGGGGTACTTTCTCTCAGCGGAACGTACTCACGGGCTGTGCGGTCCTTCACAGAGGGTGCGGCCCTCAATAATTTTGCATATTCTCGCACAAGAATGCGGCCACCGCACCGCAACTAATCTATAGAAAAATCGCGTTTGTTCTCGGAGCATTTGTCTAAAAAATGGCCAATGTGGCGGAATAGCACCTTTGGAATAAGAAGCTCCGCTGTGGTATTAGACGTAAGCTTAGAGCTTTATTGAGTCAGACGACCTGCATGGGTGCAGTAGTAGAATGCTGCATATAATGGGCGTGACAAGGTAGTATACATGCATCTGGGCTATGGAGATACTCAATCACAGCAGGTCATGCTTATGGCACGACCTGTACGGTACTTAGCAGTGAGTAAAGTGATACGGCAAAGAAGGGTGCCGACATTGTCGGCACACTGCCACCGACGGAAAGCGAATGGACAGCGAGGAACATGATGAAAATATAACGACTGATTGTTAGGAAAAGTAATCTACGAAAAGTGTGAAAGAGGTGCCGAATGTACCGGCACACTGCGGCCGGCCGGGTATGAAAAGAAAAGGCGAGGCAACATATAGAGACATGTAAAATAATTTACTCCTGCTCGCAAATTCTTCTTTTTGTCTGGGTAGAGTAGTGGTCGTTGGTGAGCGGCGCATATCGCTTCGACTGTGTTGATATCCGCGAAGCATGAGTGGATGTAGCGACGGCAGGAGGCAGACGGTTGGAGAAAGCAGGTTTCAGTAGAAATGTTGAAGTTAGTACATCGATTATGGCACATGCAGTTGAGTCTCGAAACGTTTACACTTTGAATACTCGTAGTTGAATTTGAAGGCATTGACTTTCCATCTTCGGTATCGGCTCTCTCTACCTTTGTGGTAGCCGTAGGCAACATGACCTGCAAAGATACCTCACATGCAGATAGGACCTTGTTTGTATTGCATCGATCAATCCTATCGTATTGCTTATCATTTTCCTTTTCTGGATCTGCTTTCTCCAGCTTGATGTCTTGCGATAATTCCGCTTCTGTTGTAGCGATTTGATCATTTCCTTTGAGACTTAAAATGATTGTTATGCTAGAATCTTGCTTTAGTTTATCGACAGCTGATGGTGGGCTGTCCACAGCAATGATTCTTCTAGTGTGTGAGGTCCCAATATGAGTATCTTCTTTGTTTGCTGGTTTCGTAGAAGTATGCTCGGGTCTACTGTTGTTCCGCAATGAATTGAACGATTTTCTGCGTTCCAGTCTAGATAGTTCTATCTCGCATTCCAGTACTCGATCATGCAGCTTGTTAACGAACACTTCGGCATCGAACATAGTTTGAAAGTACCTGATTTCTTCTTCAAGCGCGTCAAGCTCCTTTACCATAACCTTCCTCATCATTTTCGTTTGTTTCAAATACAGCTGCTCCAGTAGATCGATTTCCGTTTGTAATGACTGTGAATTCTCTTCGACTTCCTTGATAATCCTTGTCGATACACGCAGATTGTAGGCGCAAAATTTTCGTCGCAGTTCGTCATCCTCTGGAAGTGCGGTTTTCTCACCTTGGCATGCATACTCTTGCAGTACTTTCGTGAGTTCTTTGGTGTGCCATCTAATTTCTTCTACGTAGTGGCGAGGAATCAGCATCATTGTGTAGTGATCCTTTTCGTGCTGCTATTAGAGCGAAGCACTGTGTCGGCCTTCGTGTTTGGCCGATGCACCATAAATGTGGCGGAATAGCACCTTTGGAATAAGAAGCTCCGCTGTGGTATTAGACGTAAGCTTAGAGCTTTATTGAGTCAGACGACCTGCATGGGTGCAGTAGTAGAATGCTGCATATAATGGGCGTGACAAGGTAGTATACATGCATCTGGGCTATGGAGATACTCAATCACAGCAGGTCATGCTTATGGCACGACCTGTACGGTACTTAGCAGTGAGTAAAGTGATACGGCAAAGAAGGGTGCCGACATTGTCGGCACAGCCAACATTCTTCCAAATTTCTGCAAGCGGACCGCAAGAAACCAGTGAACTATTTTTCCGGTGCCCGCTTGCCTAAAAATCGCATGGCAGCCTGCCCCGGCGATTGCCTGAGTAGTACATATCCAAACGAAGCAGGAAGCAAGGAGAAATCACAGGAACTGGGCAATCTCAAGTCGTCGAGTAGAGCGCATGTTGTGCACTACGCACACAGAATTATAAATTCGACTATTCTCAGGACATTTCTTATGCCTTCAACTGCTAATCGGGCGTGAAAAAAAAGGATCTCAGACTACATCCGCGAACGCTTTGAAGCGGCCTGAGCGAGGTGGTCTTCAAAGGCACCGTCTACTATACTTTGCAATACTCGAAATTCTTGTCGAATAATCGAGTAGTCAAATATATCCGAAACTCAAAAAGATCGAATAATCGGATTTCGAATATTTTTGAAAACAAAAATGTCGTATATCCGAATAACGAATATCTTGGAAATGAAAAAATTTCGATTAATCGAATATATTCGAGGAAAAAATCCGAATGAAGAATACTTTGCATCAATCATATCAATTACTCAAACACATTTTGCTCGCATTGGCACAGCGAGGGCTCCATGTAGTGAGCAACTCAAGCAACAAACGACATTTGCTGATATTGCAAACAAAAATGTGACGCTGTCATATAATTATTTGATTACACGAATAATCGAGTAACTACATACAGCGAATTGTCGAATAATCGAATAACTATTGAAAGTAGATACTCGTATGTTCGATACATTCGAAGATCACAAATTTCGAGTAACCAAATGATCGAATGAATTCAAAGTTAAATCTTGTCTTGAATAAGTGAATATCGAATATATTCGGAATTTTGAAGTTTTCGAAAAATCGGGTTTTGAATAAATTTTATTCGATTATTTTAATCGAGAATAACTATTCAATTCGGTCCAAAGTATACCGTCTACCTAAATTTCGACTTTCATGTTCCTGTCGCTTTCAGGCCTACTGAAAGCCCTGATTTCGAGTACGGAGTCGGAAATCCGCGAAACTCCAAAATCCCCGTTTTGGAAAACCCGCCGCAACAAACGCGGGCCAGGAAAAACCTGCAAAGTGGGCGGGAACTACCTGGGTGTAGTAAGCACCTTCAAATACGTCGCCTTCGGTGCGGAATTCTCGCGCCGGAAGCAGTCTTTTGCGGCGCAGTTTGCCTAGTGTGGTTTACCACACTAGTACCCATCATAATCTCGTCAACCCCCACTTTAGGTATAGGATGTATCAACCAGCCGGTCCCGCGCTATTATGCCTTGCGAGGACGCACCGTCGCATGCGACGTGCTTCAACGCGTAGCAGAGTTCGCACGCGTCACACCGCACTGTCGCGAGTTGCCGAAGGCGCGATGTCGTGTAACCGATGCTGGTTGGTACAGCCTATAGACGATGTCTTGAAACCAAGCCGCTGGAGCTGTTGACGCACTCACTTCTACAGTTTACAGATGTATAGAAACCGGCCTACAAATAGTACAGAAGCAGCCAGAACAGCGGAGCACAGATGTAGTAGACATAATATTTATAAGTGTACAAAAATGTATCAATAATTTGCTTCCAAAAAGATGCGGAAAAGTATGTTCTATCAAGATGACGATATAAATATTAAAGTGGAAACATCAATGAAGAACGTGCATAACTGTAACAAAGGCAATGAGCAACACCCACAATTTCTTAGCAAAATTCACCACCTTGTGTTCAGAGAAATTCTGAAGGATGTCGCATCGGTAGTGGGATAATCTTCATCAACCATGGAAAATGGAGATTAGTATTAGTCAGCGATAAGATGAAAATTTAATGAATAAATCAACATCGCACCACATATGTCCCAATTCTTCTAATTTTTTACGTCTAAAAAAATGATGAACATTGGTAATAAATAAGAAATGCTTAAGAGTACGAAAACCAACAAGTCCTATCTGTTTATGAACCTATAGCGCTGAACTGCCTTCCCTGCTCGACGAGTTCAACATCCTCGTATTTCCATCGCCAATGATTACGTTTCCTTGATCTTCAGTTGTGGGCGGCTGTTCAAAATGTTCCCCATAGTCCGCGATGTGTTCATACTCAGCCTCGTCCATCACCACCTCGCCCTCATTATAGTGCATCGTTTCGTCAATTACCACGTCTTCACCGTACTGCTGCTGCACATTCTGTCGCTCACCAGCACCATAAGTATGCATAAGAGTTCCTTCGTAAGCTTCAACTTCTTGATTTCCATCTCGAAACTCCCGCTGATCGACTCGGGAATAGGACGGTCCGGCGACACCTTCCATATGACCATCGTAATCGTCTTCGAGCACTACTTCTTGTGATTCACCACCTTCGTCTATTATTTCGGCATCATACACTTCTTCGACGCCTTGCGAATATGGATGTAAACCGGCTGCGACAATGTCGTCCAATAAGAACAATGAACCATCCTCAGCCTGAAAAAAAAATAGGGTGCAAAAAAGGGAACAGGGAACCTAAACTAAAACAACGAAAAAGGTTTGCAATGGTCTTCCCAATGAATGTACTTGTATTGAAAATCGTTGATTAAACTCCTTGGAAATATTAGGTTGGCTCGAAAGTTTTTGCGTAATTCAAACAAAATTCAATAACTTTTCAATGACTAAACCTAAATTCACAATCTTGATCTCTAAAAATATTAGAAGGCTTGCGCTTCATGACGGATGTTTAAACATAAGATTCCGTGAGCTGGACATCAAGAACAAAGCTCTCGAATATGGGGCTTCAAAATTTGCAATTCTGAGTTTGGTGCCAGAAAATCGCGGTGCCGCTAGCTATCCGAAAAAAATCTGTAAAAATTACTTACTCTGTAGAAGTCCATAAGTTACTTTGGAAGGCTTTGATCTTGCACGGTGAAGCAAAAACAAAAAATTCGTGAAATATTCATTTTGCGAGATTAAAGCCTGCTAAAATAACGTATGGACTTCTGCAGTGTGAGTAATGTTTACAGATTTTTTTCGGCTAGCTAGCGGCACTCTGCGATTTTCTGGCACCAAACTCAAAATTGCAAATTTTGAAGTCCCATATTTGAGAGCTTCGTTCTCGGGGGCTAGCTCATGAAATCTTGCGCTTAAACATCCATCATGGAGCGCAGACCTTCTAATATTTTTGAAGAACAGATTGTGAATTTAGGTTTAGTCATTGAAAAGTTATTGAATTTTGTTTGAATTACGCAAGAACTTTCGAGCCAACCTAATATTTTTAAAAATTTGCGAAAAGATAAAAATGGAGATAACGCCTATTGCCATACGAAAATGCAAAAGCAGTATTAACTGAACGGGCGCGACGCGAGTTTCTTCACCGTTGTAAACCCTGCACCGAGTGCTCTACGGCTAATAAAACATTGTTCGCGCCCCAGGGTTTTGAGCATTCATTGGGGATCAGCATATATGTGTAACATCAATAAAAACACCAAACTTCATTTGTCTAATATGAAAAAAACTCGAAAATATCAATTACATAGCCGATGTATTTGGATATTTACTAGCATATGCGAGTATGAATATTGATGCCACTGATCTGCTGAGTCTATGGGAGAGATCCCTGGCGCAATTTTTCAGTTGTGAGATGTGTCCAGTTTCGAGGAAAAATTTGCGAAATTCATATTTTATTTTTTGTACATCTTTCTCCTAACGAAAAATATCCTCAAAGACTGGATTGGAAAGAAAGTAAATCATATATGAACGATATTAGGCAATCAAGACCTGGAAAAAACACTGACCTGGCCTAGATATTGCTGCTGAATAGTACCATCTTCAAGAGCTGTAGTACGTTGTATGATCTCATTTCCATCGGCATCAACAAATAGAACATCGCCAAGCATGACCGTATTTTCCGTCGCTGAGCCATCCGCATGAGCTTCTTCGTAAAACACCTCGTTAGCCTTAACACACGTGGTACGGAGCGTTTCGATATAACGAGTCATTCAAACAAATATTACCTCCAGCTGATCCTTCGCCACTTCTCTGACGCTGCTATTACCATTCTCTTTCACATATTGAGTACGTTGAGCGTTCGAATTTACCTAAAAGCTCAATAATATGCGCGTGGCTTCATAGGTAAGATTGTGAAGAGCATAGTCAAATGATCCCTTGATTGCAAAAAGTCATAATGTGATATCTTTGTTCATGCGCCTCATAAACGCCAGAATATGGCGAGCTAGAAGAAGATATATCTAATCGAAAGTTGGAAGAAGTAAAAGTGATAAGATTAGAGATTTTCATATGCAGTAGAAAAATTTTCAATAATTCACACAAAAGCTGGGACTATGAGTTCGCAGGAATGCAGCGTATCGAGTTTGAGGCACAATTAATCATGAAGATCAAATTCGCGCTCGAAGAGCCAAAAAGTCTAGAATTTCCCAGGATCTGTTTAGTGCGAAACTTTTTAGGATGAGAGAGAATGTGGAACTATTTCCACTATGCTCTTGGCCACATCCATGCGCGAATGAGTCCGACCATATTCAAACAAGAAAGAAGAAACCAATTTTTCGACATAATTAACGCCAAAGCACGTCTATCGAGAAACCACATTGAAAACAAACAGAATGCATCTTCAGGATGTGGTAGATTAAAGGCAGTGTCCGGGCAAAAACTCGATTTTGAGATTTTGTGCTTATACGGGCCTATTCGCCATGCTGAATCCGAAAATCCACATTGGAAAGCGCGAAAACGGCGGAAAAGGGCTCTAATATAGGAGGGAAATCAGCAAGTGGGCGGGGCTTTCCCCAGTGCAACTTCACGCTCCCAGCTCCCGGAGCAATTTTCTCGATTCCGCTAACCGTTCTAACATCGCTACTGGCCAAGTGCGAATGATTGACTTGAAACCGGAAGCGAGAAGGTCGCTCAGGAAGCCGGGAACGTGAATTCGCAGTGGGGAGGACCCCGCCCACCTGCTCATTTCCTTCCTGTGTTAGAGCCGTTTTTCGCCATTTTCGCGCACTACAATGTGCATTTTCGGATTCAGCATAGCGAATTGGCACAAGTAAGCACAAAATCTCAAAATCGAGTTTTTGCCCGGACACTGCCTTTAAATTCGTTGCAACCAGATGGGTACTTACAGCTGTTTTAGCGGGTGCCGCTGCGTCGGGATTGGGTGTGACACGAACAAGGTGCTTCTGGGGTTTCCCGTCAGCATCCAGATGATTCTGTGATTAACGGTATGGGATAAGCGCAAGTCAGAACAAAACTAAACGTACATAGTCAAAACTCAGTTCAAATACAACTTCTCGTCCAGGTTTCACATCTGTAGCAGTACTACCGGCGTCATCCTAAAATGACTCGTGCAAAAGTTGACTTGTCTAAAACATCAGGCATACATCAAGCGATTTCATAGCCAGTCTCCTGACGTGACAGCTATTGCGAGCCCACTGCATGCCGATTACACGCATTTCAATCAAGATAGTTGATCGCGTTTAGTTGCGTCATACTATCACAACCGAAATGCAGGATGATCAATATACAATGGACTCGTATCAATTGTCCTGCTGGGGGAATCGCGACGCGATAGAATTGCGTAATGTATGCAGAGCACTCAACAATTTCAATAGTTCACTACTTGACAGTGATACATGGTTAAGCATAATTGAAGTGTATATCGTGTAGACTGTTCATACTCTACATACCTGAGGCTGCTGTACATCTTGCTGATTTTCGTTTCGAGAACTATTCGGCGCTCTTCTCAAATTCTCCTTTACTATATGGTCACCTTCTCCTTCTCCCACCAGCACATACTCTGTTGCATCACCAGAATCACCATACACAGTTTGTACCTGAAAAGAAACAAATATTCCTGTAGGGAGTTTTAAGCAAAAAAAAGACGTTTTTCGAAACTCCGTTTTCGAAACGCAGACAAAAGCCGCTCAATATCTAGTATTAACCTTCTCATAACTCTCTGGATATTGAGGCTTTAGCCGTGCAACCATGTCGGGATTGTTACTTGCAGGTGGATGTGTTTCTCGTCGTCTTCGCGGTATATTCGGATCGTCATCCAACCGTAAAGCTGTGCCTGTTTTTCGGTACCGCCGTAACTGCAAGCGAAAGAAAAGAAAATTATGGCAAACATAATCAACAGTTCTATAAAGTTTGAATGGTAGAAAGGACCGACGCTACCCACCGGCTCTCCGTTGAACTCCGGCATTATCTCAGGATGTCTTGATTTCAGATGTCGTATACCACGGCATACATTGTAAGGCTTGTGGAGTTGGTAAGTCAAGTGACATATTAAGCATTCCAACATCATTGGATGTACGAATTCCATGCATCCATCACTAATTCTATCCAAACGCGCCTGTAGAAGATTCTTAGTATAGAGCAAGTGCATATGTATGATAAAGACCTACCCTCACAACTTCAAATTGAAGACTATCCGAATCTTGAGGGTGTTTCAATTTGAAATGCCGAATGGCACCTAAACGACGCTTAGTGACTAGATGTATTTTTTAAGTGAATACAGCACGAGAAAATTTCTGAGAAACTCATACATGCAGAGATCACGGCTCCGTACAAGTCAGCATCGCAGAGTTTGCACTTCCAATGAGACTCATTGATTACTTTAACGTATTCGGAATTGGTGGGCGGAGCTTGCCTAAAACCGAGTATAGATCTTTGACGGGAGAGGTGGCTTTGCTCCCCAAAGCTTGCATGTTCTTCCTTACCGATATATGGGCTGAACCATGCTTCTCTTTGGTTTATTGTGTTTGCCGAACACCATACGACTATTGGTCTGGAAACAGTTCATGAAGATTCCAATTCAGATCATCCTCGCACGAAAGCAATTGATCCACATAAACCTACATGCGTTCTCCTCAACGGCTGCGGTTCGCCTTCATCAAGATCATCCATAGAATCGTCTTCACCTGGTATGGCAGTAGTCTGTACAACCACAGAATCTCCTTCGAAAACCCGTCGCTCTACTGTTATTGCAGACCTTTTTCTCTTTCCATTCAATAGATCAAGATACTTCTCGATGGCCTAAAATTTTCAGAATAGAATTCGATGTTTTCGACAACATCGAACTTACAGCGTCCATCAAGGATTCGGAAGTGTATAACTTATTAAGTTTTCCGACTTTTATATGGAACTCATCCTTTAGAACAATTTCAAAATCAGATCCAAACTTTTCTATGACGCGAGCGTTGATGACCAACTCCTGCATTCAGAAGTAAAAGTGCTATACATCGGTCACCGTAAGGTTGATTACCTGGATACAAAGTAAGCATTTCGGAACTTCAACTTCACCCGGATGGCAATCTGTGAAGTGCACTGCTATAGTGGTGGCATCGATGAACATTCCGCACCAGATACATTGCAGATTGTCAGGTTGAGTATGAGATAAATCAATGACGGCGAAATCCTAAGAAATACGATAAACACTTTCGAAAAAAACTTCGAAGACACAGGAAGCAAATTTAGATAGCTAACCTGTTTTGATAAGGGCTTACCAACGCCCGGTCTCTGAACCCTCTTTGGCCATTGCCCAGCACACTGATGATTGGTCGGATGCCAAGCGTTGAAGTGACGAACCACATGTACAATCTACAACTAGCTAGCTAGATGCAAAAAAGAAATCCAGTCACTCAGTTGGACTCACCTCAAACTTCCTATTGATAGAGATAACAGAGTTGCAATGTCCGCATTTGACGTGCTCTTTGTCGACAAGAGAAACATTTACCTAAAAGATGCTAGACTAAATCACTGGAGTAAGTTCAGCAAATTTACAAGCTGCGTGATGGTGTAGATGAGTAGAACAGCAATTTTGCAATGACCTGGCTCAAACGTAGATGACTATACCACTGACTAGTTGAGCAATGAACTCAGAAAAGTCTAGGGGTAATGACTTTGTTACTCGAATATTTAAGAAGGTGATTGATTTCAGGAAGGTAAATGCCACCTTTTTTAAATAAGAAAATCGACTACAACAGATTTCAGTATCAAAAGACTTTCCACAATTCTTAATTAGCGGTGTAATGAAGGCAGGCGTCAAGGTTAAGCAGCATTAACAACAGCATCATTCGAAATGATGCACAAGCAGCCAGTGAAGAGTGTTCACCAGATCACTGCAGATTTAAATGGAATCGTAATTGTCAAAGACAAGAACTCTATATAGCAAATGATCTGATGAAATGATAAGCAAATGATCTGCCATAAAGATGCAGCGAAATTTGAACAGATATGCCTCAGAAGTCAAGCGACAAGTTGTGGATGCGCCAAGCCTTTGAAGGGAAGACAGACTGATTTGGAGCTGTAAACGTTAAACCCTATAGCATGCAGAAAAGCGAAAGAATTGTTGAAAAAATGTGAGCAATTGAAAAATACTTGAATGAGAAGAAAACGAACTCTTCTGCCCATCTTTTCCAATAACTTCTTCCTCAATGCCACTTCCAGCTGTGCCATATTCATCTCTGATGGATTGATACGAATCTGGCTGACTTTGCGTGGTGTTTTACGAAACATTGACTGCTTCGCAAACCTTGACAAAAGCAGACCAGCATAAGCGAGGTAGTAAATAGTCAGAAGCAAAAACCGACTTGAATCCATTTTGTATATTCTTCCTGTCAGTCTCTAGTTTCGATTTCAAATAGTCGACATATGACATGTCACCAATCATCATGTCGGGCTCCATCATCTGCAGAGCTCTTTCGAAAAAGCACAATAATGATAAGAACGCACTCACCTCAGGATGAATCCTCGCAAGATGATCAGTGAAGAGTGTAGTATAAACTACAACTTCCCCACAAAGGCCACATACAACGTTCTTTTCGTCAAGGAAATTGAACTCGATGTCACATATATCAATTGCAGCATAAGAGTCTTCGGGAGTCATGTCAACTATTTCGCCATTGGCATTCACTAATGCTTCCGACCCTGTAAATTCAAGGTCCGATAGCCTGCGGCTGTGATAGTATCTAGCGTATGAAAATTTAAACATTAAAAAGCGAATTTACCAACCATCGTCCATCACTGCTAGCTGCACTTCTTGTTCAGTACCATTTGGTGTATGAACTCGGTAAATTTCGCCAACCACATAATGTACCTCAAATCAATCAATCGAATTCGCGATGCCCATACCAATACTGAGCATAACTCACAGGCTTCGGCGTTCCTTTATTCACTACACCATCAGCCATGAGTGTGGGAGGCATGTCCACTCCTGGTTTGAAGTCACAAGTTGGTGCACCAATTATCGGTCCATCCAAAACGGGTGGTTCCATTTCACTACCAGGATTCTCATCGAAATTGTTTTCGCTACTTGTCTCAAGACTAGTAGGCTGTTCAGAAACGGTCTCCTTCTTCATAGCAGCTAATTTAACAGCTGAGGAAGTGCCTCGAGCCTGCGTAGTGACAGCCGGAGGCGCATCTAGTACGGCAACCTGAGAATTCTCCCTATTTAAAGTGGCTTCCAATTTGCTAGGCTTATCCTCCACTAAGTCAAGGACTTGCTGGTCGATAAAAGCAGTGGAATGCTCCACATTCTGCGGCTGCTGCGGAACTGACAAAACGCTGACCTCAACAGAGGCTTCAGTAACTCTCCGCCCGGTGAACTTCGCCGTGACAAACACTTCACTGATAGTATCTCCAGAATCAAACGGCTGAATATCCACAAGATCATTCTCCATGTCATACTCAACGATAGCATCGTTGCCAAATTCAACATTCCGATCAAGAAGTTTCCCATCGCTGGTGCTGGCCTGAATCTAAAGCCTTCTTTTTTTTTGCAGGTACTTGCTAGAAAAGCAATGAAAGTGCGACAAATCTCAGGAATAAACAGCGAAATTCACAATAATTCCGTGTCGCTTTACACATACAAGTTAACCGTATAGCATCACACCCTAATAGTGTTAAAACTAAGCTTTGCCTTATGCAGTCCACTTATCCGACACAAGAACAGAATGTCTTCAAGAAATCATCACTGAAGATGATGTAACGATAAGAACAAAAGAAAACCGCAACAACATTCCATACGTTATTTTCCAATCGCCTGCTATTTTTGTATATGACACATTTTCGAGTAAAATACTCATGACAAAATAATATGCAGATAAAAAGTGAAAACGAACCGATGACCGCGGCGTACCACCTCCGGGCCGATCTCCTGTAAGATGAGCTTTGAATGATAAAACATACAGTTGCAAAATAGCAGAGCAATCAACGAACCCGCCGACTTGTTCGAAAAACCAGGAATTGCAGGATCCTTTACATCGTTGTCCTGGAAAAGAATTGTCAGAAACGCAACATTTGAGACAGCGACCATAGAACATACCGTAGCTGTACTAGGTCTTTTCACGCGTGGTCGGCGTTTAGGACTGACTGGTGTGGGACTTAACGCTCGCTTCGGCCTCGGTTCTCTCGCCGATCGTCGCAATCCTGATGCAGATGGGGCATTCGACTCCGCGTTTCTGAAGCGTAATCAGTGAGTTTTGGAGCTACAATTGAGATAAAAAATTTCTTTACAGAGATAAGGTAAAATAATGAGTTGCCCCTTTCTTTTGCGTGCTCAGTCACTGCACTATCCGATGAGAAAAGATGAAAGTGCTATTATTGAAGAAAAGGATACGGTGTTTGTATTTGCGATATCGCCCTTGAATGAGGAAGGAGAAAAGATGCGTTAGTCAAGTTAGTCAATGGGTGTAAACATAACTTTCCACTATAAATAATTCCTCCACCAGTCACTGTAAAGCTAAACTTTTCAAAATAGTGCCACAAAAGAATGTGTTTATTGCTGGACTTCTACGCTTCCAAGTCAGTAAGTGGGGCAAAAACACGGATATCAAACCATGATCATATCAACAGAACCATAATTTTTACTGTTAAGCAACCTACTCAGAATCACCATCGTTGGATCTTGCTGGTGATTGACCTGGAAGTTCAACGACGCCGGGCCTTCTTCTGAAGCGGCTGAACAAAAAAGACTATGACAGTTCATGGCAGTACCACTATGATAGCTACCTGACAGGCAAATTTTCCTCTTTTACTTTTCCGGGCAACTCCTCTTGCTTGACTAATGCATCAGCACTTATCCCACTTCGTGTGATCCTTCGTGCATCTCTGAGTGAAAAAGTAACAGCCTTAACGATTCGAATGAAGTATTCAAACTAAGTTGCGAGATAAAACCATTTAAAATTTCCAGTAAAAACACTTTTGGACACCACGCAAAATCCCCACGGGCTTGCGAGAAAAAACTGTCGATTTTTTCCAACTCAATAATCGAACAGCAGCACTAGTAGTAGCAATGTTTAATTGAAAAGTCAAAAAAGCTACTGTTTTTCCACCTTGTCTTCAACTTTCAACTGCGCACTGACCTTGTTTTGCTTTCAGCGTCCGCTGCGACTGCCTTCGAATCGATAACTTCAGATTCCGAAGAAGTTGAGGGCTGTGAGGTTCTGCAAAACGACAGACAAAAGTGCTGTATGGCTATCTACCAATAGCTCGAAGCAAGAGAAAAGAATAAAGGAATCTGGTGCTACAACTGTACATAGTTTCAGGACCCACAAAGCGGGACCGAGAAGGAAAACATAACAGCGTCTCACCTCACTGTCTTTCGTGACAATCCACTTCTTGTGTCTCGCATGAGACGTGCTTCACTTGATTTCCCTATCTAAACTTGAAATTTAAGAGATATTTAGGAAATGATAGCCAGCTTGGGTGCCTTTCCGAGGGATGACGAAATCCCAATACCAGGAATTCAATGTTGCCAAACAGTCATGAGCAATGCTCACTCATGTATACGCACTAATAAGAAACAACAGTTCATTAAAAAGGCTGAATTCTTTGATAAAATGCTAATTTCACAGAGAGATATTTCGAAAGATGGGTGTCGTGCGACGAAATCCTGATTGATCGCGGGTCACGCAAAGCACGCGCTGTGTCGGCGCGGCGTTTAAAAGTGGAGCGCGCATTTCTTTTTCTTATTTCTGTTCTCGAATATTATAAAATCGTCTGTTATCATCTATCTTGGTACATGGTCGCCCTTTCATCTTTGTCAAACCGTTCCATATATTGTTTCTCCATTACAAAATGGAGTAGTTTGCTGTTATTTGGTGACTCAAACTTCACCTCTCCCAACATTGTGACTACCTTGAGATGAAAATATTTCTACAAAGTGGGGACTTTGACTGGCAGCAATACCATATCAGGAATTCTTAGTAGCTAACGCCTGAGCTGAGTTTATGTTGAAAGGAGAGGAGATGAACATAAGAAGTTTATGTTAAAAACACGCTCATAATTTCTTTTACATTCACTAGACATATTGCTTGCATACTGCACAGCACCATGATGAATTGAGGATTATGTCATGGTTCGTACTCGAATGAGTAAGTCGCTTGCGTTTCCAAAGCTCGAAAAATCACTTCACATCTGCCTCGTAACCAGTAGCTAATTTCTTTTACATCAGAATGAGTGGTACGATTGCGTTCCTTGCCCTCGTCTCAAAAAGGCGAAGTGAGGGGCTGTACGAAAATATACAGGGCGTCCCAAAAGTATGTATACACTGTTTAATCGTCAATATCTCTCTTCCCGAGAAGTCTTCTGCCAACCTTCAGGTACCTTTCTATAGAACTGGCTTCAACCTAGAATCATAGTATGGAGCGAGTCACCGATCGCTCTTCATTACTGTAGGATTACAGTAGAAACTTCAATAAGGGTTGTGAGATTAAAGGCACCGTCCATCCAGATTCTCGACTTCCATGTTTTGATAGTTCCAGGGGGCTTCTCATGTCCCTGATTCCAAATATGAAGTCGAGAATCCGCGAAAACCCCGACAATCCCCATTCCGGAGAATCCATAGGCGGGCATTCCAGAACGGTGATTGGATGAGCGCGCATAAATGGGCGGGCATGGATGGAGAGGGGAGGGCATGGATGGGGGTCCTCGTGCATCTTCGCTAGTCCGAAGCGATTTTCTCGCTTCTGAAGCGACATATTGAGAAGCGACTTGGGCATTGGCTTGATAGGAGGCCCTACTGTTAGATGCTGTTAAAAGCTCAACACCGGTGGACGGTGCCTTCAAAGGCCCTTTTCCACCTCAGAAAGGAAACCAAACAACCAGAAACTTTTATACTAGTCAAGTCAAGCCGCTTAAACCAAGTATGATGTTCGCACTTTACCGCAATGCTTCCTTTATAAGTTACTAGCTGGCTTGCCCGGCTCCGCCGGGCCTGCCAGCTAGACCCGTGTACGTATGTTCCGAATAGAATTGGGACCGAACTTTGCACACATACACTTCGGGGCACGGAGCTTGTCACAGTCCACTTTTCGTTATCGATCGATATCGATTTTATCGATTTTTTGCAAAATTTGAGCTACGAGGCTGAGAGTTGGCACAGGGGGGTAATTGAGCATGCTGATCACCCCCTTCGAGCTAGAGGGCTGGGATTTGGCAGAGGGGGGTGATCAGCATGCTCGATTACCCCCCTCTGCCAAATCCCAGCCCTCTAGCTCGAATTTTGCAAAAAATCAATAAAATCGATATCGATCGATAACGAAAAGTAGCCTATGACACGCTCCCTGCCCCGAAGTATATGTGTGCCAAGTTTGGTCCCGATCGGTTCAGAAATAAAAATTTCTATTCCGCACATACGTACAGACAGACATACATACAGACAGACAGACATTCAGCTTTATATATAAGATGTCAGGTAAACCGCAATAGCTGTGTTTTCAATACTCCAAGAAATCGTGATTACACTATCTGAAAGCTTTGCAAACTCGTAAAAAGTTGAATAATCAAATCAGTGAGTTTGAAAACCATAGTACACCAGTATTCAGATTTTTTGGAAACTTTCTTTGAAACACGGTTAATTTGCAATGATGCTGTAAGCTGAAAGTTCCTACTGTAATCTTACAATAGTACAGAGCGATCGGTGATTTGCTCCATACTGTAAATCTAAGTTGAAGCTAGCTCTACAGAATGGTGGCTGAAGATGGGCAAAAAATCTCTTGGAAATAGGGATATTAATGTTAGAACAGTGCATACATATTTTTGGGACATCCTGTATATCATATGTGGGTGAGGGTGCTAATTTATAGACGACAAAGGCGTTTTTGTACATCATCGAAAATTCATATTTTCTAGCTTGATTGCCTTCATTGATGCTGATAAAATAAAGCTTCCAGGTGCCTGTTAGGGTGATTGGGTATGTGCAGGTTACTCGTCCGCCTTATTTAACAGAATTAAAAAACTAAATAGAAGTTTTTTGAATACCTGTGTACCAGTGGCGTACCCAGGATTTCGGCTCGGGGGGGGGGGGGAGGCGCGACAAAAATTTTTTTTCTGATGAAGGTGCGTGGCGTTAGCCACGCACCCAGAAAAATTTTTTGGTACCCTTCTTAAAATTTTCGCGGTCCCAGAACCCCTAAATTTCCGAAAAAGGGGGCGTGGCGTCAGCCACGCCCCCGAAAAAATTTTTTTTATAAGGCTAAATTGAATTTTTAAAAAATTTAAAAAATTATTTTAATTATTTACAAGTGCAGACAAGTCTTTTGCACAATTTTATAACCCATGTAAATAACTTTCAAAAATTTCGCGACCCATTCTCGGGAGGGGGGGGGGCGCGCGCGCCCCTCCCCCGCTCCCCCCTCGGTACGCCACTGCTGTGTACCAATTTTTTGATCTTCTCCGTAGTGGCAACAGACACTATTTTTGTGACCTTCAGTAAGGCCACATACCTTTTATCCCTTTCCGTAAAAAAACTATGAAGTTCGAAAAGAATTTTCAATTTAGTACACGGTGCCAAAAATGTATCGGACTTTAATCGCTAAGAAATCTCTTGTAACAGCTTTACAGCCTAGGTATCTAGCATATTGCAGGTTTGGTTTCAACATAGATTCACAATGCAAAATGAGCCTCCCTCCCTTCCTTTTCACTAACGTAGAAGCACAGTACGAACTTCCAGCGTATTGTCGTCATGACAGACTGCCACTTCAAAAATCATCACAAAACCCCCAAAACTTCAGTGATGGATGATCCGCTGATTTTTGTAAATGATTCGGTGTATGTTTGTGAGCAGTTTGAAGAATCAGGTTTGTGATACTTATTGGGACAGCTGTCATAGTATACCCTTTGATTCAACTGGATTGGCGGTTGGAAGGCGGGGCTTCGTGACCTAGTAAGGGTGAAGAATGATCAGAGAGCACACGCGCGAGGGAGACGCAGCCTGCGTCGCGGGCGCGAGCAGCCTTAATTAGGTCTAAAGCCCTGCCTCCCAGCCCGCCATCGCAGTTAAATCGAAGGTTATACCTGGTGACTTTCGAACAAGAGCTTATGGTGAAACTAGCTGACTTACCCGGCTCCGCCGTATGTTCCGAATAGAAAATTCCATTTCTTAACCGATCCGGACCAAACTTGGCACACATACCCTTCGGGCCCCGGCGGGTGTCACAGTCCACTTTTCGTTATCGATCGATGTCGATTTTATCGATTTTTTGCAAAATTTGAGCTACGGGGCTGGGAGTTGGCAGAGGGGTGTAGTCGAGCATGCCGATTACGAATACAATATTAGTTTTCGAAACCGTGCATTACTTTTATCGATTTTATCGATTTTTTGCAAAATTTGAGCTAGGGGGCTGGGATTTGGCACAGGGGGGTAATCGAGCATGCTGATCACCCCGTGGGGGTGATCAGCATGCTCGATTACACCCCTCTGCCAAATTGCCAAATCTGTGCCAAATCCCAGCCCCCTAGCTCAAATTTTGCAAAAAATCGATAAAATCGATATCGATCGATACGAAAAGTAGCCATGACACCCGCCGGGGCCCGAAGTGTATGTGTGCCAAGTTTGCTCCCGATCGGTTCAAAAATGGAATTTTCTATTCGGAACATACGTACACACAGACAGACAGACATACAGACAGACAGACAGACATACAGACAGACAGACAGACAGACAGACATACATACAAACAGACATTCAGCTTTATATATAAGATGAAAGCTTATACATGGAGTTGTCAATGCTCTTTAACCTACTAACATAATTTCCAGTTTTTTGGACATACCTTTGGCGCAGCAGTTCTTACAATAATCTTACAGTGATGAGAGAATTGTGATCAGTTTTTTTTTGTAAATCTAGGCTGAAACAAATCTCACAAGATGACTGAATTTTCGCATTCACTGGATCTAGCTATCGAATTTCTGATCCTTTTTGGGGCACTCCTTCCAAATAAATTGTGGTGGTACGATCGGTAAAGGGTTGCCTTTGTTATTAGGTGAGTTAAAGTTCTGAAGGTAGTACCACCAAGAAGGAGTTCAATAACAATTCAAATCTGCAATTCATGCATGCTTACCGTCTGATATAATGGGATTGGCGGCTAAAAGCGACCGCTCGCGCCCGCAACGCAATCTGCGTGCTTGCTCATTCTATAAGCTTGATTAGGCTTTGAAGCCCCGCCTTCATGCAGCCAATCTTGTTGAATAAAAGGATGTGCCCATACTTTTTTTCTAAAATAAAGTGCAAATAAATGTATTTATTCAAATTTTAAATCATTTTATGATCAGGATAACTGATACACATTTACATTTTTAAATAGCGTCGTTGCTAAACGTTAATGGTGATCGAAGCAGCACTTGATATCGGTAGTTGAGTGTTGTCTGGAACTGTGATGTTATCCTATCCCACTGGTACCTCGTCATTGATAATCCGCCCCGAGTTGAGACCTCAAAATTGGCACTGAATGAGAATCTTCAATTAATTTTTGGTACTTACCGTTACAGTCTTGATATATTCCTGATAGGCACTTATACCGGGTTGCAATAAAGTCTGCGATAGAGGGCAAGTGGTGGCGGCAAATGCTGGACCACTCACAATTGCTATTTGGGTTATAGCACCGCCGGCTAAGTAGCCGATTCTGGTCCCACCTGGATATCGGAAAGTTTAGTAAAATGCCGCTTTTGAAGACGCCGACCTGGGAATGGTTGACCAGTGTAGCAGTTAGAAATCTCATCCGGTGAGTAGTTTACTGTAGCAGAGACGCCGATAGTTGGAAGCGGTTGCCTTGACAAGGCTTCGAGAAACTGAAAAGTAAACTTGGACTAAACGATTAGAATGAAATAGTTTCAGAAGTTCCATTGAAAAAATTTGGTATTATAAAGGACAAGGAATTCGGCTGTCAGGATCCGGCAGGGTAGAGGGCTGTTGTTGGCCCCAGGGGCGGGATCGAACCTGAGTCCGATCTTGTCATAGCGTCGCCTCCTACCACTACGCCAATGTTCTTCTTGGTATATAAAGAGATGTGAAAATTAAGTCAAAATGAAAAACTGCATATCTAGCAGTGGTGATGGCAGAAGTTTATTTTCTTGGGGGGGGGGGCAGAGGAGTGCGAGGGAAATCCAGAGTTGCCAACAAATAACGGTTGATTAAGGCCACACCTTCTAAAAAATTTGAATTTTCTCAGTTTATGGCTCTCAAAATTGAAAAAAATGAGACTTGCATTTTTTTGATTTATTGTTACAGAATCTAGAACATTAGCTTTTGCAGGGTCTAGAATTCTTATTTAATATTTATATATGCAGATTATTTGCATAATTTCGTAGCTTATATAGTACTTTTCAAAGAATTTGGGTCATCCAATTCCGATAAGATGAGTTTCTCGCCACTTATGGCTTGGCGAAAATCGCCAGCGGAAAAGCGGAGGTAGCATGCAGAAAAATTTCTCAAGATTATATTGGTTTTATCTTCTCTGTTCTTGTCAGGATCTGAATCTCAACTTACCGCCGCATTCACTTCATTTTGTGCTGCTTGTAAAGCATCTGCTGATGTCGCAGACTGACCAGGAAAAAAGTTTGTCACCTGTATGGCTCCTGAAGTAGATTATTAACGATGTGCTTTTTTTTCTAAATATGGAATGTGGCGAACCTATTGAAACAATTTGTGGATAGTAGGTCCATCTCACTGGTGGACTGACTCTGAACGTGAAGGTAGGATCGGTTACGATCTCTGTATCTCGTGATAGAGCGGCTCAAAAAAAATATGGTCGAAAGAAATGAATTCATTTCAATGCAGTGAAATAATATCAGAAATAGAAAAAAACTCACTATTCGCACATGGCTCGCTTTTACCGAACAGATAGGCAAGACTGAACAAAACTAACCTCATATTGAGGCGGAGCGCTCGCTGAGTTTGATCCTTATATGGAAAAGCTGAGGCATCTTATTTGCTGACCATCTACTCTAGTGAAAGGAGGCTCATGTTTTGACCATGTGCACCGACCTGACAATCAGATGTACGATGCCTTTTCGTCGCCCGTCAAACATTGAATCACCACAATTTCAAACAACAAAACACCCAAAATAGCTGCAACGGAACCTCTGGAACCTCTTCCTCGGTTTTGGAGTCAAGGTTTTCGATATTCGTCGTACACTATAATCTATATATACCATATCCAACTCCCTTTATTCGTGTTATAAATGAGTTTTTTGCCTACTTTACCTTCAGAAATAATGACATTGAACCAACATATGTGGAGCAGGGCTTTATCTTTAACTTTTATGTACGAAAAGTAAGTCAAATGAAGACTGAAATATTGGTTAATCAAGCTTAAAGGCAGCGTTCAGGCAGATCTGGACCTATGGGGATTTTACGTGGAAAGTACTTTTGGGGCCCTAACTAGGCACTGCTCAAGCGGCAGCGCAGGTAGTGCTCTAACGGCCGAGATATTCCCCTCGAAACTGGACTTCGCGATCTATTCGCATGGATTCAGGCAGTTTCGCGCCCGGATCCGCGCTTTGCGCCATGAATCCATGCGAAATACGATCGCGGGGTCCAGATTCGAAGGGGATATCTCAGCCGTTAGAGCACTAGCTGAGCTGCCGGTTGGGCAGTGGCTTACTTAGGGTCCTAAAATTACTATCCACGTGAGATCCCCATGTATCCAGACTTGCCTGGACGGTGCCTTCCAAAGTTGTGTTACAACATACTGAGTTAGTCACATTCTAGCTTTCGAATGAGTTTGGAAAAAGAGAACGTAGTTTCAACATCATTTGGTTTTATCTTGATCAACTCTTCTACTGCAGTAGTCACCCTTCTTGAAGAACCTTATTTTTGGAATCTAGCACCTAGAACGTGTCTCGTGAGCAAATACTTCCTACTGTATCTTGAAAAATATTGAACACCTTCTGACTAATGCAACTAGCAGATTAAATACTAGAATCTAGTAGTACAACGGTTTAGTACTCTAAGAATGAATCATGAGGCTCTATAACAAATTCAGTCATTCATACCAAAATGAAAAGGTGGAAACACTCCATTCTTGCTCTTTTCAAGTTTACTATTCTTATTATTCTGATTCTCACATTCTTAAGTTGAGCCCATTTTGGATTTTTGATAATTGCTTCTTCAGAAAAGCGTTTCAACATACATTTTGTCGAATTTCTGAGTTTTCCGGTAGAAGGCTCAAAATCTGGCAGATAATGATTTGAAATGACCAATTTCTAATATTTAAATGATTAATTCGCTTCTCCTGCTCAAGAAACCTCGAAGTTCATGCCTGTTTTTTTTTAGTGAAAAGCGAAATTCGCGAATTACGTCTTCCGCTATGTACTAATCAAAATCAGGTCATTCGGAAAGTTTTTTTGCTTTTTGCGCCTTTGATGTTGGTGCCATGTTTTGATAGAGTGCCAGAGGGCTGATAGAGGTTGCTATATATGGATTTCGTCGTCTCGCCGGATGTTTCCAGTTTATATATAAGAAGGATTTGTAGAGGAAGTCTTCTAGTTTCTGAGGATCTCACCGAAGTTGCAAAAAACGCTTTGAAGGGAAGTTTACATGGCTATAAATTCGACGCATAAAAACGATTTCTGAAAAATTGCATTCTCTAAGCTCAGTCTTGAGCGTAAGGTAGTCATGAAAGCCATCATTGTGCGCAATGCATTTGCTAGGGCTACATCTTTCTTGAGGTAGGGGCAAGATTGCTTCAAAAATTCCAAATCTAGAGAAGTGAAAACGTGTGCTTTGCAATGTTCTGGGAAGGGCTCCTTCCATGTAGGCGAGCATCTCAGAGAATTCTTCAGAGAAATTTCCGAGCTTAGCCGCATATAATTATCAGCAGAGCTCGAAGTGTCAAATAGCCCCATTAGGCCAACATCGCTACAGCTGCAATCCCGAAAAGTGTCAGTGACATATACCCAATTGTCGTATTCGCAGATTGAGGGCGCCTGACTCTGCTTTCGTTGCTCATTATTTGGAGCAATCCTTTTTTGGCCTGGGTTATTAGTTACAGCAGGAATTTGGCCAATACGGCTACTAGAAGCGACATTGTGGTAAATCCTATGGAGCAAGCATTAAAAGCTAGCCATAACATTCAGTCATTCCAAAAGGTTGATGTAACTCAAATTAATGTAATCCTGCTGGTCTTGCACGCTATAAACTTGCTAAGATGTGATTGCAGGGTAAAGATTAGTATGGTATCGTTCTAAAGACCGTTTGTTAAAATTTCAAAACTGAGCAGACTTGCACGTATAATCTATGAAAGGTGACATCCTCGCATGACGTTGACAAACCACATGAAAAAAAAAAGGCTCTCACAAAAGGGGTTAACTGCGCACCGACGATCCCGTTTATTTCTCGAACTCCTCAAACTTCCTTCATCAGTCACCAAATTTGCCAATTTGTCGGTGCCTATTAAAAAATATTAGGTGGGTCCGAAAGTTCGTGCCGTTTTTAGAACTGTTCTAAAATCGTTTAAAATGAAGATAGACAAATACTTCAAAGGCTATCCGATGCAGAATTTCTTCGTCTTTCCACCCGGCTGTGTTTCGGTTGTGATTGTTTCGACGAGCGCTGAGATAATTGCCGAAAACTAGAACCCTTCCTTTTTACCATGCCAGACTTTCGCTAATTTTCAGAATTTTCATTTTAGACTTTGAAGGTCCTTCAACAACCACCTGATAGGGCACTTTTTTCATTAAATGCAATTCTTTACATCTTTCTGGCATGCTTTCTAGAATTGCTAAAATATATTCTTTGAAGCGACTAATTTTTATATTTGGCTCAGTCTAACCTCGCAAGACATCAAACATTGGACAGTGAAGGTAGATATCATTCAATGCATGTTTTTCTCCTCTTTCTGATGGCTACGTTTTTTTTCGCGAAACATGCGAATTTGCAGACAAAAACGTTGTACTTCTCAATTTCACCGGTGCGCAAGGTTATACTCGAAATTTCAAAACTGATTCCATTTTCACGCCGTAATCGCTCATTTACTTCGCAATACTAGTGATAGTAATAACCGAATTCTAGAACTTCAATATTTTGAGGATTTCGCAGTGTTTGGTGCAATTATGTGTGACGTTCTTTCAAAATTCAATGCTCTAGTAAAATAATTTTATTCAGCAAAATTCTAAAGAGGAAACTGAAAAAATGCAAAAAATTGCTTCAATTTGAAAAAGGTTTGTCCTATTAGCTGGTTATAAGAGCACCTTCAAAAGTCTAAAATGAAAATTTCAAAAATTAGCGAAAGTCTGGCATGGTAGAAAGGAAGGGTTCTAGTTTTCGGCAATTATCTCAGCGCTCGTCGAAACATTCACAACCGAAACACAGCTGGTAGAAAGGCGAAGAGATTCTGCAACGGATAACCTTTGAAGTATTTGTCTATCTTCATTTTAAACGATTTTAGAACAGGTCTAAAAAACGACACGAACTTTCGGACCCACCTAATAATAGGACCCAATAGGACTCCAAGTGCGATTATCAGAGTAATCGTTGTCGTAGAGCGTGATCTCGCACTTCATGGCAATTGAAGAATCACAGAAATTTGAAAAATCGTCGGGAAACTTCTGTTGGGATAGCTTGTACCTTTCTAATATTGAAGTAAAGGGCTGTTTAATTGTGGAACTGTGTTATAAAGCAATAATTATAAAAATTTTCCAGGAATTAGAGTTTGTCGAGGATTTGCATGCGTGACACAAATGCAAGTGTTTAAATCGCCTTTTATGTACCGAAGGTTCCAGTAATACGGGAAACTACATATGTATCGGTTTTGTGAAGGTCGTAGATGGATTGGGTAGAACAGCTTCAGCAATTGGCCACAGAATCTTCCCGATCCGTTTCTATAAAGCAATTATTGTTCTGTAAATAAGCCCTGGGAAAACAACATGCAATCAAAAGCAGTTTTCGACCTCAGTAAAAGTGAACTTTTACCTTTACTTTCAAACTTACCGAGAATTGATTTTATCCCTCTTTTACAGTTTGTTCCTTTGAGATATTGAGAAAGCTCACGACAAAGTCCTGGTTCCGAAATCATAGTTGACACAACCCTTGAAAACCTGAAAAGATATTTTTTAGATATAGAATTTTTTTTGCTGATAAATAAACAACTCACTTATTCACTTGCGATCTTCCCGTACGTCGCTCTTTTTCTATAGTATATGTTAGCTGAAAGAGGTGCTGTTGGATTTGTATCTTTAACAGTGAAGAGGGTGACTAGATTTGTCAAGAGAGTGTTACTTTGATAAGATCAAATATTACAGAATTAGGCGGCAGGGAAATCAATCTCTCATCCTACCTTCTGGATGAATCTAAACGCTTCCTCGCTTAGACGGAACTCAATGAAGGTGATTGCATTAAATTTTTTCGTCAACTCAGGATTCATACCGAGGACTCGACCAAACTGCAAAATTATCGTAAATACGCGATTCAAATCACGAATTTTTAGCAAAAAATATCACAGAAAAAGTTGAAAATTTTTTAAAAAGCTGTGTAGAGGCTACACGAGTTAGACCATACAATAGAAGCATTCACCTTCCTTTAACAATCAAGCCTAACCCGTTCTGGTCCTCCTTCCTTTACTGCGATTACGCCAGCTGATTCTATTAGCAAATATTCTTCCTTGTTAAATCCAAGGAAATCCTCTGTATAATCGTGGAGCCACGGTCCTAGAAGAAAAATTTTCAAACCTATCAAATGTTATCCGTAGAAATCTCTGAATTTACTTCTTTTCAGTTCGTTCTCTTTATGAGGATTTTTCGATCTTCGGCCATCGACATAAGATAGGGAAGAGGCAAAGATGGTCGCAACAAAGACGTAGACTGGGTTCATTGCCTCGCTCAAAACCATAGGGAAATACCCTTTTTACATGCTGGCTAGAGGAGGGTTGTGAAAACGACAGGAGAATGCTTTTTTTTATCTTCAAATGCATAGTTAAGTGCATGCATTATGCATAACGCTGCATTAGATGTTTTCAAAAACTTTAAGTGACGTTTGGATGAAGGTTACGAAGGGAAAACGTGGCATTACATTTTTAAAGGCTTCAAGCGACTTCGATATTTCAGAATGTAAAAGCCAATGTAAACGCAAAAACAGTATCATGAACGGGCGGAAACATGGGAAGGTCGTATCTTCATCTTGTATCTTATAACCCTGGAAGTCTCCTCAAGCCGTCGGCGGGGTGAGCGTTCCTGGAAAGTACACGTTGTTCAATTTTCGCACTCCGCTCGCAGGTTATCAGGAAGCCAAAGAGGCGCAACCGTGCCGCATGTTGATTTCTCTGATTTTTTGTAGATATACTGCTGCTTTTTTGAAGAGTAGAAAATTGAGCCTTGCAAAAGGTCGTGTTCAGTTCTTTGGATTTCCGGAGCGGAGTGCAAAAATTCTATTTATCCGGTATCCGTACCCGCAGCTATTGTCTGAAGTGATGCTCTCTGCAGCTGTTAAAGGCATCGTCACAATTCTTGACTTGCATGTTTTTGTCATTCTGGAGCCTACTCATGTCCCTGATTCCGAATATGAAGTCGAAAATTAGTGAGAACCCCAACAATGCCCATTCGAAAACCCGCGGGGCGATCGTTCCAAATTGTGGTTAAATAGGCGAGCACGGATGGGCAGGCAGTACTGTAGAGGGTCGATCCCGTCTAGGGGCCCTCAAGGCACTTCGTCATTTCGGAGCGATTTTTTCGCCTCCGAGGCGACACTTTGCGCCGCGATTTGAGCATTGGGTCGACAGGAGTCCTACTATCTTATGCTGCCGAAACCTCAAGGCTCCTAGATTAGAATGGACAATACTTTAAAACGCGCCCCTAGTTTTACATATCTGCCTAACAGTGGCCTTTACAGACGATTGCTGAGTAGCACAAAAAGTGCACAGGCTCCAAATTTTAGCTGATTCTTGCGCCGGACTATTCTTTTGCCTGCTTCAGCAGGATGCGGCGCAACACTAGTAAGCTGGTGAATTTAGGCATCATGTTGGACGTAAATCGAAGTGGCGTCTGCGATGTTTGCAACAACAGTAGTGTCAGAGAGATGATTAAAAAAGCCTCGTTGATACCTGTGAAAAACTTCTGCTGTAGCGAAATTACGCACGCCGACTTGATTTTTCTACAACGTAACATCAAATGAAGGTAACAGCGCCGCGTCCTGCTGAAGCATGCAATCGGTTAGTCTGGCGCCTACCTTTGTAGTATTACGATTCGAATAAGAAGCAAAAGTTCTACTAAAAGCACTCAAAATCGTCCGCAGTAACGGCGGTAAGGGCCTAGATGACCCAGAACATAAACAGAGATGAGGCTAGTTTGGTTTGAACTCCAAGTGCTATCACACTTTTACCACAACGCTCTAACTGTAGCAACCGTGCCTGATTCGTGCTGTACACGCGCAACCGCGTGGATGCAGTGTCAAGAGGTGGTAATAGGCATTTGTTTCATCATATTCTGCTGCGCGATTCCTTAGAGGAACGTGAGCGTTTGAAGAACCAAGTTTGGCAAACAATTACTACCATAACTTCAAGAAGTAGTTGTTTAAAACACATTTAAGCTGCCGCGCATATGGGTTTTTATTCAGTAGCCTTAACATGCTTGTTATGCATCCTCAAGCTGGTTCTAGAAGCACTTTGTGCATTAGTCAGTTCGCACTTTTAACCCACTCATAACTTTTTTACAGAACCGCGCGGCAGATAAGGCAGTTTGAAACAGCTCATCAAGACGCATCTAACGATATGTATTCTACTTCAGGATTCCTTCCCTTACTAAAATTTGCTTGTTCTCATCTTGTTCTTAGCTTCATTTTACAATGAAAAAAATTCTAGCATTGAAGCGGAATTTGAAAAGCCACTTTGTTTTGTGCGTAAAACGATGTCACTTAATAATCTTATAGAAAGTAATGTCGTCAGCGGTACAATCAGCTATCTTGAGAACTTAAACAAATTTCACAGTAGCAAAGATTGAAGACTTTTTCCTGCGTCTTGATGGCACGGTTTTAAGCATTGTCAGCGCCGTTTTACTATATTAAACACTTTGACCGTTTATTTACGTTGTTCGTTATTCATTCTACCGGTAATTCTACCCTTTTTTGTTCCCTATCCATATCATCATTCAATCGTAAAACTGTCTCTGTAATGAAGATGCATTACGATCCAACAACTTGCACTTAATATCAGTTTAGTAAAGGCAGTCGATTTTGGATGCTGTTGTACCATTTCATTTCATATCTTTGGTAGAAACGTACTGTCTTTTGAAAGCGACCGTTGACTGAAATCATACTTCCTCTCGATGGTCTCATAACTTTCAAAAACACCTATCTATGCTGCCGTGGTGCATTTTCATTCAGTACCCTCAACACCACTTCTGGCATGTGGGTCACTGTGAAAAAGCCGTTTCCAATAATTTAAATAAAAACAATCTTGTTCAAGACGGTTTTCAAGAACGCTGAATCAAATGCTCAACTGTTTAGTATAAGATTGTGAAGCTTTCTAAAAGGTGTAATCACATTTTTTAGGAACATCTTGAAAACGGCTGCTACTGCACTGGCTTACTTGGCGTGACTCATGAAGCATCATGAAAAATGCCAAATTCTCATTTAGTATCGGCAAGTTTAACTTAATGTAAAATTTATGAGGTCGTTTTGTTCTCTTTTTGGAGTAAAATACGACACTTCATGACTTAAAACCCTCTTCAAAGTTCCTACCGTAATCCTACAGTGATGGAGAGAGACTGGTTGCAAATTGCAAATTGCAAATCTAAGTTGAAGTCAGCTCTACAAACGGTACCTAGCGTTTCGAGGGATATTAGATGGGTCCGAAAGTTCGTGCCGTTTTTAAGACCTATTCTGAAATCGTTCAGAATGATGATAGACAAATCGTTCAGACACTATCCGATGCAAAATTTCTTCCACTTTCCAGCAGCTATGTTTCCGTTGTGAATGCTTCGATGCGCGCTGAGATAATTGCCGAAAACTAAAACCCTTCATTTTTACCATGTCTAACCTTCTCTTATTCTCAGAATTTTCATTTTAGAACCCGATAGAGCAAACCTTTTTCAAGTTAAAGGCACCGTCCACCCAAAGTGGGGGTTCACGAGATTCGATGGCATACTAATGTGGGCCTCCACACTAGGCCAACTCCCTAATTTCCCCGCAAAAGATTGCTTAAGGAGCGAGAAAGCTCAATCCAGAGCTGGTCACTCCGCCCATTTTGCAGGTTTGGCGGACTGCGGCGCTGATGTACGCAGAGCGTATAACGCGCCGCAGCCCTGCGATTCTTTAATCTTTCTGGCATGTTTTCTAGAATTACTAAAATATATTTTTTGAAGTGACCAATTTCTATATTTGGCTCAGTCTAACCTCGCAAAACATCAGAAGTTGAACAGTGAAGGTATCGTTTGTTAATCAGCAAGATTCCCATAGGTACACGTCATCTCGCTGCCTTTCGCTCTTTTGAACGTGTTAGTCTCGGGCAGAAGAAACATGTCAAAAAGAGCGAAAGGCAGCGTCGCACCACGTAGGCACGCTGGTTCACATAGGAACTTTTCTGGGGCACACACAGGATATCACTCAATGCATCTTTTTCTCCTCTTTCTGATGGCTACCTTTTTTTGCGAAACATGCGATTCTCCAGACAAAATCGCTGCACTTCTCAATTCCACCGGTGCGCAAGGTTATAGTTGAAATTTCAAAATTGGTTCCATTTTCACGCCGTAATCACTCATTTACTTCGTAATACTAGTGATAGTAATAACCGAGTTCTAGAACTTCAATATTTTGAGGATTTCGCAGTGTTTGGTGCAATTATGTGTCACGTTCTTTCAAAATTCAATGCTCTAGTAAGATAATTCAGCAAAATTCTAAAGAGGAAGCTGAAAAAATGCAAAAAAAATGCTTTAATTCGAAAAAGGTTTTTCCTATTAGGGGTTATTAGAGCACCTTCAAAAGTCTAAAATGAAAATTCTGAAAGTTAGCGAAAGTCTGGCATGGTAAAAAGGAAGGGTTCTAGTTTTCGGCAATTCAGTGCTCGTCGAAGTCTCAACCGAAACACAGCTGGTTGAAAGACGAAGAAATTCTGCATCGGATGTTCTTTGAAGTGTTTGTCTATCTTCATTTTGAACAATTTTAGAACGGGTCTAAAAAGCGCCACGAACTTTCGGACCCACCTAATAATATTAGGTGGTCCGGAAATTAATGCAGGTTTTGCATATTCTCACTTCAAAGCGTCATAACTCCTTTGAAATCGCATATTTTGAAATGCGGTAAAAACTACTATGATCAGCAAGTCTTTTTCTATTTGCGCCATTTTCTTTTGTAACTGTAGCTCCAACAAGGAAATTACTGGAAGCCAGAAAGTAAAAAGAAATTTTTTTGACAAGGTCATACTTGGCAAGCTGTAAACTCCTACCGATTATGAGTGTTCAGCCAGAAACTTCTGTAGCTTATAACCACAGACCAGTACTACATATATAGCTATGCAGAAAATTTTTCAGAAATTTTCTGCGAAAGAAAAATTTGCGGAATCAAAATTTTCCATTTTTTCGATATTTCCTCCACGGCTGTGATCTCCGATAATTTTGATTTTTTATTAACCCTTAAAAAATAAAGCCTGGGAGGTACCAGTTGAGATAATATCTGACGGCACTGGCCTCACTTTTTGAGCATGAGGAGAGATTTTCACGGTTGCTTCCTTCAGAAAAGTTTTCTACGCCATGGAGTGGCCGCGACGATTATTTATGTTAAAGCCTCAATTTCTCTACTCTCACAATCGTTCAAGAGAAGCGTTTTTATCTATTTAGTAGATTCACTCAACATCTTGCTTTAGCTATATTATCATGGAAATATCCCTCTTGCCGAATAAGTTCAAGCCAAAATAGTGCAAAGGGTAAATTTAGTAATTTAAAGCTTCGTCTTCGGATGGTTCTAGATTTTGAACAAACGAAGTTAGTCGTAGAAGTAGTATATATAAGAGAAAGCATGAAGAGCGGCTTCTTTTAGTATGCAAAGTTGGTCGAAAGATGCGCATACACAGAAGAACGATCCTTTTGAAATTACATTTGCAGAAACCTGCATTAATTTCCGTACAACCTAATAGGACCCAATAAAAATTAGCTTGCCAAAAACGCCTTTTCAAACCTTTTTGATTCCTCTAAGATGGTTTCGCAAGAAAAAAAGCGCAAAGGCGCTACAAAAATGTTACCAAAATTTTGCTGAACACAATGAAATTTATTTAGTAGAAAAAGTTTGGATCTGGAAAAAAGCTGCGCTGATTTGAATTTGAAGGTGCGAAAACGAAAAAACTTTCCGAATGACCTAATGTTTGGCCACACAACAACAGCAAAACCATACGGCCTAAACTACTCGCTTTCATAGAAAAAGTCAACTCTTATTTCGGGTCATGTTACCGTGAAAACAAAGCTAGTTATAATTTATTATTTCTTTCGTTGGATCACATCATGCACAGAGGCACAAGTGATTATGTTGAAAGCGATAAAATGTACAGACAGATAAGACGTTTGAATAAAGGACTATTTCACAGGAATTAGCAAAGATCTTTGGATAGATACCTACTCAACTTAAAACAATGTCTACACTGACAGGGAAGATACCTAACTTAGCTCGACCTTTTGGTAAAAGGCATATATATTCTGAATCAGCTTCAAACGCTGATTCCAAATATGCTATTCCTAGTTGCCACGCACCATTCCGAAGCGAGTTATGGGCTTTTCCCTGCGCAAAATTGGCACGCTCATCGACTCACGGGCATCACGTCATCATCATTTGAGTGCTGACAACCTGCGTTAAGCATTTTTTTAGTGAGAAAAAAACTGGATTTATACTATTTCGATAACTCAGCACCTTTTTCTTGCAGATTTTTATCTACAGGCAGTCTTTTCATGTTCAGTAGCATGCCAGTTTTGCGTAGGAAAAAGCCCATAACTCGCTTCGGAATGGTGCGTAGCAGCTAGGAATAGCATATTTGGAATCAGCGTTTGAAGCTGATTCAGAATATAAGTCTTTTACTAAAAAGCCGAGCTAAGTTAGGTAGCATTCCTTATGAGACCTGAGCGATGGGAATATTGACTTATGGAAGATGTGGCAGCACCATTCATACAAGGCGGTTGTATATTTGATTTCAAGGCCGATTAGCCTTCACCGTGCTGACAAAATTTCACTAGAATATAAAACATGCTTTTCAACTAAGTATTCAAGATTCGCATACGAAGTGAATAAGGCAAGAAAGGCTGAAACAGTCTATATCACAAATGGCCTTCGGACCGTGATAAGGCAAATGAAAAGTGGAAACTTGGCAATTGAGAGATTCAAGTGAGATACATTTCCAGGTAAGCATTAATCTGTCAATCTTCATCACTGTCGTGATTTCGGACGAACCACTGTCGACAAAGCGATTCTAGTCGAGCAATTCCGTCCTCGCGACCACATGCTTCTTGCTCGATTTGCCATTGTTGTAACAGGAGATTCGCATACACAGGTTGGACAAAATATCTGCAATCAAATATCAAAATATGAATGGATCTAAAGCGACGCTCGCAACAAACGTACTCTTGCATATAGGCTGTGTCTGCTGTCGGAAATATCAAACGAAAATCACCGCGTCTACGATATTCATCTGAAAGAGGAAGATAGTGATTGTAAAGCAAAACCAAGGGCCTTCACCTTCGAATTCGGCTAGTGTCCTTATATCCTCAAGAGTAAGACGTTTGAGGATACGCCGGTTTAGCCGACCTTCATCCAAAAATGCAGCAGTCCATGCAGATTCCTTCTAAAGAAATCGGATCATGCATCGACAATCTCAAAAGGGTGCGTAGCAAGTGGTACCCAGACAGCCGACTGTTGCCGCAGTCAGCCGCCAGAGCTGCCGGCAAAGCCGCTGCAGATGGTACAGTAATTACGCTCGTCGTCTAAACTCTTGCCGAGAGGTCGTCTCGCACCTCGTCGCTCTCGCACCTCGTCGCTCTGAGGTGCGAAATCAGCCTCAGGAAAGCGTGATATCCTCGATATCTATATTATTTGAAACAGCAGAAAATTCACGTTCTTGAGAAAATGCAAACAGCAAGGGTGAACTTGGGGGAGGTTTTTCAAAGGAAAATGATTACAAATTCAGATCATTTCAAAAACTCAAAGGTAGCAAAAGCTGAAAAGTCCAGAAATTTGTTGTTAGAGTTTTTTTCTCGTTTTTACGTCAAAGAACGGTACTTTAATTTCTACACAGTTCACTTCTCCCGGTATTTTGAGAAATAAAAAAATAATAATGAAAAAATTCGAAATTCACAACTCATTGCGAATTATAAAAGCTCAAAATTGAAAGAACTACCTCTGTTAATCCTTCAACGTGACCGCTTTTCGAATTCTGAAGTGTTCAATGGATACTTATTGTACTTTTATTTCATAATTTGTAACAAAAAAAACTTTTTGATATCCTATTCATTCATTTTTGTTTTTTTTTTTCATCTTTGCCTTATTTATGCTTAACATCATTCTATATGAAATAATCATTTTGACACAGTTTTCTTAACGTTATATCCATGACATTTCCCTGTAATTGTTCTCGGTGCGAGAAAACCTTCTGGCAAGAGTTTTAGACGACGAGCGTAATTACTGTACCATCTGCAGCGGCTTTAGCGGCAGCTCTGGCGGCTGGCTGCGGCAGCAGTCGGCTGGCTGGGTACCACTTGCACGCCTCCCATCTCAAAACGAAGCATGAGATAATCCACAAATTGTGATCCACACAGCTAGGATGGTCATGCACGCCCTGGATTTTTCTTTTCAAGCAAATCTCCATAACGCGCAAAAAGGTTTGAAATGAGAAGCCTTGCAAACTTACGCCATATGGGGTTTTCAAAAGAAAGAGTGAGATTAAGACAATATTTCACGCTTACTTTTATACTAGGAGACTTGTTGCCCGAACCCAAAAAATCCTTGTTCTATCAAATGTGGCTGAGTTCAAATTGAAGAAGAAAAAAGAGGAAGTTGCACTTCGCGCATCGTTGCGAAAAAAACTATAGTGCATATACAAATATCATCAAACAAAAAACTCATTCAGCAGAATCTTCAGTGTTCTGAGCCACAAGGTTTTTAGATTATCTTTATTTATCCATTCCATTTTTTACCTATTTTCATCTATTTATCAATTTACGGCCTAATGTTCCGACGCCTTCGCTTCCTCAGAGGCCCAGAGACCACCGTTCTTTATGGTTCCAGGAATCCTTCCGCCATGAACATCATTTCCTGTGCGGAATACCAAAAAGAGCGGGTCTCTCGGCCTCTGAGGAAGGCGAAGGCGTCGAAACGTTAGACGGTGACTGGATAAATAAAGGCCATCTACTTGGGCTCAGAACATTTGAAGAATATATGCGACGCCCAGCTTTGAAGAAAACAGAAGATGGAAACTCATTTAATAGGCTTACCTGGACATGCTCCTCCTCCTTCGGCCAGTTGCGAGGTTTCGTGCTATAATCTGCCGTAGCCAGCTGATCAGGACTGAAAAAGCTGGTTTTCTAGTGATTAGCATTTGAAGTACTCAAACAATGGAATTTACCTAGGAGGAACGCAAATGCCAGCCATATTTAGCACGTCTTTTGCTAATGGTGCCTTTACAGAAACATCCAGCGACGTTCCGGAATGCAAAGAAGGCGAAATATTGACCTGAAGTGTAATTGTGTCACTACAGACACTATTAAGGCAAGTATAAATGCTCCAACTTACATTTATAGTAAAGTATATTTTGATAAATTTTAGAAAATGAAAAAAGGTTTAATTCCGTTTCAGATCGAAAGTGCCATTAAAAAGTTCGTTGCTCACCTCCAGAAGCCAAGGCCTAAGATCCTCGTCAAGCAAAATGTCTACGCCGAACAATTCGTGGCAAATAAATCTGAACAGATTGATTATGTAGACAAAAACTAAATTGTTCGTATAGTAAAGGAGTAGAATAACGCTGAAGATGACGAACCCGTAGTGAATATGTCGGACCATGTGATCTCGAATAGGTTTTTCACAAGCAATGAAAGCTTTGATGATCACATCTTCTATACGCTCGCGGACAGCATTCGCATTGATGCCCTAGAACGTGTCATAATTTGTTTTTGTTCTCCTAAAATTCTTTCGCTTATATTCACTTCGTCACGAAAGGCCTCTGTTTGCAAAGCCTAGAGTGCACCATTTCTAACGAAAATTCCACAAAATGCTCACATCGTTCTCAAAATACTTCCACAGATCAGTAAGACGCCATTTTGGTACTGGTGAATCGGTCACTCCATCCTGTTCAGCGAGCTTGTTAATGCTATAGTTGGTTAGATGCATGTACTTGTTAGAAACAGTCGACGTACACTTCGAATAGCTGAAAAAATCAATATGCACCAACCTAGTTAAGTCTCTAAAAGAAACGAGCTGCTGCGTACAGAAAGTGAACAAGATTCGAAAAGACACCCAAAATGCTTTCTTGGTGTAATCCGTATTTTTTTTTATGAAAATAAGCAAAACTGTAACCGAGTATGCGCCCCTAACTAATCATGTCGGCGGGCCTGCGGCCTAAACGACCCGTCATACACCGCCGGGAAAGGCCCAAAAGCGCCCAAAAAGCCCAAAAAAGTCTAAAAAGGCCCGAAAAGCCCGAAAGCGTCAGAAAGAGCCGGAACGCGGAAACGAAATTTTGGTAGAATTCTGACATTATTTTGATGCGCAGACGACTGAAAATGAAAAAAGACTTGTTTGCGAAATCAACACACATTCGAATAGACACCCAAAATGCTTTCTTGGTTGAAATCCGTAGTTAACGTGGAAGGGGTCATTCCGGCTGTTTCTGGCGCTTTTGGGCTTTCTTTCGGCGTTTCTGGGCTTTTCTCAGCGAAGTACGACGGATCCCTAACAAGCAGTATAATAGACGAATATTGTTATCTACTCTTTGTTCCACCCTAGCTCTAGCAGTTATTCGATATTCGACACTAAAGTGGCTCCCCGCTCCTTCACATGTTATCGTTCAAATAGATCTTCAACTTCCAAAAACGAAAAAGGTGATATAAAACTACGAATGACGAGTGGTGAAAAATTCATTAACAGACAAGTAAATCGAAAGAGAACTCACGGAACGCTGGCAAATCGCACAAGACCTTCTTCATAGATGTATATGCGCAAAGGCTCCAATGAAGGCACATATGCGTACAAGCGCAAGTCGAACTTGGCACCATTTATGGTCAAAGGTCGATCCACATAGCTGAAATGGCCAATTGATACAAACAATAATAATAACAATAATAACGGTAAAAATTCGAAAAAAAATGAAACAAACAATAATAATAACAACAATAACTGTAAAAATTCAAAAAAACATACTGTTGCGCAACCAGCTGTGTCTTATCTGGAATGTCTCTGATTTTGCGAGTGACCGTTATACCACTACCACGAGCACTAGCCGGCTAAATATTTGGATTTTTTGAGCAAACCCTTCCCTAACAAGAAATTCAGTCTCTTTAATAACACAAATTTGATTCATTAGCACAAATGTCGCCGAGGATATGTGATAGAACAAAATTATAGATAAAATAATAAAAAATAAGTCATAAATGAATTATGGAACTACCATGTTATGTCAAATATATGAGGCAATAGAAACTTACCGGTTTGATGATGACATGGTTCGACGGTGAAGCAGCCAAATAGGCACGCATATTATCAAAATCCTTCGGCAGCAAATACGTTTTAGGCATGATGCCGTACACATGTTCACCCAAACGACGCTGCTGTTTTTCAATGTGCATCCATAGGCGATCTTTTCTGCCGATATGGAAGGCTCCAGGATAGTGATTGACCTGAACGGGTAGTACGGGAATAATTTATGCTTATAAAAAAAGGAAAAAATACTTTTTGATGAGGTTTCAAGGACCGGTACTGGCTGCTTTTCAGATGTCTTCCCCAATAGCCTACGTAAAACAGTGATTCGTCAACAACCTGAAATTATTTTTTCTCCAAGAACGCTGAGAACAAAGAAACTAAAAGGCAATGGAGAGGTGGAACATACCGTAAAATGGCTGGCTGCCAAACAATGTCGCATGACAATGGGGAGAAGACTGTTGTGACACCAGGTCAAACGGCTAGTTATTTTCTTGTTCGGCTTTGACACTGAAAAGATACAGGCTAAGCTAGAAAAAAATTGCACACTGTAGAAAGCGAAAGACGATGAAAAAGCCGCTAAGCAAGATATGAACTCTAAAATGCAACTTATTCCGTTCAATTATCGTCATTTTCACCTAGTTCTCCTTGCTCCACTGTAGGTGTTATGCATTTTGCTAGATTTATTGTTCTCTTTTCATAAAATTTCTAGCATTCATGCAATCTTTTGGTCCTGTTTTGCTAGCCTAAACTATCTAATTGCATTCCATTGCCGACGTAAGATGATGCAAAGCTCACGAATGACGTCCAGAATGCTGCATTTTCAGAAAAGTGCATGCTCTACGTCGAGATTACAAAAAGTAATGATTCCATCTTCTCCTTTATTTCCAATGAAATAACGGAAATGGCAATCGCAATTGAACTAGAGGGTCAGTCACCTGGACATTTCTTGCAGAACAGATACTGTCTGAGCTGAGCTTAGAGCCTGATGGTAACATCTATCCCCCCGCTCGTCGAACCTGAATTGCTGGTCTTACGTTTCCACGCAGCTGTCGCCTACGTCATCCAGGAAAGAACAGGCGCAGAAAGTAGGAGTTTAAACGCTTTATGGTGATATAAAGTAGGAAACGTCCACCATAACCACGCTGACCCCGCTATCCACTGTTGTGAAGACTTCTGTAAGCATACGCTAGCACGGTGACGAAACATAAGAAGCTTCGTCCGAGTTGCCAAAAATCTGTCTATTGCTTCACCGCCCAGGTAAACCCACTACACTTCGAGGGTCAGCCATAAAGAATCATCCCCAGGAAAGGTCTCAGCGATATCACTGTGCGCACATGCGCTACGCTGTCATGCATTTGTTTTGTCTTTTTGAAGGCAGTGTCCGAGCAAAAAGTCGATTTTGAGATTTTGTGCCTACCCGGGCCCATTCGCTATGCTGAATCCGAAAATCCACATTGGAGAGCGCGAAAACGACGAAAAAGGACTCTAACACTGGAGGGGAATCAGCAAGTGGGCGGGGTCTTCCCCACTGTGAATTCACGCTCCCAGCTTCGGTTGCGATCTTTTTGATTCCGGTTTCAAGTCATTCGTTTGCACTTGATCGGCAGTGATGTCAGGAGGCTAACGGACTCGAGAAAATTGCTCTGGAAGCTGGAAGCGTGAATTCACAGAGGGGAAAACCCCGCCCACTTGCTGATTACCCTCCAGTGTTAGAGCCCTTTTTCGTCGTTTTCGCGCTCTCCAGTGTGGATTTTCGGACTCACCATAGCGAACAGGCCCGGGTAAGCACAAAATCTCAAAATCGACTTTTTGCCCGGACACTGCCTTTGAGTAGCAAGTTGTAGTATCAAAGCAACAGAAGTTCTGGAGTTTACGTTTTTACTTTTTACTTTTGCGCGCAAGAACATCGAGTTCTGTTACAGAACTCGATGTCCCTGCACGCAAAGTAAAGACATTGTGCTATGGAAGAGGTGGTAACCATAGCTTGCGTGTGATGGTGCAAATGCACACTAGTCATTTTTAGGCAGCCTTTACAAATGGAAATCTACTCAAACATAGACTATACACAACGCAGTCGTGTCTTTTAATCCCCAATGTCGTTATTGTCAATCTCAGTAAGACTCCCCCCGCCTTAATATGTGCCGGGAAAGCTTAAAGACCAACTCAAAGATTAAACTCTTGTTGACCACATTCGCAAGCGATCTGTCGCCCGCGCGAGATTAAGACTGCCCCTTTTGAGAGGATCTGATATAAATTTGCAAAAGAAAAACACTGCGTCATATTTCTGCTGATTGTCGCGGTAAATAAAACAAAAATTGAAATACATGAAAAGCACTGCATCGACTCCAATAACAACTGTGTATTCCGTGAAAACTACATGACATAATCAAAATCTCACACAAGATTCCATGTAGCATAATTTTTATGAGACTGCATGTTGGAATATGTTCCTTTTCATGCTTTCTTCAAAAAATTCAATGAGAACGATGCGATGTGGACTCCAGAGAGATATGAAAACTAAAGAATAAAATTGTGATTTGTGCATAAACCCAATCAAAAAAAGATAAGGGGCGCTGCTTTCCATGATATTCTAGAGCCATACACAGTAAAACAATCTTGAAGTTAACTAGTCAACCGGGTTGACAAAAGCTGTCATATCGCTTATTACTAATGAATCCCAGTGGAAACGATTTACCAATCACAAAGTCCTTAAAATGAACCTGCCCTTTTGGCAACGGGAAGCACTCAGTTATTCATGCGAAACCAAAAATGAGCGCTGCTCCAGAATGATGTATTAGGTTGTCCGGAAATTAATGTCCGTTTTGAATCTCAACCGCAGCAAGTCATACACTTTTCATTCCTAAATAGCTTTCAAGGTACCATTCGATAGAGCAAAGCAACTCTACAGTGGCCGTATTCATCAACGAACCCTGAGGGTTAAGCTTACCCTCCAGGGTTAGCTTAACCCTCAGGGTTCATTGGCCGTATTCATCAACCATAGGCTAGGGTTTACCACGGAACGCGATCTACCCGTATCGATCAACGAACCTGTGGCCGTATTCATCAACCCTGAGGGTTAAATTAACCCTGGAGGGTTAAGGCGTCAGTTACGCGTGCGCTGTGCAAACTCACATCACAGAATACCTAAGTACGGGCTAAATTCACTTTATACTTCTATTCTTTTACCTATAGTAGTATAGTCAACGAATAAGCTTCTAACACTAGCTTTTATAATACATCTCTAGCATACTTGTGCAGCATCCAATCTTACAGCGTAAGTTTATTTTCATTTGTGCAATTGTGCAGTGTAAGTTCTACTTTTGCGCAGTTCGTTTTATACCGGGCTTGTGCTACTTTTTTAGGGGTCAATGCGTGTTAGTATAAAGGGGTTCTTCTGTTTTGGCACTTGTCAGAGTAGAATGCCATTTTTCTTCGTCGCATTCATTTGTCACCAAAGCTAGAATTCTTTTTGCGAAGTCAATGTTTCATGTGCTTCGAATATGAACATGAAAAAGTCGAAACTAAATACTATAACAACGACCGACACTAAATACTACAATACTTGTTGATCGTTTTTCATAAACTATTAGATGCGAGTAAATGTTTGTATGAAGTGTTAGAGTAGAGTTAACCTTGCTCTGAGCTAGGGTTAAATTAACCCTGATGAATCACGTAAGTTTAACCCTCCAGGGTTAGTTTAACCCTCACGGCTCGTTGATGAATACGGGTTAGTCGCTTTCGGGGTAAAATTAACCCTCAAGGTTAGATTTAACCCTCAGGGTTAAGCCTACCCTGTGTTTCATGAATACGGGTTAAACGCTTTCCAGGGTTAAACTAACCCTCCAGTGGCCGTATTCATCAACGAACCCCGAGGGTTAAACTAACCCTGGAGGGTTAGTTTAACCCTGGAAAGCGTTTAACCCGTATTTATGAAACACAGGGTAGGCTTAACCCTGAGGGTTCCTTGAGGGTTAATTTTACCCCGAAAACGATTAACCCGTATTCATCAACGAACCGTGAGGGTTAAACTAACCCTGGAGGGTTAAACTTACGTGATTCATCAGGGTTAATTTAACCCTAGCTCAGAGCAAGGTTAACTCTACCCTGACACTTCATACAAACGTTTACTCGCATCTAACAGTTTATGGAAAACGATCAATGAGTATTGTGGCATTTGGTATTGGTTGTTGTTATAGTATTTAGTTTCGACTTCGTTTTTCATATACGAAGTACATGAAACACTGACTTTGCGAGAAAAAGAATTCTAGCTTTGGTGACTAATGAATGCGACGAGGAAAAATGGCATTCCACTCTGAAAAGTGCCAAAACAGAAGAACCTCTTTATAATAACACGCATTGACCCCTAAAGGAGTAGCACAAGCCTGGTATAAAACGAACTGCGCAAAAGTAGAACTTACACTGCACAATTGCACACACGAAACTAAACTCACGCTGTAAGATTCGATGCTGCACGAGTATGCTAGAGATGTATTATAAAAACTAGTGTTAGAAGCTTATTCTTTGACTATACTACTATCAGTGAAAGAATAGAAGTATAAAATGAATTTAGCCCGTACTTAGGCATTCTGTGATGTGAGTTTGCACAGCGCACGCGTGACTGACGCCTTAACCCTCCAGGGTTAGTTTAACCCTCAGGGTTAATGAATACGGCCACAGGTTTGTTGATCGATACGGATAGATCGCGTTCCGTGGTAAACCCTAGCCTATGGTTGATGAATACGGCCAATGAACCCTGAGGGTTAAAATAACCCTGGAGGTTTAGCTTAACCCTCAGGGTTCGTTGATGAGTACGGCCACAGGGTTAGTTTAACCCTCGGGGTTCGTTGATGAATACGGCCACAGGATGGCTATCTTGCTTCAACAGCAGCTCTGATCCACCTCGAGTTTCGAGCCAAAAACTAAAAACATTCAACTCCCCGAAAAATCGAGAAAAATCACAACTTAGTTCATAAGAATCCTGCAAATATTCTAACTTGCTCACGTAAAGACTATCCACATAAGGCATATATGTACGCCATTGCCGTATTTTTTCCTCTGTTAGAAATCAAAAAAACGAAAATATTCATGCTTTTGCCAAAGTGAGGCTGTGTCGTCCCCACATAAGTAGATGTGTACTGCAAATCTGTAGAAGTACAAACGTAAATTTTCGGCTCTCTACAAGCTTCAGTTCTCGAGAAATATCGAATATAGCTTTCATTAGTCAGGTGGTCCAAACTAAAATTCAAATTTCTCGAGAACTAAAGCTTGTAGAGAGCTGAAAATTTACATTTATACTTCTACAGATTTGTAGTATACAACTACCTATGTAGGGACAGCACAGCACCGCTTTGGCAAATACACGAAAAATTTCGTTTTTTCGATTTCTAACAGAGGAAAAAATACGGCAAAGGCGTGTATAGATGTTTTATGTAGATAGTCTTTACGTGAGCAAGTTAGAACATTTGTAAAATTCTTACGAACTGAGTTACGATTTTTCTTGATTTTTCGGGCAGTTGAATCTTTTTAGTTTTTGGCTCGAAACTCGAGGTGGATCAGAGCTGCTGTTGAAGCAAGATAGCCATCTTGCAGAGCTTGCTTTGCTCTATCGAATGGTACCTTGAAAGCTATTCAGAAATAAAAAGTAGACGACTTGTTGCAGTTGAAATTCTAAACGGACATTAATTTCCGGACAACCTAATACTTTGCTCACAGTTTTGAGCTGCGCAAATAGCATTTGTGTGAGATTTATGAACGGGCAACTATTTTGACTTTCATCTGTAAAACTTCATTTTTGCAAAAGGTGTCGATAATCTGAATTATCGGGCTTGAAGGAATATGTCTGGACGATTCATAAATCGTCTTCCTGAATGATCCTAGAGCAAGATAGTGTAAATAGTCGTATGCCTGGAGGAGTGCCATAAAATTTATACATTCGAAAAGAAATCAGAATCCGAATAAAAAAATCACACTGCGACGGAGCTTCCGTCTACCTTACAAACTCATTACACAAGGACTTCTTTACTGTTTGAAACTCTGCAACCTTGCCTATTCCGCTCAAAGTCCACTCAGGTTCTCGACTTCCATGTTCTGAACGTTCTGGGGCCTTCTCATAATAAATGTGGCGGCTCCGTGGCTTAGGCGGAAATAGCGCCTTTGGTGGAGCAGTGTAGCTGCTGGTAGACAAGGTAGTTCAGCAGCTTTATTGAGTCAATCAACATGCCCGCATGGGTGCAATGGTAGAATGCTGCGGATTGAAGGCGTGGTAAAGTGGTATCACAAACATCTGGGCAATAATACACTCATATCACAGCAGGTCATGCTTATGGCATGACCTTTACGGTGCTTAGGAGAGGTAATGATAGGATATGAGGAAGGTGCCGACAATGTCGGCACACTCCCGCCGGCGAGGGGAAACAAATAAGGAACAGCGAAACGAGGAGCATAAATGTAAACACTGTAACTAAGAGTACCAAGCGAATATTTATCAGGATACCTTAATGGACGTAGCTGGGGAGCGTGGTAATTGGGAGCGGAATACTGGTGAATGCACTGGTGCCAGCTGGCATAAGATTGCAGAGAAGCAAGTGGCATTAAGGCAGAGTATAATGGACAATTATGATGTCTTAGTATATTCTCCTTGCATCGTCGCGAGTTTCCAATCAGGTGCCTGTCGATCTCATCATTGCTTCGTCGTTTACCGCTTCCAGGCATGGTGACCTGCGAAGTCGGTATATCATCTTTTGCTGGTATGGCATCTCCGCGGGTCATGAATGTGCAATCCTTGGACTGTTGACAGAGGCGCTCTTCACTTTCCTTGTCTTCTTCCATCGTTGAGGAGTCCATTATGATTGCCAGAGCATCCGTTTCCTTTTCCGCATCAAGTAAAAAATGTTTGAAAAGACTGGATTGCTGTTCTTCAACTACTTGACTTGATGCAAAATTCTTGTCTGTTTTTGCATATACTATCTGATATTCTACAGCGATATCAAAAATGCTAGCATCAGAAAGCAATTGGTAAAAATCAAGCTCCTTTTTAAGCTCTTCTAGCTGGAGTATGATAGTTTTTCTCTCGCTTTTAGACTGCTTGAGATAGAATTTTCCCAATTGGTCGACCATAGAATGCAAAATCGTCGTTCTTGCTCTAACTTGTGATAGGCAAGAAAGGAGAATATCTAGGTTTTCCAAACATTTCCTTTGAAGCTCTCTATCAATTTCTAAAGTGAATTTGAGCTTGAAGTTGCAGGAGTCAAATTTTTTGAGCAGATTTGCTAATGCTCTTGAGTGAAGCGAGATTGCCTCTTTGAAGAATTTTAGAGACATTTTAATGTTCAAAAATTGTTAGGAAGATAGGCTGCTTTTTGAGACGTTTGCTAATTTTGAGCAAAAATTGGGAAGATTTAGTCCCTGATGCGGAGGAGAATGGCTGTCGCTAGGTGCGAGGCAGCGGATTTTGGGCGCTGGGTCCCAAGGTTAGAATAGCTAACCTTTGTGCAGCTGAGGCGAGTGATGGGCCTTGCGATTTGGCCGATGCACCATAAATGTGGCGGCTCCGTGGCTTAGGCGGAAATAGCGCCTTTGGTGGAGCAGTGTAGCTGCTGGTAGACAAGGTAGTTCAGCAGCTTTATTGAGTCAATCAACATGCCCGCATGGGTGCAATGGTAGAATGCTGCGGATTGAAGGCGTGGTAAAGTGGTATCACAAACATCTGGGCAATAATACACTCATATCACAGCAGGTCATGCTTATGGCATGACCTTTACGGTGCTTAGGAGAGGTAATGATAGGATATGAGGAAGGTGCCGACAATGTCGGCACACCCTAATTGCGATTACGAAGTAATCTACTAAACCCCACAATCCACGTTCCGGAAAACCCGCAGGCAGGCTCGCCGAAAACGTACTGGATGGGGGCGCACAAATGGGCGGGCATTACTGGAGAGAGGCGGTGCCGACTTGGGGTCTCCATGCAACTTCGTTTTTCGAAGTGATTTTCTCGCTTCCAAAGCGACATTTTGCGCCGCGACTTGGGCATTCGATAGCGTAAGCTGCCAAAAGCTCGAGACCACCAATTTAGAGTGGACGGTTCCTTTACGTGCTTCAAGAGTGAAGCTTTAAGGAGCACGTCTGTACAATCTTCTTTTCTGCTGAAGTATTAACCACTGTCGATTCCTCATGATAGCTATAGATCTCGCTACTTCTCTAACATCGGAAAACACATGGCACATACATATCACAGAAACACCTGACATCAACCTTGAGCGAAGGGTGTCTCAAACCTTCAACTAATCCTTCACAGTAGCACTCCACGTCAGCAAAGGTATGTCATGGATGAAGCCGAGGTGAAAAAACTTATGCTCTGCGTCAGACTGATAAGTAAAAATTCTAGAATGATGATTTGTGAACAGGTTCCGAGCAAAGTTCGCAGATTTTGTTGGGAACTGATGGAGGCCGCGATCCTGCGTGAAGCTGTGTAGAAAAACAGAGACTCTAGTGTGTATATATGTGCTCATCAGGCAGAAATTTCGGGAACGGGAAAGAGCCACAGTTTTTCTGTATGAAGGAGCGTCGAGTCAAACTGCCCTTCGAAAAAAAATTGCGGGGTGGTAAATTTTTGAGAAGCTTATGACTTGTGAAGCTAATTTGAACAAGAGTTTTGGAAAAAATATCAACTGCAAATGTTCACTAAAAAATTGCCCCCACCTTTCGTTCCCTTGACGTAGAATCGTATTGTCGGTGGGATTCCAGGGAAAAGGCTCGATCTCAGAAATGGTTGGGGCTGCTGGGAGCCGCTACTCGTTCGACTATGTCCACCACCAGCTTTTGAAAGGCAGCTCGATACCAAATCCGTCAACCCGCACATAGCCTGTTCATCTAAATGCATGAGATTGGGACTCACATTATATAGCCGGAGGAGCAGCAGAGTTGGGAAAATTAGGAAATGACCTTATTTCGCAATCTGTGTGTTCTCTAGCCGGCACCAGATTGGTAATACACCTTTAATTGAGGCTAACGTTGCGCTGCCGTCACATGGGAGTCTCGGCAGACTTCAAACTTATTTGAGCTACCACTGAATACGGATCCGCTAGTAAATTTATTAGGTCGTTACAAAACTAATGTCGCTTTTTTGAAATAAACGCCACATCTCGCTAAAAAAACGTTTTCACGTGATCTCAGTTGCGTTCGATGCAGCATTTCATCCTCCTTCTAATAGTTATAAAATCATTGCAGCAAAGTTCGTGAGCTCAAAAGTTACCAAAATCTGACCCATCATTTTCGAGATGGCCAAGCTTCAGTTTTTTCCAAATTTTTATAATAACCCTCCGAAAAGATCCAAATAATGGATGGATAGAGCAAACCCTACAAAGCACAAAACTATATGTTTCTCCTTTTCACATTTCGCCGCAATTTTTGGTGAAATATGCCGAAAATTAATGGATTTTGGCGAGCCTGAGATTCAAACGCATTAAACACCTTTCCAAAATTTGACATTCTCAGAAAGGATTATTATTTAACAGTTATTTACAGAACAAATAAGCGTTTACAGATTGCAAATATCAGATTTTGAAATTTTCTGGTGCAGCCTGGGGACGTTGAGATAATGAATCAAAATGATTTTATCCTCGAAGGCTTCATGAATCAGGAACAAAAGAACATCCATTAGAAAGGGGAGAAAAGGCTGCATCGAATAGCACTCAGATTACTCGCCGTTTGCTATTCTACGAGATCTGAGCTGGCCAAGTTTGAACTCGGTACCACTGAATATAATCCTGTTGAAAAATTATGACGAATTATGGAAAGGAGAGAAGAATTGTTTTATATCCTGTAGGATTTGTTCTATAAGTAGCACTCTGAAGGGTTGATATAAAAGTTTGGAGGAATTGTGAAACTTGACCATCTCAAAAAGCAGGGTCGCAGATTTTGGTGACATTCCCAGAGCTCATTGATTGTGCTACAATGATATTGTAACCTTCAGAAAGAGATTGAAATGCTGCACCAAATGCTGCCAAAGTCTCTTGAAAACTTTCGTTTTACAAGATGTGGCGCTCATTTTCAGAAAGGGACATTACTTTCGGGACGACTTAACATTATTTAATTAATACTAACAATGCAGACCTTGTGTTAGGTGGTAGCTCAACTGGATTTGAAGCCTGCCGAGGCTCTAGCAACTGCACGGCACCAATACGTTAGCATGAGCAAATGGGAACTCAGTATCGCCCATAATTTGCTAGAAGTCACCGAACTTCACCCAAGTTCCCGAAATCTGCGTCGCATCGCCGTATGTTGGTCCAGAGTGTACGAATTTTGAAACCGAGGGCATGCTCGTCTCAGCTCAACGAGGCACACCTTCCGATATATAGAAATTGCCGTTGGATACGATATGCGTAAAAATTCACGAATTTCTTCAGATTTTTGCCCAAACTCAGGGTGCAGTGAGAAGATTAAGCGAGTAACCTACTGTAAGCAAAAATCTAGAATGATTCGTGAACTCTGTCCGCCTATCGTATTTAAACGATATGCGGACAGACGCCACTTCCATATATCAGATGCATCTGAGAAAATGAGCCCTCAGATTCAAATTACAGCCACTTTGAACCAAAATATGACGATGCGACGCGGATTTCGGGGTGCCCGGCTGGGCTTGGGTGACTTTTTCACAAATTATGAGCGGTACAGCATGCTACCAGATTTGATTATCAGCTTAAAAAGGCCCATAAATTACAAAGCTATGCCAAGATTCACCAATAATCAAGCTTAAAGTATGACTTTACTTCATTTCTAGACAGGGCTCGGCACGAGCTGGTACCAGGTAAATTTCAAAACGAAGTTCCCTTTGATCTTGAAAATTTCGTACAAAATCCTCATTTCACCCTAGACCCTAAGCGTAAAAAACGCTCAAAAAAATGAAACGCCGACTAAAAAACGCAGTTTTTGGTTTTTTCGACCACAAAGACGACATCCCCTTTGCTTTTTGTCCCAAGAACGATATCCAGCTTGACACGGTGCCAGCTGTGTCGAGCCCTGCTTCTAGAATAATCATCACAGAAAGCTTGGAGAAATACTTGACAAGATGCCTGTGGTTGACGTGAGAGCTCTAGCATGATGCAGTCACCTGCATCCTACTTATGATTTAAAATGCTTTGCATGAGTGGGCGCAGACTCTTCCTCTCAACCTGACTGATGCAGAGGCAGCTTTGAATTTCAAGCTAAAGCACATGCTGTCACTTGCTACGTAAGCAACGACACATCCCACAGCTGTTGCTAACTAATTCCCTTCTTGAAAGTAGTTCGAAAGTGCAGGCAACTTAAAAATGAACGGAATGCGAGCTCTGTCACATAGTCGATAAATCGGAGTATATTCTTCCACTGCTTAAGCACCTACTTATCGCTGAGAAATCGAAAAACACTGGTAAAATGTGTGTTTACACTGTGGGAATGAGAATAAGATTTTATCACGAGCTGCACGACCTTCTCTTAGCATCTTACGAGCAATTTCCCACAACAATTAATTAGTTCGATAACGCTTAAGATACTATAATGAACCACTCAGCACTTCACAGAGCATGTAAACACGCGTTCTTCAGTATTAAAAGCATCGGGTACCCTTGAATATGAAACTCGAATGGTCCAAAATCCCTCAAAAATAAAAATGCTATCAAATCAGTCATAAACTGGCATCGGGGAATGATGTTGACGAGAAAAGGCCTATCAAAGCTCGCCACTTGAAATGAAAAATGCAAAGAGTATCACTTTCAACATCATAAGGATCATCTGATCAAAATCAACCACGCGGAAGGATCAAAGCAGCTCAAAGTTCAAAATAGTTAGACATTGACTGAGCTTCATATCAATCCACTTTCAATGAGAATAAAGGTAAGAAATCGGCGCAATTGGCAGAAAAGAAGCAAGAGTTTAAAGAGAGTGGCTTTTAACGAGTGCAAGCAAAATGAGGGTAAGCTCCAAATGCCATTTTCTCATGAAAGCAGCATTAGTGAAACTCCCTTCCACTAATGTGGAAGAGAGTTTGGAAGATGAGAAAAAATTAAAGCTAGATTAGCTTGATTACTGTGAAATAACTAGCGGCCGATGGGAGAACAAATGCAGATTGGTTTTGAGGGAAGAGGACGCCTGTTTGCAAAGTCACGCCATAGAAATGAAATCCAATTCCTATTTTGCTCGAATTACATGGATGACAAACAAAGATTAGGACGATTAGTTCCATCTGCCTTTTCATATTATTCGCAAACTAAAAAATTGACTGGAGCAATTTTTCGACAAAATATGCCAAAAGATTATCATAGGGTTGTTAAATTATGCTGTTACCGATTTTAGAAACCAAAAATGCAAGTAGACGCATGGTATGGGCTGCGAAGGTCAACAGTAGGGAGGCGAAGGTGAGTAAAAAAAATACCTCAATTGGAAAGATCAGACCTTTCCTAAAAAATGAGGACCTTGGACTGCGAGTTGACGAAAGACTTTCGAGAAAAGAGATTTTTTCAAAGAAAAAAGGCGATCCTGCTCCTGAGAACAGCAACAAACTTTCTAGAAAAAAGGTAGTTCTGCTCTCGAAAACTGCAACAAAGACCTAGAATCCATTCTCGAGGCACAAAACTATAAAATTGCAGACACAAAAGACCACGAAGCTATGTCGAAACGATTATGCCAATGCTGTCAACATTCGAGTAAGTGAAACTTAGGGCAAATATCCAAAAAAAATGCTATTTTCTGAGGCCAAACACATAAATCTCGAAAAATAAGCACAGATCAATAGAGAAAGGAAATGCAAAAACTACAGCGCTAGAGCGCAACGAAGGCAAAGGTTCGAAGCAAATTGGTGCAAACAAAGTACGACCGGCAGAGGAAATGGCGAAGATGGAGAGAGAGAGCGCTCTGCGAGCAAGCAAGAGCACTGAACGACTTTTAACGAAACGCTCAGCGAACGGCCAAGAGAAATGCCAATCAAAGTTGTCCTGGAATCTCTCGCAGCTGTTCCTAGGGGCGCAATCGTCGTCTTGAGTCTCGAACCGAACGATGACTATTTCTGCATGAAACCACCGACAACAGAGCAATTTTGTGTTCGGACATCTCAATCATAGCTCAGCGCCGTGGATGCTTTTATCCGCGAGTCGAGAAAGAAATATGACAGATTTAGCCACCTAATGGAGCGGGTAGATTTGCTCCTTTTATGAAAATGGGGGAGGAGGGGGGCACAAGAAGGTGCGATAAAATGTATTTTAACATAGTTCCACTCGTTCATACAGTATACAGGGTGTCACAGAAAATGTGCACAATTTCGTTGTTAATATCTCTCTTGCCTAATGTCTTTCGCTGTGTTAAGGTACCATTCTGTAGAGCAGGCTTCAAATTAGATTTACATTATAAACTGAGTCATTTACCGCTGATTATAGAATGGTAAACTTCCACCATACAGCACCAATGCGGAAAAGCCCAGTTGAAAAAAAATTCGAAACAAGTGGAAAGCTGTGTATAACCATTTTCATGCATATTGATTTCAAACACAACTTTTTGAATTTTTGAAGCTTTTTGGAACTGCCACCATGTTTTCTAGTAGCATGTAAAAAACGGCTAATGCGGTATACCTGACATAACTTAAGGACCGGCCATACTATTTCCAGGAGGTGATTCGGGCGACTCCTGTAAATGCTGCAATTCCTGTGTTTCCTCACTTCCGATTTGTCGCATTACGGAGCGCTTTGTAAATTTCAGCATACATTGTTTTTTCGAGATTTACATGGTTGCGAGATTGCAGGAATCACAGGAATCGCAGGAATTGCAGGAGTCACAGGAGTAGTATGGTCGGTCCCTTATGAAAAGAAACAATAGGTAATGTACGAATTTTATATTTGGATCAGCGCATCTCAAGCCTAGTGCAAGAGTTTTTCGAATAACTGGACTGCTTTCTAAGGCAATATGGGGTTCTCAACGGCTCAGAATACTCTTCGAAATTCCCACCGTGATGTTACAATGAGGAGCTCGGAAATCCATTCCACACCGTAAAACTAAGCTAAAGCCAGCTCTACAAAAGGATATCTAAAAGTTGGCGGAAGACTTTGATTTAACAGAGATATTATCGGACAAAGAGCTGCCCAATAATTTGCGACACCTTGTGTAGAACTTCTCGGCAGACAAGAAACAATTGAACTAGGGAAGTGCCAAAAGATTCACAGCTTCGTATGCTAAAATTTGTAAAAAAAAAGACGAGAATAATCATAATAAATTATGTAAAGAAAATAAAAAAATAAAAATAAAAACAAAAAAATTACATTTTTTACAAATTTGGGCATATGAAATTGTAAATATCAAAGCACTTTCCGTGTTCAGTTGCTCAAGAAGATAAAAGCTGGTGTACTAATTCTCCGCAACTAGAAGCGTAACATTATGCACCCCTCGAGACACCAATTAATCCTAGTCATTGGACGCAAGCTAAGAGCCTAGAATTCGATTGGCAGATAGGACAGGAGGCTGAAAACACGGTCCTCGCTCATAAACACTTCAGTCTTCGGAAGTGTTTCTTCACCATTTTGTGGCTGAAGCAATTAACTACTCCCCATTCCCTCAAAAAGCGGCTGTTTTTGCCAAAACCTTCAGGTGCTGTTGGAGGCACAAAAACAAAAAGCAGAGTCACCTGTGCCTAGAGTCAGATCGTTCAAGAAAGCACTCACAGAACAGATAATACCTGAGCATTTGATGGACATAAAACCAATTAGAGCATGTGATAGGTTCCGAACAAAAAAAAACTGGATGAAGATGCATCTCTCTCCTAATCATCCATTGTTCTTTTTATGCCCTCAAAACAGACTAACGAGGCAAGCTTGAATAGATTTGAACGAACAAAAAGTGGAGAATCCAGACTAGCTGCCATAAATTTCAGCCTTAACGGGGCAGTAATACGACAGCCTAAATCGCAGTTAAGAAAAAATGATAGGTCTCATACTTCAGCGTATTTGTTCTACATTTTGAAAAAAAAATAAGAGCTCGATTTCCAGACATTTTCACAAATAATAGCTTCTCCATAACTAGAAAGAAAAACCCCTACGATGCTTCCTTCTCTAGCTAGTTCCCAACAAAAATCAATCAAATTCTATAGCTTCGAGTTGAAAAAAATGGCAAAGCAACTCAGAACCTTTCAAAAACACTAGCCGCTCTTCAGCGCTAGTTACGAGCTTCCGCTCTTGGAAACGAACAAAGTGACAGCTGAGAAGATGAGGCGGAGGAGGATAGCAGATAGCAAGCATTGACGATGAGCGCGTAAATAGAAGCAATAGGAATGATTGCTACCCGCTCTCTATCAATATCATCCAGCGGAAACACAACATCAGATATATGTAGATCGTCAAAACAAAGAAATATGAGATTCCCTTCGATAAAGAGATTTGTAAGCGAAAAAATTGAGACCAAACACATATTTGAACAAAACTCCGTTGAAAAGTTGTGATTCCTCAGATAGAATGCTAGTCAATTGCATTCGAGAAGCCTTCATATAAAAACATCTTTGAGATTCTAGGCGCGCCAGCAGCTTCAGCAAAGACAAGCGCAATTTTGGCAGAATATCAAAATGAAGTTTTCCATTCTTGGAAAGTGAACGCTTGAAAAGGTCACACTAGCTGGCAAATCTCAACCGTTTGAGGAGCCCATGTTAAAACTCCTGCTTTCATTTAAGTGGGATTTGTCATGCAAACGCCTTAGTAGTTGCTAAATGAAGATCATTCATCGCGAAAATTTACTCGGTCTTTTCGAGTATACCCTAAAAAAGCTGATAATAAGATTATGAATAATGTAGCAATAAGGACCAGTTGATCGACAAAATGAACGGATTATTCTCTAACAGAGAAACGAGGGCTCTTTTGACCCTGAGAATTTCGTACAAAGTCCCCTTCAACCAAAAACTCTAAACCTTAAAAAAGCTCAAAAAAGGAGTCGTTGGCTTCAAAAAAAAAAAACGTCGCAATTTTTGTGTCTTTTCGGTCACAAAAACGATATCCCTTTGCTTTTTATCCCAAAAACGATATCCAGCTTGACCCGCTTCCAGCTGTGCCGAGCCCTGTTCTTTGATAGTCAAAGACAATAGAACTTGGGCTATTTTTACTCCCAAGCAATGTTGTCTGAAACACTCATCAATCATAGATTATCCACTAATCAATCATTTCCAAAACTACTTTCTTTACGATTTTGCAACGAAAGATCAGATAATTACCAAAAATCATGCTAGCAAACGGCAGGTATGAGATTCACATTGGATTGCAGCCAACAGAATAACTTGGAAGCCAAAGTGACACTAAAACCGACTACTGCAAAAAAAACATGCTCCTTACAAAAATAAGTTTTTATGAAGATAAATGTGAATGGTGCCCAAGTTTAGCATAATAATCTCTGCTGCCTCACAAATTGCTGCGCAACAACGATTTCACTTCAAAATTTGCTTGCTGCATTATGATTCAAATAAGTTCATGTATCTGAGCTTATGCAAATACTTTCGAAAATGCACCAAGTACATCGATGTACATCCTACAAGACTGTTTTGCTTCAGTTCAATTCTGCGCACATAGTGAATAAAAAAATGCAGAAACTGTTGTTTGATAGAACTCCTTTCAGGAATAAGATAAAAGTGATCAGAAAGAGAGCAAACTATCAGACAAACACATATAACGTGCGTATATCTATTTTGCCACGCTCACACATATCCAGTGAACAATAAGATGTGCCATTCAAACGTGGTGATGTGCGGTGTTCCATTGACGATCGCTTTCCATACATTGAAAAACAAAAGGTTTTTGGACCTGTCGATCGTCGCTCGATAATCAAAATCTCTGAGAAGAATACACACATTTGTGAAATAATAATTCAGATCCTTCAAATTTGATTGAGCACAAGTAGCTCTGCAAACTGACTGGAATGATTCTGACAATGAAATACATCATAGGATATTCTATTGGCTTATAATATTGAATACATCGACAATAAACTATTCGAGTAGGGGAATTCTATCGAAGTCTACTGCACCTGTGATTGGGACTATTCATACTGTAATCAAAATGATAATTCCTGAGAATGCTTCACAATCAGTACTTTTTCTATGAAACCAACGGAAATAATCGTCGACATATCAGCAAGCTCGGATGGATGTATGCGAAACATGATAAGGATGCAAAGGTTGTATTTCTTTGAAACACGGCCCTCGCTATGCGTTGAAATACCAGCCTACTATGCAGTTCTGCGCAAAGATAAGTTATAAAGCACCAAATTTTACGAAGATATGCAGAGATTTTGAGATGTAGCTTCTAACAAAAACACTCGTTATACTATGTACAGGAGCTGTTCTCAGCCAGAAGCAAAACAAGAAAGCCAGGAAGAAGAAAACTGGATTGTGCGCATGTTTTGCAACACTTCCTGTGCCAATAGCAGATAGATAACTCATGTCTAGAACATGTTTCGATCGAAGCAACAAGACAGATCAATTAGCAGCCATTTCTGCTTTTGACTCTTAGAGCGCCTAGAAACCGATGTGAGAAACTGAAGAGATTTTTGGATTAAAACGGCAGTACCACTGATGCTCGATGTTTCAATAATGAAAATGTTATTCAGCTGAAGTAAGACCTAGGCGTTCCAGGCTCCATTCTAAGTAGTTTCCCACGATTTTTAAAGAAAAGTGGTTTTACTCGCCTCTAAAACGATGCGTAGGAATCCTCTACCATTCATTTCTTCGATAAAAAAAAACTATGACAAGATTTGGGAAAATCATAGAAGTTTGTTCCTTGATGATGTTGATACTGCGAGAAATTTTTTTGTATGAGTTGTTGGGAACGAAAAACAATAGCCAGACGAGAGTTTAGCATTTTTTATAAGAAAAAAGTTCACAGAACTACACTACCAAGGCCTAGATTATTAACTCACCTTCATGCTCCCCGCTGTCTCCTTCACTGGTACAGCGAGATGATGTCTGCACTCCCGAATCACAAGAATCCCTATCCATTTCCTGAATTTTGCGTGATGACATGGATAAACTTGAACAAAAACTAAAGTTATAATTCGCAATAATAAGAGAAAGATGTTGCAAATCGCATGAGATTCTCAAATAGATTAGATAGGGATTACAAATACCTAGTTTTTTTTTTCTAAAAAAATTAAACACAACAGAGCGTTCGCTTATCTGGTTGACGTAATGTGCTCATTAATGTAACTGGAAAAAAGCAAGATTGAAGTTATGCGATTTGATTCAGGAAACAGAACAAATAAAGAAGAGCGGTGCTAGTGAGCAATATGCAAATCGCTCCGCTCTCAGACTACAAACCGCGCGTAAGCGACAGAAAAAGCATAGCACGGTGTAACATCCGCTCAAACAAAACGGAAGGATAAATTGCGTCATGTGCTGCTAAACAATTAATTTTAAACCTACACTTCATCTCATGCCACATGCTCATGCCAGATCGCTGCCAAGGGGAGAAAAAGTATGGAACGAAGAATGCAAACGGACGAGGAAAGGCTGAAGCGTTAGAACAAAACAAGCAAAAAATTGAGGTGAAGCCAAATCTGAAAGAACAAATGCTCAGACTATCCAGAAACTGAATATCAGAGAGGAATGGAACATGCCGCGTAACTTTTGCTAGTAGACAGTTTTTGCTACGAATAAAGAGGAAGTTAGTGAAAACTCCTACAATAGCCTAGCTTGCGCAAAAAAAACATTTCTGATGAAGTTGAAATAGCGCAAAGTAGAAAGCTCCGCTAAGACTATCACAGCAAGAAAAAATCCGAGATAATCTTGAAAACAAGCAACTGATGCACATCTGATAATCTGGATACGCCGAGTCGCTTACTCCACTACCAAAATACACTACATTTGTCTAATATTTATCTCAAAAGAGACGATAAAAGCACAGCGGTGCACAAAAGAGACCATGTGGTAGAATACAGATCGGCACAATGAACATAAAAAGTACCATCACACACCATAACTTATTACAATACTAGATTAACAAAGACAATTATTTCCTGCTTTGATCATACAAATTAATGAGTAAAACAAGAATACAAGTCAAGATAAGATTGAATCCATGCAACATGCAGCAGCAATTAATTGTTCCGAACACCAAGACCCTGCTCGAGTTCAGCCCTCTTCTGCTGCACTTTTTGATAGATGTACCTAAAACCAGATAAAAAGCATAGAAACTTCTTATTTAATGAAAATATCTCTTTTATCAATTGACAATCTCGTGCTAAGTGAAAAATGTGGGAGTTATGTAATGTAATTTCGCTGTACATCAAAATGCGACTCCTAAAATAACCTAGCCTTAGCACTTATAGGCCGAAGAGGCGATATCTGGCACTCTTCTTGGAAAAAGTTGCAGTAATATAAAATCCAATTGGTAAGGCGTCGTTGCTTTGAAGATAGTTCAAATGATAGCACAAATGAGACTAGGAAGATTTGGTAATGACCTAAGCACCAGAGTCACCAGTGTATTGATGAACAGAGATATAACAAGCAAAGTAAATCGTTTCGTTGAAAACTCACCTGAATACACCTTCCTGTGTTTCCGGTCTATAATAATGATCAGCTCGACGCTCAGCTTCACCCTCACCACTTGCTTCCGTCATAGTCTGAAAAGCTGTATCATAGCGGGTCAGCTAAATCAAAAAAGACGAACCTTGAGATCTTGGCTCTGACTAACAAGCCATTTCCTAATAAACTCGTATGGATGGTCAGCGAAGCGCACATAGAAGTCTCGGCGCGTTTTCCATTCGTTTATCTGTAGAGAGAGTATCACGGCTGAGCCAACAAGACATAACAATGCCACTGCACCTGATCAACAACGTCATAGATTTTCTGATCCAAATTAGCTATATCCTGTGTGTTTGACTGAGCATGCACAAATGCTGCCATGTGCTGCTTCAGAGGATCTTCAACTTCCACATCTGCAAAATTGAGGTTTTCTTGAATGATGAAGGGTGGTTGGTGAGTTATACTCACGGAGAATCATATTCAGACCACAAAAAAACTCAAATTATCATGGATATGCTCTAAATTGCTCAAAGCTCATTATTTGTGTAAAAAACACATGCAGGATTGAAATGGAAGTCCTTATGTATAAAGCGATTTACTTCTAAATAAAGATACAAAATTACCTATGTCATAACACGCCGTATTCTTCTCCGCTCCGCCTTCGTTGTGCTTGATCACATGCGTCAAAACCTAGATACCATGTAACATGCAGGCTTTCGAATAACAAGAGCTAAGAAAATATTTGCATAAAGATTCTCAGCTTACAAGAGGATCGGGCTGCTGTAACAGCTGGTGCAGTCTCTGGGGAATTTCCATGAAACGCATTCGTTTACAGCTGAAAACTTGTTCCAGGAAGGTGTCGTTGTTGACGGTGTCATGGTCTACGGGATCCTGGAAGTGACAATGCGACTATCACGAAGTACGGAAATTATCAGAAAATCTATTATGGGTAAAGTTTTTACCATCGTTTCGCATATCAACGCAATTACGTAGCAAGCAATGAGATCTACTCATCTCGCCTTTTTAGCCGAGAATCACGCACAGTCATTTATCGAACTTTATGACAAATACCAAGATCCGCCGTAAAACACAGAATATACATGCGAGCCCCAGGCGATGTAACTCAATGTATTTTGCCGAAATCGACGTTTCTTTATCATAATTTTGAAAGACTGTTCATCCAAGGATACTTTAAAACAGATAACCGAAAGGCATTCAACATTCAAAACTTGCGCTACAACAAGTCTAGGCTATCTTTTGCAAATAAATCCTCCATGCGAAGGAACGCGGCATAACACTGTTCAAACATTGCTACGCCAGACTGACGCGGATCTGTAGGACAGAGAGAACAAAAAAAAAATCCGACAGGGTTGACATAGGGCGGCGTGATTAGAAAAATGGTTTTCGTAGAATAAAATGAATAATGTGACAAACACACAACGGCAGAGTTACACCTCTCATAATGTTATCCTGCGATTATGGCTTAAGATAAGCTGACAGATAAGCGCGTAACATAATATAAAAAGGTGAAAAATGCACTTCAAAGACTTCGTATATGTCAAGAACAGTGGTGTACTGAGGATCGCGAAAATTTTGAAAGCTACTTACTTGGGTTATAAAGTTGTTCAAATGACTTGTCTGCACTTGTAAATAATTAACATGATTTTTGAAATTCATCACATATTCAGGTAAACGTAACCTATTCTTACCTGCAGCTTGTGGGTCTTGATGTACTGCCAGAGAGCTTCTATTATTTTCGGTCTTGTTTCAGCAGCAATGCCAAGAACCTAGAAAGACATTTTAATGAGCAAATGCGCTCTCGCAAATTCCTGGCGTATTAACCTTAGCCAAACGTGGGTGTAATTTAAACTTCATAGGTTGATAATCCAGCAAGAGGAGAATTGTACATTTGACAGGCCGATCCCCAGGACGTTTCACCTGAAATTCGTCTTCAAGAAAACCATTTAGAATCAGTATTTTACAAACCTGGAAACCATCTGTTTCGTTTGTGGTAGGAGTGCGATGCCATTCGACTAAGTGATTGTCTGGGCCATATATATCCTTGTCAAGCTCGATTACCTGAAACACCATATTTGTAATGACTAAAACTGAATGTGAAAGTAAGCTTACCAAGCTTTTAAAAAATGAGCTAAATTTCCGCTTCGGCATTGGACGCGCAGGTGCTGGGTTCTGTGCAGCGTTATTCTTGAAAATAAAGATTCACTACAGCGTTATAGCAACATACAGTTTCCTCATAAAAAATTCATTTTGTTCGTTTTCCAAATTCCGATGATCATGAGACACCACAAAGAAAAAAAGAGCGAGAGTCAAAAATGAAAGAAATGGATAGTGATAAGCCATATCCAACGTGGCTATCTCGACCATCATGTGAAATAAAGAAGTAGATCTCCATTCTTGAACGAACCTGGTCTTCAATCAGTCTGCCTTCGACACGAAGCTCCCACATTGGAACTGTGCCTTCATCACCTTCCTAAAAGAGTTCCAAAGTGAGTAAAATAAACATGAAATTACGATGTTCTCTCACTATAGAAACAGCAGAAAAAATGAAAAAATCCGACCTTTTCCGGTTCCTTGCCTGCTATGAAAGTATGAGAAATGTAGATTCTAAGCCTCTTCTTGACCTTCTGAGGCCTCTTCAATGCTTCCTAAACGGAGCCTAACTAGTGCCAATTTTGAATGCGTCATAAAGGCGATCTGACGAGTACGAACCTGTATGTCCAGTTTCTTACGCGTGATAGTGGCATCCAATTTTTGTTCGAACGCCAGCAAGTCCATGTATGCTTGGGATTCCGGGACCAACTCACGAACCTTAAGTAGATGACACATAATTATAGCAATCTCAAACAAGACATTGGTTGAAGACGCAGTTTGAAAAAGGGCTAAATTCCCAGTTTACAAATTATGAAAACTGAAAGTACTTGCATGAATATGGTTGCTGATGATATTTGCCACTACAGCAGACCAAAACAAACAGCCAAAAATTAAAGAAAGTATAAATCTGCTCAGTTAGTGCTAACATTCCTTAGTATCGAGAATTGAAACTATTTGATACCGATATAGCAAAACAATGTCGGAGGCAAACATAGGTACCTGTGGTGAAATCAGCTTATCAGCATATCTCTTCTTTTTTCGAAGTGGCTGAGAAACGCGGCTGGATTGCATAGGGGGCCCTTGCGAAGGCATCTGAGGACCTCCTGGTCGTCGCATCGCTGACTGAGGAGTTGAACCCGGCTAAAAATGCCAAAAATTAAAAGTGATATTCCGAAAACCCCCCGCACTTTTGCAGTGTAACCATGCCAGACAGTTTCTATTGGAAAACTAGCATCGAAAGCTGCTGTCTGGTCCCCTTCATTGTTGCGGCAATGACTCTGTTCCCTAGATAACCACGAGCAAACACTTTCCAACCAAATTTGTCATCTTATTGGCCAAAGCGCCTCAGTCATGTTACTAATAAGGAGACGTCATAAAGAAGATGCCATATCACAACACGACTCTTGGTGATTTTCCGCAAAACAAACATTTGCGTAAGAAATGGTGACGTGTTAGTTCCCTTAATGGTAATTCGCAAGTATGACTGATCTTCACTGCTAAGAGGAATTGGCCATATGTTGCCGGCAATTGTCGCCAGGGTTGCTGATGCGGTGGTTTAGAAACCCATATTAGTCACTCGTGCGCCGTCTACGGAAACACCGCACCCTGGCAGCACTTCCCGGCAACAGGCCACTACCAAAGCTAAGAAGAAGAAAAGAAACTAAAAAAACAATGGAGAGAAAGGAATTTGTGAGTTTGGCAAAACTCGTACCAGTACGTGCCAATCTCCAATAAAATCAGCAAAATCACTATGGCCTACTTAGCACACAATGTCTGGAATGATGGCTGAAGAGAAATTACGATAATCAAGACGACCAACACGCTGAAAAGAATGCAAGCTGATTCAAAAATAAGATCATCTAACCATGGCAAAACGAGGCACTTTCTATACACGATGTGATCATAATAATGGGCCCCTAATTTATCATCCAGTTCACAAATTCCATGGCTTTGGTAGCCTCTCAGATTCGTACAGAGGCGGGTTGCGGATTATCCCTTATAAGGATAAAATTTCCACGTTTATGTGTAGCTCTGAGCACTTCCTCACTACGAAAAGCCGCTACGCTTCGAGCTGGCATGACTCCGCCTCGAGGCGGAGGCCAGATCGTATAGATCTATACGATCTGGGAACAGACCACCCATCGTTTGCAAAATCTAGGTCCATGTCGCATGACTAATCGGAAATTACGGCAGTATTGTGCCAACTATCTCTGAACCCCAACCGCGATCAAGTTTTTATAAATGCAAGCGTTAACGGCAGTGTCTCGGCAAAATTTCGTTTTCCAGTTCTCCACCATTTCGGAGCCTTCTCGCCATGAGAAATCCATTTCTGGGCTTTTCAGCGCATCAAAATGGCAAGAATGAGCTTTTTTCGAAGCTTTTCAAGACCACATCCAGTGAAGATACGCCGGAGGTCATTCGCTCCCCTCTTTCCAGGATCCGTTCACTTACACGTATTCTCCACTGAATGCGGTTAAAGCTTCGGAAAAAGCTCATTTTCGCCATTTTCATGCGCGGAGAAGCCACGATATGGCTTCCTTATAGCGAGAAGACTTCAACAAAGTAAATCTGAAAACGACATTACGAGACACTGCCCTTAATCTTTCACGAAAAGCTTCAGCTATACGATGCCGCTGGTACCGCTGCTATTCTATTTAATGCTGAAATGACCAGCATTATAGTGTCATTTCTCATACCGATTCTCATCGACTGCTGTATGGTAGCAGTATCGGCTCCAAAGGCTGCGTTCATACCGTTCCAGAAGTTCGCGAACAATTCTAGCACAGCTCTTAGTTCGGACGCTGTACTCGTACTGTTCCCGAAATCGGACAGTATGAACGTAGCCTAAAACACCAATAAAAAGTTTGCCTTCTCACAGTTGTGCACATGATAATCCGGTTCTTCCCTTGACTGTTTATTCAAAGAAATCTATTAAGCGACACACCTGAGGCCCATAGCGTCCCAAAGATTGTCCGGGCGTCCCAACTGCACGTTGCTGCTGCATTTGTCCTCGTCACGGCAACAAATTTGGCAGTGATCCTGATTCAGCCCCTTTGAACGCTGGCGCGGAGCCAACGAGCACCGTACAGCTTTTGGATGCGCAGGTGTCACGTATCGATCGCCGCTCGTCACGCGCCGCCGTGCTGACGCGGCCCCGTTTTCGTATGTGAGGCCATTTGCCTGCGGTGTTTCGCTTCGACACGGTCCGATTTCTCATACCTCCATAAATTTTCATCTCTTGAATACGAAACTTACATAAACATAGATTATGGCTGAGGTTTCCTTTGCACCTTCCGATTTTTACACGCTTCATATTGGTTGTTGATAGTCCGTTTCTGAGATGTCAATTTTTTAGGACCGACGAGTGCTTCGATCTGGTGAAGTCTCATCCAGTCCTACGGCAACGCTTCGTGCAACCATCATTCTGGTCCAAGTTACCCTACCATTTTTGTATGTTGTTCAAGTTTCGCATAAAGTGTAATGGTTTTTGCAAATACATATTCAAATACGGATGATCACTGTTTTCATCGTGAAGTGCTCAGTGGCTGAGGCTATGTTTGATAGTACCAGTGAATTTCGTAGGCCAGTCTTGGTGATTCTTTGAGATTTCGTTTCTAGATTATTCATTTCATGTATATAAAGTGGAGTTGAGCTCGAAGAATCGTCTATCTCTTCTCCCACACATGCGCTGCGAAGCACGAAACTGGTTTTGGATCCGATATGACTGGCGCGTCAGCGAATTGCCCCGCAAAGCGCAAGTATTCAACACTTTTCAGTGCGGCTCGCTCCTCTCATAGGGAGACGATGGCTCTCAATTTCACCATGAAGTGAATGTTTGGCGCGGGATGTACTTAGCTAAAGAGTTTTTTTAGAAGAGCAATGTGTAGCAGCGTTCGTGAAAGAAAACGAAAACATAATTAAACAGGTTCTGAAAGCCTTGGTTGAAGTTCATGTAATGAGAAAAGTTTTCCTATCGACCGGTAGTAGTGCCGTCAGTTGTTCCCGGGAACCACTTGAGACCCTTTTGCACTCGTGTGGAGGTCTCACTGTAGTGGTTCCACATTATAAGGTCTTTTCATTTCCAGAAGGTTCAGATTGATTTGTTTACTTCTCAACTGCATCAGTTTCCACTAAAAATAAACGGTGACGCTGATGAATTTTTTCGAATGTTGTTTTCTTTCGATGGAAAGGAGCAAATATTTAGATGTTCTTCTTCCTGCATCGTGTCTCTTCCGTGAAGCAACGCTTTTGAAACCCGGTGATTCGTGATTGTAATTCTTTAGTATAGCTGCATTTCAGATTGTGAAATTTATCATTCGCAGTTGTGGTCGGGCACACTGCCAATCAAGCCTGTGATATTGTGATTCTGATTTCGTCCTGATACAATGTCTTCTGCAGAGGAAGCCGCTAAGGAGTATAAGTAGGTTCAAAAAATTCTTTCACAGAAAGCCATTTAGAGTTGTAAACGTTTGGCACACTCAAAACAGTTATGGCTGCATTGCTCGCAAATTTCCTCAAGTATTTTAAGTCGATATGGGCTTTAGTAATGGACTATCAATTGCGGATGGGCATATTTTGTAAAATGTAGTTCGCATAATAGATTCGACTGAAGTATGCTCGAGGATTTGAGGGTGGCAATGCACAAACCATCTATATTGCGCGTTGCCATAGGTGTTTTGGCCGTTTCGAGTACACTTTGGGGAAAATCCAAATGCGTTGAAAAGCACCTACAGGGGTCCCAGCCAGCGCAATCCTCATTGCCGCGCTCAATTTGGATAGTGTATGCATTTGCACCTATGAGATACAAAACTACTCCACTGTACAGGCTTTTTTTGAAATTTGTGACATCGCTCCAGTTCCTTAGTTCCATTTTGGGTACTATGCTATTGCGGTTTAGTGAAAGTTCATGTTTTGCAAAAGAAGCATAGTTCTATATTGACAAAGTTGAAAACTACTATCGTATAGGAGAAGTTACTATATAGTTTCTGCATTGTTTTTGTAACGTCATTTTTCCCTGTATTGCGCTGATGTGAATTCGAGTGGATATCTTCCAACGATGGTCAGCCAGTCTGAAAGCAAAGTAAAGCTGACGCATCAGTGATTGGTTCAATGTTTCTTTCTTGATGTGGAATGTGTATTGCTGACTCACTCAAGATTCTGCAACTACGTGTTTGTCGTCAGATTTCCATTGCATTCGTATTCCTTGTCTTGTAATTTGGAACTGCCTTCGAAGTCATTTGATAAAACACCGTTTTTCGATAGTTGTTTTACACAACTGGGAGGTCAGAAGCGACTTTTTCTGCGTACATTTTTACAGTAATTCCACCGCACTCGGTATAACAGTGCATGCCTTTACTTTGTTATGGTGATGATGCTATAAAAATTCACAAAAAGGGTCTATTATTTCATTCTGCTATAGGATCTTCTGTAATAGTATCTAAGGATGTTGAAAATGTATAAAGACGTTTCTACGAATTCTGATCAAGTGGCTTCATCGTCAGCAATTAGCGAACGTTACAGCTGGTGACAGACACTTCATTGATGTTGGGCAAAAAAGACTGCTTGGCTGTGTTTTTTTATCACTTCGTCTTCCTTTTCTTAGCCATCATATTTCGAATATCTGTTGTGCTGTTTTCATTTTCTTTTCATGCTACGAGGCTAGTGAATTACGAACATCATTGAAAGGAGATTCGATAAAATAACATGATACCAGAATTTATCTGGCTTCACCAGGGACTTATCATCGTTAGGCTTGCGTTTTGTTTTTTAAGTACGCCTCCTCCCCCCTGAGAATGGGTCACGAAATTTCTGAAAGTTACACTAATTACAAGAATGTGCAACTGACTTGTTCATTCTTGTAAGTAATTGGAATATTTTTAAAATTCTATTAGATCTTAGCTTAGCTTGCAAGAGAATTTTTTAGGAGGCGTGGCTTACGCCACACTTTGTTTTCGGAATTTTTTTGGTTATGTGCCCACGAAAAATTTAGGAAACATACCAAAAAATTTTCAGTTGCTTGGCTGAAGTCATGCATCATCATCAGAATTTTTCTTTTGCTCCCCCCCCCCCCCCCTGAAGGAAGATCCTGGGTGCGCCACTGATATCAGACATGGGAATCATACTCGCATAGATATTCAACAAAACTTAGGCCGCGTGTTTGAGTGTGTCGGGTGCTCTAGCGGTCATGACCAGCAAAACTGTCATTGTAAACATTTAGCAAATTTGATCTACTTCTCCATCTTATACGATTTTTGAGTTTCAGATTGACGCTCGATGAATTAGCGAATAACAACAAAACACAAATAAATCTTCTAACAATATTGGCCGAAGATTACCAACAGTATGCAGCTGCGATAGTGGAAACAATTGAAAAACAAATTTTTACCGTGAGTGCATATCGAGGAAAGTTCATTTCCAGAACAACTTATTGAATGAATTGTTCAGGTGCCAAAGCAACAAAAGCTGCCCGTAATGTATGTAGCCGATTCGATCATGAAGAATATTAGGAATAGCGACTACATAGAGCTGTTCTCGAAGATAGTTGTCCGATTGTTTCTACATGTTTTTCTTGAGGTAACGATTGTGTAGCTTATGGTAATGTTACTAACTCTTTGCTTAAAGTTTCAGGGAGATGAAGCAGTGCGATCGGCACTATATCGTCTGCGACAGACTTGGGGCGACGTATTCAATCGATCGAAGCTCTATCAGTTGGACATTAAAGTGAACGAAATTGACCGAGCATGGCCTCTGACGGCGCTAAAGCAGGGAGCAAAGCCTCCTGTAATCACAAACTCCGCCCCATCACTCCCTCCAAACGCCCCGGTTGCCCCCGCAATCAAGCCGATTCATGCCAAAGTTCACGTCAACCCAAAGTTTATTCAGAACAATGGACAGAATTCAACGGTATTTGATTTCGTACTGTTGGGCTGGTTTTCAATAAAATATACTGTCATTCTATCCTTTTCTTCCTTCGACTCCACATTAGGTGTCTTTTTTCCTTCCTGTTGTATGCCATTGTCAACACGGACACATCTCACCATGATTGATTCCATCTTTGAAATGCAGATTGAAAAGTGTTGAAAGACATCTACAGTATGTCGAGTTTTGGGCGTTTGAGCACGACTAAAAATAGTCATAATAGTTTCTGTCACTTATGGATAATCATTCTCAAATTCAGTTTGATTGGAATTATTTGGTGGATCAAGTCTGGTCTGGTTATGAGGTGTACGAACGCCTGATTGGTTTGTAGGCGTCAGCTTTTGCTTTGATAATTAGATACGGAAATTCCCAGACATCTGAATGGAAATAAGTGAAAGGGTGGTTGATCGATGCACTGCATCGAATGTTTGGAGTTCTTGCGAAATTATAATTACTTTACATGTATTCAATCGATTCGTATTGCAGAACGAGGTTCGGAAAGGTAAGAATGATGCGCCGAAACGTGTACGATTCAAAACAGAAGACTTTAAAGAGCCAAAGAAGGAATTGATGTGCGTTTTACCTAATCCATAGGTGCATGGAGATTTACTGCGAACTGAGTGATTGATTTCAGCGATGAGTTGCTGGATCTACCTCCAGTGCGAGGCAATGATCGAGCCATCAAGTCGGAGCCAGATGAGCCAACACCACCTGCGCGGCGTAGTCCACAGCCCCCAAAAAGGAAAGCGGCTCTCTCAGGCGGGCATCATTTTGAGCAGAAACGAAGGCGTTCGCCTCCTATGTCTTATGACGAAGACTTGAGGTCTATGCCCAGTTCAACTAGGTAAGCATATTTGAGCGTTGTAGATAGTAGTTGTGTAGTCGTAATAGTCGAGCAACAGCTTCTTGTCGTAAACTCAGGCTAATCTGTAGAAAAGGGTATCGTCTTTCTGGAATTAGAAGTTAAAATATTTTTTTTTCGAGTCATATACAGGTTATAGGGGTATTGAGGGCATAGCAATGACGAATGTGATAATGGAAAACTTCTACATGCGTATTTTTTGCAGCAAAGACGTGAAACCGACTCCCATCATCGGATCGCATGCTTTCACTGTGCAAGCAAAAACAACTCTCAGCCGAATGCAGCATGCTCAGCTTCCCCTTCCTGGAAGGTCATCGCCACCTGGTGTCGCAAATGGACTTCCAATGCCAGCCGCTCAAGTTCCTAGCGTTGCTCCCACGGCTCTTCCAATGCCCCCTACCTTCCACGGTCCATCGACAGTATCTGGTCCTGGAGGTCTACCTATGCCTCCCAATTACCATCCTCCTGTTGCTCCATCAACATCATCTCTTCAAAATTATGTTGCGCCGGGTGTAGCATCGATTGTGCCGTCTGTGGCACCTGCTGTGCCGTCTGTGGCACCCGTTGTTGGTCCAACAGGCCTTCCGATGCCTCCTAATTATATCCCGCCTGCTTCTTCTGCTGCACCTTTACCTATGCCTCCGGCAGTTCGAGGGCCGAATGGCTATCCTATGCCGCCGGGATATCGTCCGCCAGCGGTACCAGCAGCAGCTCCTGTACCTGCTGTTCCCGTTCCAACTGTACCAGCCGTACCTGTTGCTACGGTAACTCCTGCAGTTCCTCAGGCACCTTCCGGATCGAATGCGGTAAGTCTTTCATATCTTCTTACCACAGATATGAAGTGTGCTCTTTTGCAGATTATAACGACGGAGGTACCTACGAAGCTAGACATTCCATCGAATAATCGTATTTTCGTAGATGGGAAAGCGCATGAAGTAGAGTATGTAAATGATATAGCTGTAATAGAACGAAATGGCTTGCCTCACAAGTAAGTGTTTGCATATCAAAGGGAATTATCCTATCAACTATGTTTGCAATTTCCAGGATTTACTTTGCGGGTACTCCACGTAATGTTATAATCGATGGTGTTCCTCATCTTCTTCATTTTGGGGAAAGCAAAGGTGTCATAATAGATGGACAGGAACACATCCTTCGCTTCGGTGCTCCAAGCCGTGAACTTTATCTCAATAACTTTGCTTTCAAGGGACAATTTGGAGGTGTGTCTCATTTGAAATCGTGTTTTTACTTTAGATGATAGCTCCAGTTTTGCCGCTGCTTTTTTATTCGACTTATTTTATTACGTGTTCTTTAGGCGCTCCTATGGTCGCCACGATCAACGGTCGACGGCATGAAATACGTTTGGCAGGTCCTGCACCAGATGTCAAGATCAACCCTGATCCAGCGTATGAGCTGACGGCTGAGTTGAATCGAATACGAGCAAACAAGACCGAAAATAAGCGAGGTGGGTTTAGCTGACAGTTGTTGTAGTAAACCGTAGTTTGCTGAGAGAGAGCTAAGCTCTGTTTGCCGAGAAATTTTCTCCAAGAAGCATGTCGATTGCAATTACTCGTCACCTTTTCAGAACCTTCACCCGATCCCTTCACTCTTCTCAAGAAGCTGCAGCAAAGTGGATTCTTGAAAAAGCCTGAACCTGCTCCTGCACCTCAACCTAGCCCTTCAACGAGAGATCGTGTCCGGCATTCGACATTGCTGAGAGACAATGCCCCACCTATTCCTAGCGAGCACAGGTCAGCATTTTTAAATTTATTTTAGCTATACTCTCAGTTTTTCATGAAAAAGAACAGAAAAAGAACAGCTTAGTTATTTTTGATTGAAATTTTTCAATCCATTTTATGCCTAGATTTCATGGGTATTTTCAAGTTGCCACCATTTCAGCTTGAGTATAGTTGAACGACGATCCGTTCCAGCTGCACCTCTCAAGGAGTTCAATATGAGGATCCTCAAAATGTAAGTGTAATGACCGTTTTATACTTTTTTTTATCTAATATCTTTTACCTTTAAGTCGATACGATTCTGTGGTCGACGCTCTTCACGAAAAACAACAGAATGCGTGCCCACATTGTGGTCAACGTATGGAACTACGAGGCGAGCGATATGAACGACATCTGGATTGGCATGTGAAGAGGAATTTAAAAACCTTTGAGAACACAACTAGTAGTCGGCCATGGTATGCTAGTAGCAAGGTAATACCGATGTACCTTCCTTGCTAGCTGACATAAAATTTACTTTTTAGGACTGGTTGAAGAGTGAAGAAGAGGAAGAAACGGGTATAAGCGCGACGAGTGGGGCCACAGGTTTGTTTACTTTTGCTCATTTCCTGAAAATAAATGAATCTTTCAGAAGCCGTGGAAGAATCCCTCCCTGTGACTTCGGTATCCGCACGTGAAGCTATCAACAAGGTAAGCGTTCTTGTCTTTAGTCTCATTACCAAAATTATCTACGTACCTTTGCAGAGCTGTGCCGTTTGCTGTGAAGACTTTGAAGAATACTGTGACGAGGACGATGATGGTGTGTGGAAACTCAAAGATTGTGTCATTGTCAATAATCAGGTGAGTCGTGAAAAAGGGCATTTGTTGGGCTGTTTCCAGAACTGCACTGCTATTATCTTTTCCAGGCATATCATGTAGCCTGTGTTCAAGATGCATCAGTCCTTGAAGAAGCACCGTCGCAAGAATTGTCAGAATCATGTGATACAAAAAGTTTTGTAAAAGATACCAAGCTGTTAAATATGTTGGAAACAAGTTGAAGCAGCTAAAAATTAGAGGGAAACACAAAAGATTATATTTGTACATTGGTTGTGAATATACAGTCTACAATGGGTCATCGAAAGCAGGCATCCTGCAGTCTCGCCTTGCTTCGAAGTATTCGCCTGGATTATAAGTTGGAAAAAGAAAAAATAATAAATATTTGATTGTATGCGTTCGTGTTTATTTCTTTTTTTTTTGCTTTACTTTTGTTTTGTGCTTGGTTCGAAAATAAATATATTTGAAGATCTGTTTTGCTACATTCATGGTATCCTACCAACAAAAGCAGTACTGCAGAAAGAACTTAATATGAGAGTAGAGCGTGTTGGTACACGAGGTTCCGTCTATGGTATCTTCAGTGAGAGTTCAACTACTTGATGTACATAATTGGGGTCTCCGCTCTAGCAGTTGAATGCATCTCGCACTGAATTCTTGATTTCCCGAAACAACATCTGTCGACTATCACAGCAAAGAGAAAAAAACGTATAATAAAGGGTCGTCCTTTTGTTCACTTTGCAAAGGAATAATTGTTGCTGTAAACTGATTCGCAATTCCCTAAGCGCAAATTACACCTCTAGGTAAAATCTTGCGCAGACCTCACTAACTATCAGAGGGAAGCTGTTTTAGGCTGAGTTCATATTGATCCGTAAGTTCCGGAACAGTTCCAGCACAGCGCGCGAACCAGGGTCAAACGTGTGATGCGACTGTCGCAGGGGGGGGGGGGGGTCGTAAAGAGGGCAACTAAGGTGGGGAGGGGGTCGTAAGAGAAAGTATACTTTAGTATAACTATAGTTTGGCTGAGAACCATAAGCTTAAAAGGAAGTCAAAAAGAGCAGATAACCAGTACATGTTTTTTAGAATAAACTAGCTGGCTTACCCGGCTCCGCCGTATCCGGACCAAACTTGGCACACATACACTTCGGGCCCCGGCGGGTGTCACAGTCCACTTTTCGTTATCGATCGATGTCGATTTTACCGATTTTTTTGCAGAGTTCACCTACAGGGCTAGGAGTTGGCACAGGGGGGAAGTGAGCATGGGGATTCCGAATACAATATTAGTTTTCAGGATCGTCCATTACTTTTATCGATTTTATCGATGTTTTTGTAAAGTTTGACCTGCGAGGCTGGGATTTTGCACAGGGGGGTAATCGAGCATGCTGATTACGAACACAATATTAGTTTTCAGGATCGTCCATTACTTTTATCGATTTTACCGATTTTTTTTGTAAAGTTTGAGCTACGGGGCTGGGATTTTGCACAGGGGGGTAATCGAGCATGCTGATTACGAACACAATATTAGTTTTCAGGATCGTCCATTACTTTTATCGATTTTACCGATTTTTTTTGTAAAGTTTGAGCTACGGGGCTGGGATTTTGCACAGGGGGGTAATCGAGCATGCTGATTACGAACACAATATTAGTTTTCAGGATCGTCCATTACTTTTATCGATTTTATCGATTTTTTGAAAATTTGAGCTAGGGGGCTGGAATTTGGCACAGGGGCGTAATCGAGCATGCTGATCACCCCCCTTGGGGATGATCAGCATGCTCGATTACCCCCCTGTGCCAACTCTCAGCCCCCTAGCTCAAACTTTGCAAAAAAATCGATAAAATCGATAAAAGTAATCGATAATCCCGAAAACCAATCTTGTATTCGGAATCCCCATGCTCGATTACCCCCCTGTGCCAACTCCCAGCCCCCTAGCTCAAACTTTGCAAAAAAATCGATAAAATCGATAAAAGTAATCGATAATCCTGAAAACCAATATTGTATTCGGAATCCCCATGCTCGATTACCCCCCTGTGCCAACTCCCAGCCCCCTAGCTCAAACTTTGCAAAAAAATCGATAAAATCGATAAAAGTAATCGATAATCCCGAAAACCAATATTGTATTCGAAATCCCCATGCTCGATTACCCCCCTGTGCCAACTCCCAGCCCCGTAGCTCAAACTTTGCAAAAAAATCGATAAAATCGATAAAAGTAATCGATAATCCTGAAAACCAATATTGTATTCGGAATCCCCATGCTCGATTACCCCCCTGTGCAAACTCCCAGCCCCGTAGGTGAACTCAGCAAAAAAATCGATAAAAATCGATAAAATCGATATCGATCGATGACGAAAAGTAGCCTATGACACCCGCCGGGGCCCGTAGTGTATGTGTGCCAAGTTTGGTCCGGATCGGTTCAGAAATGGAATTTTCTATTCGGAACATACGTACACACAGACAGACAGACAGACAGACAGACATACAGACAAACAGACATTCAGCTTTATATAGAAGGATTTAGAAAAAATTAGAGTTAAGAATACTAAGGATAAAATTTTTTTTACAAATTCTCAAAAAAAAAACATTCCCAAGAGCTCAAAACAATTCTGAAGGATGTAAGATTTAATAAAAAAATCGAAATGTATTAATTGGCTTGGAAGTCTTGCTTCTGAAGCCTCACTAAGTCTCACACACCCGACAGAAGCGCACATCTAGATCAACAATGACAGTCAATAATTCGTACATCTTTTTGTAATGCCATTTATACGGCCCTTACAATTTATATGTACTTTGGATAAGCCCTGCTATTACTGTGCGAAATCTGGTGTTATTTTGTAAACTGTGGTTTTTTTATGATTTTATGTATGGTAGCAGAAAATCAGGAAAGGGGGGGGGGTCGTATCTGGGTCGCATCTAAATTTCTTCGGAGCTATCGAAGCTTGTTGGCTGCAATTTTGCTGTAATGTACCATCTTCCTACTTTCCCTCATAAAAATTGCAGGCTGTTTTATAACTTCTCTGGTAAGTTACAAATTTTTAAGCTCAAAAATCCCAGTTTTTGCTTTTTAGGATCGCATCTAAATTTTTTCGAGCTTACTGCTCCTCAAGGGATGAAACTTTTTCTGTGAATAGTCTGGGCACTATACTACAGAACCTATGTTTTGCAGCCTCTCAGGTTTTTCCTGGCCTTAGTTACGAATTTTGAAACTACCGTGCCCATGCACGTTTTTGACGTCGTTCTGGACGGCGCTAAAGCGGTTTTTTTCGCAGGAAAAACTTTGGAAGAGGTAGGAAGTAAGCTTCTTAGTCGAAAGCATCCTTCGTAGTTCAAGAATGTCATTTTTTTCTCCGTGCAAAAATTTGTGTCGTATACGGGAATCGAATTTGCTGGTCTGAAGTATGCCTGAAAATTCAAAAAAAAAACTTGCAGAATCTCAAACATTATTGAAGGCGTGTATGTGTGCTATAGATGCTGGGCGCACCCATTGGCCTGCTTCCGAAACCTCACTGAAGTTCTCACGCAGGTGTTTTTTGAGATTGACATTCGTTTATTCAGGACACCGCGAGGAATGTGGGCAGGGGAGGTAAGGGGAATAGATGGGGGAGGATGGGGGAAGGGGGGGGGGGAGGGGGGTCGTACGGATGGGTACCTTCAGGGATCGTTCATACCGCGCACAAAGGCGGACGAAGACGGACGAAGGCGGACGAAGCCGCACAAAGGCGGACGAAGGCGCACGAAGGCGCGTCTTGTCTCGTCTCGTTTCTCTCGACACACACACACACACACACACACACACACTCACACATGCCTTCGTGCGCCTTCGTCCGCCTTTGTGCGGCTTCGTCCGCCTTCGTCCGCCTTCGTGCGTCTTCGTCCGCCTTTGTGCGCGAACGATCCCTCAAGGGGGGGGGGTCGTAAATGTGGGTCCCGGATCGCATCAACACGCTTGACCCTGGCTTGAACTATGCGCTGTGTTGGAACTGTCCCGGAACTTACGAATTAGTATGAACCAACCCCTAACATGTAATTTCGGGTGTATGGTCCTATCCTATCATGCTTATAGATTGGTATAGAACAGCAAATCTGCATCATAGATAGTTCGCATTCTCTTCCTATCCAAAAGCATGGCGATTACGCTTCACTAAGGTGTTACGTCACGCCCACGGCCTGCCTATTTGCTCTCTCCTCGCTGTCTTCATCCCCTCCAACAGCGCATGCCTCCTAGCACTTCGATCGCGTTAATTTAGACCGACGATCCGGCCTGATATCGGGGCAGACAGTATATAACCTTGATTCAACTGGCTTGGCGGCTGGAAGGCGGTACTCTGTGATCTAATTAAGGCCGCTCGGGCCTGCGATACAGTCTGCGTCTCTCTCGAGCGCGTGCTTTCTGATCATTATTTAGCCTTAATCTCGAAGCCCTGCCTTCCAGCCGCCAAGCCAGTTAAATCAAAGGGTAAATACGCAACGCGCGCGACCGCCGCCATTGTCGCATTCTTATTGCCTCTCATCACCGATACCCTAGTATGAAGGGTTGCACGATGAGCGTCATAAAACTTCCCTCAAATAAAGGTAGTCGCACAACCTGGCTCTTTGGATTGATTGTCTCACATATTGGAGTTTCAAAGAAGGAGTTATCGCTTTAACATCGAAACAGAGGCAGTCAGTAGAAAAAAATCCATATATCTTTGTATCTGCCCTGAAAGAGCTGTAGCAGTTCCTGGTAGTGCGAACTCCTTAATTATAACGTAAGGGCCTTCACATCCCAACAAATCAGCTGCGATATTGACCAAGTGTTTCAGTGTTTTCTGCTGAATGTCTTGACATACTTTATTTGATAAGGTAGATATGTTTTGTTGTGTTTTGTTCGTTTGTAAGGAACGCCAAAAGCGTATTAAATAAATATAAGATACATTCATAGACAACTAGCTGGCAAACCCGGCTCCGCCCGGCCCTGTCATTATTATATTCGTAATCAGCATGCTCGATTACCCCCCTGTGCCAACTCCCAGCCCCGTAGCTCAAATTTTGCAAAAAATCGATAAAATCGATATCGATCGATAACGAAAAGTAGCCTATGACACGCTCCCTGCTCCGAAGTATATGTGTGCCAAGTTTGGTCCAAATCGGTTCAGAAAATAAAAATTTCTATTCCGCACATACGTACAGACATACAGACATACAGACAGACATACAGACAGACATTCAGCTTTATATATAAGACTAGTTGGCAAACCCGGCTCCGCCCGGGCCTGTCATTATTATATTCGTAATCAGCATGCTCGATTACCCCCCTGTGCCAACTCCCAGCCCTGTAGCTCAAATTTTGCAAAAAATCGATAAAATCGATATCGATCGATAGCGAAAAGTAGCCTATGACACGCTCCCTGCCCCGAAGTATATGTGTGCCAAGTTTGGTCCCGATCGGTTCAGAAATAAAAATTTCTATTCCGCACATACGTACAGACAGACAGACAGACATACATACAGACATTCAGCTTTATATATAAGATTACAGTTTGGTGCTTTTCAGATGTCTACACTGGCGCTGTTGGTTGAGGGCAGTGCTTGCGCGTGGGGCAGATTGGCTGTGCAACATGGCAGTGAAACCATAAACGACATCATTAGAGCTTTGGTGAGTATGATCATTCAAGGTTAGCGAATCATAATAAAAGGAACTGCGCTGTCGTGAAGGTTGAGGAGTTGCACTCAGATTCTTATAGTAAGTTTCACCTCAGTTTAGGCGGGTTGAAAAGACTGTAGCTGATATTAGACCGCGCCTCCCGAAATGTAATTTTTTGATTGCCGAACCAAAAAAAGGAAATTTCTGCAGGGGTGAGGCTTAAGTTCTTTTCCGGAGAGGGTTTCATGTTTCACTTAGCCTTGCACATGGTTTAACTTGGTGTCCAAATTCTTAACCAGTAAAAAGATACAGATGAACAGTAAATGATCCCAGTAATAAAGAATTAAATATGTCGGAGAAGCAAGGTCTGTGGCTGTATTAAAGAAGAACAAGCCGTATCGTTCTAGTAAACAAATCTAGAATTACCGATAAAATGCTTATGAAGAATAATGAAAACACAGAGTATGAGAGCGATGACAGGAAGATTTTTACGCTGGTCAACAGTGTGCCTCAAACTTATGAAGGAGGTCGATACTAGCGACTCATCAACTTTGCTCAGATCGCGTGTAGGTATCATCTGTGTTCCCATTGATCGTCGCATGACACAACGGAATTCAGTGACGCAAGGAAGGACCTTACGAAAGATTTCGTGAACATGTCTGACCATCAGCTCGAGGTCTTCTTCGTTCGCGTTTGACGTCCAGCAATGTCCAATCTGTTGCAACCGTGGTCCACCGATTGTTGTCGAAACGCACAATATGTCCGGCCCATCTGAACTTGTTCTGTCTGGCGTATGTGTACGTCCTTGATTTTCGATTGTTGATGTTGGATGGAATTTCGAATGCCCTCTTCTCGTGGTCCACGTTTCCGAAGCGTACGATAAAGCAGAAAAAACGTAGCTGAAGCATGCTAAATAGTCGTTCTATTTAAGTTGAAGAAAGCATCACGAACCCATTCGTCTAACATCGACTTCGTCAGATTCAACTTTAGATCGATCTTTCCACCCACGTCGTCAAACTTGGCCTGCGTTCCGCTTTTTGACATTCAGTGTAATCCGGACTATGTCATTAGTATAGCGAAGATGGTGTAGTACCGGGCGTCGGCTTTTACTCCCATTTCAATGTCCGCATGACGTTTTCGAGGGCGGCGCTGATATCGTCTATTCCCCACAGTATAGCGGGCGGAACTTTGCCGACGTTTGCCAACGTACCCGCGTGCAGTTTTTGATACCGCGAGAGTACAAGAACTAGTGCTTTAAAATGGAGGTTTAACAAGTTTCCAAACGTGTTAAAATGTCTGCAGGGCCACGCCCGCTATACGCATGGGAATCGTTTATAGCTTCAACGAATAGTATCGCCTTGCCGTACACCTCTCCCCACGTCATTGATGATGTCTTTGTATGCATGGTATGATGCTAGTTGTGGTCGCTGTATACAGCTTACAAATTCTTTCGGAATGCCTTACCGAAGGCATCGGTAACTTTAGTCTCGACCGAGTCAAAGGCCTTCTTCAGTTCGATGAAGGTGAGACATAGCGGCATCCTATACTCTCGTGATACTTCGTTAAGCCTTGACACCACTTCGTGGGGTATCGCGTTAAATCCTCTTCGAAACCCAGCTTGCTTGCAGGTTGTCCTTTGTCTTACTCTCTTCCGATCCTGTTGAGAATAACTCGCCTAAAGAGTTTGTAGATTACAGTCAACAGGCGTCGATGTCGCATGGCGAGTGGAAATTGTAGATAACTTTCTCCATCGACATTCGGGAAGAGGTTGTGGTTTTATCAGGGCGGCGGAGTGCAGTAATCTTGGTCTTAAAATTGACGATGCTTCGGTGGGCGTGGCGATGTTTCTTCCAGCCTCCGCGACGTCAGCCATTACTCAAAATCATCTCTCCTTGAGAACTTCTTTTATCGCCTCTCTGCATTGCTTCGCGATGGGCGTATATAGGTGACTGCCTGCGACTCGTGCTCGTCCACGCTGGCGTATCTTCCAGCTCCGTTGGCAGACGCTTCCTTGTAGTTCTTGATTCCTCGGCATACTCAGCGGTCATGGAGATTTTGGATGAACCGTTCGTTTTCTTGACGTTATCGATTGCGGTAATAGCCAAAATCCGGATATTGAAGAAAATAAATCCTAGCTGATGGTAATGGGACGATGTTTCCTGAATTCATCGGTTCTCGTTCCATAAAAGCAGAACGCGAAACGAAGAAAAACATGGAAGAAACCATGGTTCGATCCCGTTTGAAGTCCATCAGGCACTCCTGTCATTGTGAACTCTCCATCATCGGATGATTCTCCTATTCAGCGTCGTGAAGGTGGCTTCCGGAATTGTCGTTACCAGTGGTCCTCTTCGTCATGATAACTAATGCTTCCCCCTGGTCATTCCAATTCAGTCATGGGTCTGAAAACGTGAAGTTCAGTAGGCGACCGCTTAGCTTCGATCTTGGCGTGAAAGTCACCGACGATGCTTTTGAAGGGGGTATGCACTTCTCTATAGAGCTTCTCCAAGTCTTTGTAAATAGCTTTGATCGAGTCTCTGTTGTAGCTTGATGCTGGGCGTACCACGAACACTGTCAAGATTGGGTCGATCCACATCTTGATATTCGTAAATATCTGATTCGGATTGTCAGTTCTTCGAAGGAATTGATGTTTACGGCACGTATAGACAAGCATTCCTACATCGCTAGTTCCTTTACTGTTGCGTAATTCTAGGAAAAGGTCCAGTAAACGTATGCGTCAAGTCGTCTTCTAGTCTCGGTCAGTCTGGACGCTGTACTTGATCTTCCTGCTTGCACCTTAAGATCTTTGATGGATGCGATATGAACGGTTGTAGTGCAGATCGTCATCATGTCCGTCTCGTTTTCGGTAACCTAGATCACCTTTCAAACCTTATCTCCACTGGCGCTGTCTTATGGCACTTCCATGTAAGGGTTTTTCACAGTGCCAGTACACTCAATGACTAGTGCACTCTAGAAGACGTCGTCTATTACCCACTTTATAGATGGGGCGCCGTCTTTTGCAGACGTATACGCGTGGCAGTTTTTGATAACTAAGGGAACGGTCATGGTTTGCCGGCAACGGTTGTCGGCGTTGTCGGTGTTGTCATGGTTGTCGGGGTCAGAGACACTTTAGAGAGCGCGCGAAACGTGGAGGATATCATGAGGTTCTACAACCGGCAACCTCGGCAACCCCGACAACACCGACGACACCGACAATCGTTGCCGACAACCTATGGCCGTCCCCTAGAGAGTACGAAAACTAAAGTTTTAGAATGGAGGTTCACCAAGCTTCTTAATGTACGTAAATATCTGCATGGCCACGCCCGCTACATGCGTGAGAGTCACAGGTTTTGGGGAGGCAAAGAATCTCTTCTTCGTGCCATTTCCTTATTCAGAACAGGCACGGGTCGCTTTTGGTCCACGATGCCTCCTACCTGCCACGTAGGGAGGGCGTCCCACGTATCTCGCAATAACTGAGATAATCGCCGGGGCAGGCGGCCATGCGATTTATGGGTGGTCGGGCACCGGAAAAATAGTTCGTTGATTTCTTGCGGTTTGCTTGCAGATATTTGGAAGAATTTTAGCGAAATTTTAGACGAATGCTTGGAGAACAATCGCGGTTTCCTTATGCTGCGGCGCAGTGGCCGCATACTCGAGAATATGCAAAATTTTTGAGGGCCGCCTGGTTCTTTGTGAAGGACCGCGCAGCCCTCAAGTACTTTCCGCTGAGAGAAGGTACCTCAAACTTGATTAATTAAACCAGCGGTGACACCTCTGCCACACAGAGTCTTACCTGTGCTCGACGTAAGCCCGAAACTGCGTAAAAAGAGTCCAAGCGCCCGCTAAAATTTCGACCAGCGTTTGCTGAAAGAGATTATTTGACGAGCGTCTGCAGAAAATTCTGTGTTGCTGCCCGCTGGCAGAACATTAGACATTAAAGGAAGTGCCGCTCGCTGAAGGTTTGGCCACGCCCTAAAATTCTGCTGACCGCTTGCAAAAAGTTTGCAGACCGCCTGCTTCCCCCCCCCCCTCCGGCGATTATCTGAGAAGCTCGAATCTCTCTCTGAGAGAGATCCGCTCAGACGGTGAAGAGGGAAAAATATGGGAGCCAGGCAACTTTGCTGGATCTCGGAAACTGCGGCAATGTCCTCCATGGCATAATGTGGTAGGCTGTACGAACACATGATGACAGAGTAGGTCCAGTGGAATGCACTGAAGTTGCTTACGATCGGCGGCAAGCAGTTGAAAGAATTTGAAGGATCAGAGATCATAGAATGTGGTTATTCCTTGCGCACTCTTAATCATAACCGTAAACGCCATGAAGGTATCGTCCGATCAAATTTGAAGAAGTAAAGTAAAACGGCGCCCACCCTCATAAAGCTCGCGCCTAGTGGCAATGCACCACTTTATTTCTTAAGAGAGAAACGCTTCAGAAGTGCCGAACGAAACGCCTTGGCGACTGCAACACCCCTTTGAAGGCAGTGTCCTGGCAGATTCGCGCCCTGGGTGATATCGCTGCGGTGGGGTTCCTGGCCACCCCACTAACTTCTAGGCTTAGTCCGGCTTGTTGATGTCCCCCTGCGCCGAGAAAATAGCCCCAGAACCGGCGCGCGCTCGAACGACTTCGCTTGCCTGCTCGGTGCGGGACCCCATTACCGCTCTCCGCATTGTGCGTACTATTCCAAAGTAAAAATGACAGGCGGCAGGGTGTTCGTGCCGGGGCCTCCTCAATTTCCGTTGAAACTCTCGTCCGATCCGCTTCTTGGAAACTAGGGAAATTTCCCCAAAACGGTCTTTTCACCCGATTCTAAGCTCGGATTCGGGTTCTACGAGTCGGAAAGGCCTAAGACTTGCAGAAAGGTGAAAACGAAAAATCTGCCGGGACACTGCCTTTAATCGATAGCCAGAGTGTACACCGCACACTGTCAGGACGAGGGGTCCCACAACGAGTTTGCGTTTTAACTTTGGCGGCAGGCGTCAAAATTCGAATCGAGGACTTTTGGTATAGCCCGTTTTCGACATTTTCGTGCTCTCCAAGCTACATTTTCGGAATCAGCGGGAAGGATAAGCCCAGGTAAGTGAAAAAACTTCATTGGAAGTTTTGCCCGGACGCTGCCAGTAAGAACTTTCTCGAATATGAGTTTCCTTGGACAATTCTATACGCAAATGATGGGATTTGGATAGCATAACAGAGAAAGTTGGAGGATGAAGTAATAAAGTTTGCGAAGACGCTAACGCTACGCGCATAAATCAACATGTTATTGTATTTGATTATCCAATAACAGGAGGCATGCATTTGAGGGACTGTAGATCCGCCCTTAGCTGGGGATCCCTCGACTGGAGCACGGATCTTGTTTGAAGCACCATAGCTACTCCTCGTCCTTTCCAGGGATTTTGGCAAGCACATTTTGTTTAAGCTCTCTAGGGCTTCCATTTGCACTTCCTAGCATCTACTCAGGATGTGGTATCAAAGAGCGCTTTTCGATACAAACTCTAAAAACACATCTTTTCTAACTAAACGAGTATTGGCAAATGCGGCGACTTTATACTTCGATTGATCCGCTTTGGATGCGAAGCCATTCTGAACGCTGAGCTAGCTACTCTTCAGAATGGCGTCATCGAACGGCCTTGTTCGGCTGAAAGCCGTGAAGATCGTTGAAATTTGATTCAGCATGTTCGTTACCTAGCATTAGTATGCCTTGAATACGCTTGTGCCCGAGCTAGCGATGGGAAAATCAGCGGTACAACACTGCGAATCTTTGCTGGAAGGAATATCCGACATTTTGTGATACGAGCTTTCCCCAGTACACATGCGATTTGATCAGTCCACTTCCAGCAATCCAATACGAAAAACGTTACAAATTTGCTCAGAACTTTGTCAAGAAATTCCCCAATACGTGATTACGGATACCCTACTTTTCTAAGTTTTGATACCTTCTCGCGGAGTTACACTGGGTGTACGGGCAGAAAGCGAAGATCTGCCTGGAATTCTGGGCATGAGGGGGTATCTGACGCGCTAATCACATAAATCGCGTTCATTTCGCATGATAGATTTTCTACTACTATTCCAGCCGACCCCTAATGAATCTCCGAATTCACTGAAACCTTGTGTATGTGGGGGGGGGGGAGGGGAGGGGAGGTTATCTAGCATGTTTCTCACAAATAACATATTCATCTGTCACGCTAGCACCTTATTACGGCGTGTATACGCATAAGTTCGAAATCTTAGATTTTTCTGATACTTCGTCCAGAGGGCATTCGACACGCTGATCGCAAAAACCGTGCACTATTCGCACAGCAGGCCTGGTGAAGTTACGGTGTGGAGGTGCGGTGAGAGGGCAGTCACGTACTTGGCTGCAATTTGGTCATGATAAAGCATATACATAGACCCCTTTTTTGGTTCCTACAAGGTAAGGGTACTTGGTCGAAGTGGCGTTTCCATTGAAATGTATACTATCTTATAGAGCATGAAACGCTGATTACAATTCTGCTTTCCTTACCTGCAAAGCGCTTTTGGGAGGGGAGTTCTGAAAATCTTTTGAGGTAAAAATTTAATGATTTATCTAAGGTAAAAAACAGGCTTGAGTTAGTTTCGGCACTTGAAAGGAGTAATGACTGACATGGGTTTGTTAGATTGGAGGCATTTATTGCATAAAAGCCCTAGTAGTAAACATGGCCCCGTCTGAGCTCACGGATCAAGGTTCTGAATGCTTGTAGCCTCGCTTTCGGACTTTCGTATCGAAAATTTTCATAACTCTCCAAGCAGATTTGTAATCAGCATTGCATGCTTTATAAGATAGGGTACATTTTATATAGACGCCATTTCGACTAAGTATCCTTCCCTTGTTAGACCAATTTAGATCTCAAAAATCCACAAAGCCGTATTATGCGAGATGAGCGCAATATATGCGAACAGAAGGTCAGACAACCCCCCTTCAGTTCCATACGATTCGACCGGTTGCCGCATATTTGTTGTAACTTTGCTAAAGAGTCTTCAAGAGCAAAAAGGCAACTCTTTCTTCAAATCTCAAGGTCGCGACTAGTCGCTCTAGGCAAATTTCCACACCAATCTGCGACTACGTCCCCAAGTTGCATCCCCACTATAACTTAAAGGCAGTGTCCGGGCAAAAACTCGATTTTGAGATTTTATGCTTGTCGGGGCCTATTCGCTACGCTGAATCCGAAAATGCACATTGTAGAGCGTGAAAATGGCGAAAAACGGCTCTAACACAGGAGGGAAACGAGCGGGTGGGCGGGGTCCTCCCCACTGCGAATTCACGCTCCCGGCTTCCGAAGCCACCTTCTCGCTTCCGGTTTCAAGTCAATCATTCGCAATTGGCCCGTAGCGATGTTAGGATGGCTAGCGGGATCGAGAAAATCGCTCCGGGAGCTGGGAGGGTGAAATCGCACTGGGGAAAGCCCCGCCCATTTGCTGATTTCCCTCGTGTGTTCTCAGACAATCGACGGGACCCCTCCGCCGGACCCTCGGAAACTGCCAGGGTCGCGCCGGACCCAGTTGACCAATGAGAGAAGGGCAAATGGGCGGTCCATCGCGGTGGCATCACTGGCAGGCAAATGGGAGGCTTCTCCGGCCCTGCTGCAAAGGTCCGCCATTTCTCCGGCGCGACTCTGCCAGATTTGACGGACTCCGCGCCGCAGAAATCTGCGCGGCGCGTGTCCGCCAAATTTGGAAGAGCCGCGCCGGAGAAAATGGGAGGGGTCCGGAGCAGAAATGGGAGGCCTCCGGAGCAGAAAATGGGGGGTATCCGGAGCAGAAAATAGGGGGTATCCGGAGCAGAAGATGGGGGGTATCCGGAGCAGAAAATAGGGGGTATCCGGAGCAGAAATGGGAGGTATCCGGAGCAGAAAATGGGAGGGCTCCGCCGGACAAATGGGAGACCCACCGCTGGGGATACGCCGCGACCCTGCCACTTCTCCGGCGGAGGGGTCCGATCCGCTGTCTGAGTTAGAGCCCTTTTTCGCCGTTTTCGCGCTTTCCAATGTGGATTTTCGGATTCAGCATGGCGAATAGGCCCTTATAAGCACAAAATCTCAAAATCGAGTTTTTGCCCGGACACTGCCTTTAAGGCGATACCATGACGAACGAATTTTTTATCCGTGATCTGCATAACTCTTAGGGCAAAGTTACATCGACCTATCTCAAAGAATGCACATGGTATTCGTGATAGTATGCCGAATGAACCCCCGTGCAAAGTTCCAGCGAGATCTGAGACCCTTACCTACACGGCAAAGGCCATACCATGCGAAATGAATATCATTTCCTAATCTGCAGGTCAAATAAACCCCGAAAGAGAACTTTCAGCAAAATTCGTGATATTGAATTTTTGTTTGAACTAGGTAGACTGTGTCTCCACTGTTCATAGTCTACAGCATTTTGGAGCGTACCTAATGTAGTGCTTAGGCTTGAGATATACTTAACGATGGGTCGCTATAGCTGACGATAAGACGCTGCCAGCAGCAACGCCTTTTATGCGTATCGATTGACGCCATGCAACGCTGCTGCTTCTGGCTGCTGCAGCGAACGCGATACAGACCCGCTATAGCTGGCGATGCTGCGCTGCTCTGCGCTGCTGCTTGCTGCTCGTAGCTGCTCCTCGCTGCTACGCGATATGAAGCTCACTTTTGGTGAGCTTCTCTCAGCTGCTTTACGCTGCTAGCGCTGATTTTGCTTGGATTTGCCCGTTTTTAACATCCCTTTGAACTTCTGAAGGATTTTTAGAGCGCTTGTTGCGTTACTGAACTGGGACAAATTTGCAAGACCAAAACGCAAATGCTTCGATAGGAAAATTAACAGAGAATTGACAAAGTGAACGAACAAATAAATATATGAAAACCGCAGAAAACTTTTGCGAAGAATCAAAATAAATTAACAAAAAATTAGAAAATTTACGATTTAGTGGGATGTTACCAGTACACCTCAATACATTAATGGCAGCTATGACCTAGGTCGTTCGGTTTTTGCCTCAAGCACAAATCAAGATTTTATTGCGACACCGCTTAAATAATGGTAATGATTATTTTCTCAGTACTAGTGCAACATTTGGTTTGCAACTGTATGCTTTAAAAAGATTTGTTGATGAGAACAGGATGATTTTTTTGGAACATGTATCATATTCTTCAGTTTTTGATAGTTCTCAATCTTACTTTCCTAATGGGCTAAGCTAAGCTTAGTAATGGGTAAAGCTACTCGTTCTTGCACCCAAAGCGTACCCAGCGCAGCAGCCACGAGCAGCTAAAGGCAGCGCAGACATCAGCGATTCGCCAACACCCGCTATACCTCTATCGTCAGGTATATCTCAAGCCTTAGGATACAAAACATCTCTCACAGTAGTGAGGGACCGCAAATGAGAGTTACAAAGAACTGAAAACAAATCCTGCCTGTCAAGATGCTGTTAAAAACGAGCGGTAAGAGATGGCGCTCCAAACAAGATCCGTGCTCCAATCGAGGGATCCCCAGCTAAGGGCGGATCTACAGTCCCTCCATGCATTTTCGTGGTATGTAGCATGGCACGCACTGGCTATTCGAGAAGAATGTTGTTGGGGCAGGGGCTACTGACATTTTCACGAATATTAATGCAGGAAAAAGATGCCGATCAGCCTTGCTATCTGGAGAAGTTTGTGGGATGCCTAAAAATCTAGACCTAAAATCAACGTGGCCGGAGTCACTTCTCCAGAAATAAATTTACAGGGCTGGAATCAGGCAAAAGTCTAAGCGGAGAGGTAGACTCAAATTGTACTGGACATTATCAAGGCAAATCTACTTTAGATAAAGGGCTTTCCTCAGACGGGGGCATGTGAGGACATGACCTTGAAAAGAGTTCTTACAAAGTAAAAAAAAGATGAGACACACAGTTGAACCTGGTATTGTGGTTGTATAGATAAGCTCAACCACTTCTCTATCATTCAAGGTGGGGTTCTGCTACTGCACTTTTTCTTTTTGTTCAGATATCGTTCGCGAACTCTCACTTATCCATATCCGCATCCAATCAACTGCTGCTGTTTGCTTTCGCAAACAAGATCAAACGAAAGGTCAGTCTTCCTACATATGGTAGGATTGAAACATATTATAGTTCTGGAATACTGCTTGAGCGGATATAGTGTGAATCGCTCAATCAGGCTGAGTATTTCCGAGTCACAGTGAAATTTGAATTGGTCATTTCACCCATTTATCGACAAGTCGGTGGTAGTTTGTAATTAGGTTTTCTGTAGTGATCCTTGATTATTCTGATTTGCTGTAGATTCTTTCAAAAAGTGATGTAAGAGATGATTTACAGCTGCTTTACAATTCCCAGCGTGGAACTGCCGTTGATGCTTCGGTGGCGATGTTGAATGCGTTGCGCGACACCCTTCGAGAAAGTGCCAATTCTGATGATAACCGCATGGGAAGCCCTTTGGCAGCTGTGCTGTCACATGCTATATGTCGTAAGCTTCTTCATGTTGCTTCTTTTAAAACCTGCTTCTCAAGGCTTGAGTTAAGATCTGAAACGGACAGATGGTGCGAACAATGTTAATAAGGATTCTGCATCGACAAGTACCTCTTTCGGTCGAATCGTTATAGTTGCCATGACTGTGGATTTCGGCACCGAACATGGTAAGTATCTACTATAAAGTCATTTTTTTTAGTTATGGGATTTTGATGTCAAGGATTAGAGGTAACGGATCTTTGCTAAATTAGAGACCCGTCATACTTCGCCGAAAAAAGCCCAAAAGATCCCAAAAGCGTTTAAAAAAGGACCAAAAAAGCCCGAAAAAACCCAAAGTTGGAACGCCCCCTTCCGCGCGCACGTTTTGGCGCTAAGGCGTGTGTGTTGATTTCGAAACCAAGTCTTTTTCCATTGTCTGTAGTCTTCACATCAAAATAATGTCAAAATTATACCGAAAGTTTGTTTCTGCGTTTGGCGCTTTTGACCTTTTTTGGGCGCTTTTGGGCTTTTCTTGGAGAAGTATGGCGGGTCTTTAATACAGGAAAATCAATGGTTGATTATTTACCCCGCGACATAATTTATCCAGTCTAAGGTCCGTTGATGAATTTGTTCTTCTCTGCTGCCAAACATGGAGTGTGTGTCGACGTTGTTTCACTTGTTGAAGCCAGTCCCCTTCTTCAGCAAGCCGCTGACATAACGGGAGGCATCTTTTTACAAGTGGAGCAGCCTAGCAAGCTGCTCAGTAGCATGATGGTATGTTCTGCTCTTTTTTCAACAGAGGAGCCGCCTGATTTATCTTTCTTTCAAACATTTACCTTTGCAGCTTTTTTTTTTGTGATTTTAGACACACCTTCTTGGCGATCCTTCGTCCCGATCTCTCTTTCCACAGCCTACGCTGAAGGTGAATCCTATTCAAAATGGAGCTAGTCTGTTGTTTTTTGAACGCTACAACTTCAGGAGGTCGATTATCGTGCCTCATGCGCATGTCACCATGAACTAGTTTCTTCGGGTTGGGTGTGTTCCGTGTGTCTCTCTGTGTTGTGCCAATTCATGCCGATTTGCAAAGCGTGCGGGTATGTCGACTTTTTCTCTTCTTTTTTTGTAAATTCATTCATATAATTGCAGAGCCATCTTCAAAGTGAACCCAGTGCTGCCAAGGAAACATTTGAAACGAAAGCGCAAAGAATAAGTTGTACATATGCTTGTTTTTCGTTGTTGACATCAATATGGGTATAATAAATTGTTTCATTACCTAGAACATCAAAGTTATTGTACATGACAAGCTCATCATTGATATATTTCTCATCGTCGTTTTTTCTTGTACACCTTTATTTCGGTTGCTGCTACACTCCTTCTGTAAGCATAGTAGAGGAATACTGCATTCACGAGGTAGATCGCACAACAAACTGGGCAGAGGATGCGTAGTTTAAAAAGGGCTGAAAAATGATCAGTTTTCCAGAAGTTTGCGCTTTCTGAAACGAACACTGAAAGCAAACCACGAATATTCTTGATTTGGCAAAAGGGTATGAGTAACTTGATTCATTTGAACTGGGGTGCGGTTGCTTCATGTTTTTTTTTTGTCTAATGCTTACTCTCAACAAACAAAAGCCACTATATCCAGTGCTTTGTTTACATGACAGAGAACAATAAAATGGTGTCTCCAGCCAAACTATCGCGTCACAACGGTATTCTGTGCATTGTTTACGTGCGTGCAACGACTGCACTTTCGCTGCGATTTTCAAAGAACAACGATGAAAGTATATGCTACACTTTCCGGAAATTAAGTTTTGTTGTCTGTAGCTCGTTTAGAGCAAATTTCCGTAATGTTTATCTTTTACATAAATTCCAAATTTTGCTCACCTGCACCCAAATAAACAGACATAGTATTCAGGAACACTGCCAAAACTAAAGAAACCGTTGCCAAAGCTCGACTTTCCCATAGTTGTATGACCGCCAAAAATATGTATCCAACCACACCGTAGAGGCTATTTTTCTGAAACATGATCTATGCTTACTCAACGGTTTTATTCTTCATTTACTTGCTTGCCTGATTGAAAATACTCTCTTCTCCTAACAAAGGTGCGATTATACCAAATCCAACACTATATTCTGAGAGAAGAGCTGCCGTACAAGAGACACTCGGTGAGATGTCGCATAGCGCAGTGTATTCGTGATCCGCCTCTGCGCGAAATTCAACATAAAGAGCTAAAATGTGTATTTTTGCTGATTTGATGAGGTGAATGAAGTCAGTCGGAACTCTCACTATATATGGAGATGAGAAGACCAGCCAATGCGGTATGGAGCGCACCACTAGCATAAGTCACTTCTTTCGACGAAAGAGTTGGAGGCTTACCCATCTGAAATTGATTTTCCAATTAGACGACAACCGAGCGATACTGTGATTATGCAGCGATAAATAATAGGAAAAGCGAACTTTTGTTCATTTTTAGGCAAGCGCTTTACTTGATCCTCTTGGTCCGCTTGATCCACTTGATCCACTTCGCTATTGGTCATTTCACTGATTTGACCAATAGCGAAGTGGATCGAGTGGATCAAGCGGGCCTAATGATCAAAGCATGGTGTGTGCCTTGATCAAAAGACGTTGCAGATGGCTACTCAAGATGGAGAAGGTCAAACACCTGAGGTGAATCTATTATGGAAACATAATCGAAAATTGCTGTTCGACTGCCTTGATGCCCTGGATGGAGAGAAAACGATAGTATGGGATAGAAGTCTTATGCAGAGAGTGAATTTGGTGAGTTTGTTTGCTTTGGTTTCACTAGACAGCAAACATCTTCAGTGTTTGATGTTTAGTTTGCTGGTCCGTCAGTGCTGAAACTGCACGGCGTTGTCAGCAATCTTGCTTTGGACCAATTTCGTCCTCCTGATACTCCACATGTGGTATTCTTTTTGGCACCAACACTGGCAGCTGTTGATCATTTGTGCGAATATATCGATAAAGCAAAAGCAGATACGGTAAATTTATCTGTAACTTTAAATGTGACAAAACAATCTTATCTTTTTAGAAAACTCTTTTTGAAGTCTTCTTTATCCCTGAAGCTTGGTATGTAGCTCGCGAAAAACTGAAGGAGCGCAATGGAGGAAAGGTCAGTTGAGGATTCATTGTGAATAACTAATCAGATTTAGGAAAATATTCTCTTGACTTGACGAGATAAAATTACACATGGATAACCTGTGATATTACAGTACTGGGAACGCTTAGAATCTGTTCGAGAACTGCCGCTGACTTGGTTACCACGCGACGGAGACACCTTGTCGTTGGCGGATCACGAACTGCCATCTAGGTAATGCATAGAATATCAGTTTTCGAGAAACCGTATTCATTATCATTAAGATTGCTCATAAATGGAGATTGGACACATTTACATCGCTGTGCTGTTGCCATCCATCAATTGCTGACCTTATGCCCACAAACAGTTCCTATCTATAGTCGCGGAAAATGGGCCCAGGATATTGCGCGCATGGTGCAAAAAATGGGACCCGCTGATGTGGTGAGAATAAAAAGCTGGCTTTAGGCTGCGTTCATACTGATTTCGAAGTCGGGAACAGTTCCAGCAGAGCGATAGTTCAAGCGCTGGCTGGAACTGTTCCCGAATCCGGTTCAGTATGAACGCAGCCTTACGCATGACTTGAGCTAGAATTCAAGGAGAAAGTTGTAGCGTTAATCTGGATGGATTCAGCTTCAATTCAGGATCAGCAGTCTCCACCACTACAACTAAATCGGCTAGTAATAATTGATCGGTGGGTTGATCCACTCACACCATTACTACATCAGCTCACCTACGCTGGGATCTTAGATGAGATGTATGGTGTTGGCATGGTCGGCTCAATAAAGGTGAGCAAGCTAGGAAAATTAATTTTCGATTTTCTTATGAGAAAAAATGAGTAAACAAAGCAAACTTTCGCAAACATTGCCGTGACTACTGCATTAGGTCCACGCTTGTTTCCAATCCCACTAGCAACTTGCGCAAGGAAACGACTGAACCCGGTTTGGGGCTTGTAATAAAAGAGACCGTCAATAAGATGTTTGGAAATGAGAATGTGTGAAAGGCTTGCTACAAGTGTCGCGAGCGTGAGACAGCGAGCGGGTGGCGTTGGCACGGGATGACAGATGGTCGTTAATGCTTCGACGGGGCGGCCAAAATGGTCCGCTGTCTAAATACAGCCGTGATAATTCAATTATCAATCTGTTTTGCGATATACGCTACTTTTATTCAGAAAATGGAGATATTGAACTCTAAAAATTCGAATACAATAACTTCCCGCCTAGTGTGGACCGCAAGTGCCGCCCAAATTTGCACTTTGCAAGTCCATATTGTTGTGGCTGTGAAGGCCTTGTTATGAGACCGGAACACCTCCAGAAGTATGTTTTACAATTTGAGAGAGTACCAAACTACATAAACTACGAAATTTTATCGGTAAATTGAAATTGATTTCATAACACAAAGCCACTGGCAAACGTTTTTATACGTCATTTGTTGACTTCTCAACGTTGTTGGATACAAATGTTGGTTCTAAACGAGAGCCTTGAGTTTGCAAATGTATCCTTGCGCGGACCGATCGATTGTCAAGAATGGCCGCATGGCGGCCTTTCGCTATCGATCCGTAAAGTCGCGGAAACGGTTTTAGGTTCATTTCATCGGCGTTCGAAGATCTTGCGCGAACTCCGAAAGTAGCTGTTTGGTGGATTAGCCCAGTCGAATGAAGGGATAAGAGCCGGTTGGCGAGGTCTTTCTGTGATGGCGCTTCTTCGTTTCTATCACATAGATAAATACCGCCAGATGGGGGGGGGGGGAGGGGTTGAGATTCGATTCGAGATGTTGTCAGAAATTAGTAGTTTGGGCAACTAGGTCAACACCTAGAAAAGAAACATGAATACGGAAGTAAAAAAATCGCTCCAGATGACTGGCGCGCTCCGCCTTTTTAGCCCATTCCGCCCGTTTAACACGTTTCGGACCGCGAAATCGCGCGCGGCGAAAAAGAGTGCACTTTCAGCCATTAGCCAGCAAAGGGACCTTATTTCGTAGACTGTGTGCTACATCTAACCAGCTTGTCAGATAAGTTCCATACCCAAAGTTCTGAATGGATTCGAAGTGTTTAAATTTTGTCGCTTGTGAAGGACTTCCGTGCTTTTCTGTAAGATAGGAACAAGAACTCAGCTTCAAATAGTATCCAAAAGTATCTGTGTTGTAGACGGTACACATCAGTATTGAAACTACGGTTTTTCTCTTTGATATCGAAGCAAAAGAAAGTTGCGACACCGCACGCGTCGTTCGCGTTGCCGCACTTCGTTGCAACTGTTGTTCGATTTGTGCTCATATCTCCTAAACAGATATCGGCGGCACAACTCTACAGAGTCATTTGAAAAGTAGAAGCTTAGACCTTTGACTTGATAACCTTGGACTAAAAGAAAACCCCCTGTAAACGTCAAGAAGATCCTTCAAAGCAGGGTGCTGCATCATGTGCAGCACCGGTCCGAAACGTGTTAATAATATGCTAGCGGGATTGCCAGTGCACTGCTTTGAGTAAGGAAATTGGGTGGCGGGACATTATGGTCCACACTTTACTTTTTTTGGTTATCTTCGTGAGCTATTCAGTCATATATAGGCGCCGTAAAACCTAATTGCCCGCGCCGTGCCTTGAACACCAGTGTAAGCGAGCGGTCGTCGCGAACGACTGTCGGCGTTCACCAGATTTCAAAAAATCTTTCTTTAACTTTCATGTTGTTATCGTCAATGCAAGGTATATCTCGACGAAGCCCCTCTCAAAAGTTTAAAAAAATATGTGTGGAAAGGACGCGCGCTCATTGTCGCTCGAAAAAAGCCCGTAGCGCTTCGAGACCAAACGTTTCCAGCCGCGCCGCGCGTTGGTGTTCAAAGCGACGCGTGGGCAATTGGGTTTGGGCCTGTAAATACTATGCGGCCTTGCTTTTTTTTTTCCACAAAAGCGTCTATTTCTCTTGCTTTACGATCGTTGTCGATTTAACGATATGTTGACACTTATGGTTGGGCTTTACTGCTTTCATGGTCTTGAAGACATGGAATCGCAGAAAATTATATTCTCAGACTTGGCGAAATTACATATTCCCTTCTTCAGAAACTTTCGCGAATAATATACAAAAAAAGCAGAGATTTTTATTTTGAGTGAAGGGGCATGGCATCAGCCGCGGTTTCTCAAATAATTCCTCAAGCTACGCAAATTATGAATCGTAAATTTAAGAAAAAGGGAGTATAGAACCGCTTTTGAATGATTTACCATTTTTTTGATTTACGAAGACACTCTCAAAGATTTCGCGAAGCATTCTAGGAAAGGTAAGCATAGGTCTACTACTGTTGGGAAAAGACGAAAAAAGAGGAAAGATAGAAAGAGGCTAACCTGAACAGACGTTCATTTTCTGACTGGTAAGAGATGAACACGCTTTGCGTACGTTTGGTTAACAAGTTCATGAATGAGTTCTAACGTGTTTTAGTTAATTAGAATTATAAGGAGTCGTGACAGAACGTGTTCGAGCCAGCGCAATTCAATGAACTCAAACATGTTCCTCCACAAATTTCTGATAGCAAATCCACCAAGACGCGTTGAATCTCATTCATGAACTTGCTAATCAGATGTACGCAAAGCGTGCTCGTGTCTCCTAGTCAGAGGATGAATGAACATGACGTCATCTCTGCAATTCAATATGCTAAATGTTGAAACAAGGTGCTCATAATGTGGGAAGCTCAGTTTCGAAATATATTACTGTTTACGCATACTACTCTGGTGCCTGCTAATGCGTTTGAGCGTCAGCTGCATTTCGCAACGGACGGCTCGCTGCAGACTTAGATTTGCAGCTCAGCAGCTCACAAGTGTTCCCCGATATCCAAGCAGCCGAGCAGCCGCAATCAATTGGATGAGCGAACAAGGCTACGGCGAAAATCGTTGCTTAATTGGCTCATGCACAGAAAAGATAGTGTGCTTAGCACAAAACGAGAAATTTTTTTTCATGGGCAGGGGGGGAAGGGTGAGCGAAAGATAAAAATTCGAATGGAGAGCCGTGGCTTTAGGCCACGCCTTTTAAAAAGTTTTTAGATGTTTTCCAGGATTTCACGCCTATACACTCAAAATTTTTAGAAATGGAGGCGTGCAGAAGTTACGTCCCCGAGTAGATTACTCTACAGGGCCAATTTGAATTTCAGTTTTTCTAGAATTATTTGACTTGGTCAGAACTGAAAACAAGCAAAAAATGGTTGACTGGCTAAAGGGTCGGGCATACATCAAGCGATTTCGTCGCCTCGCGATTCTATCAACAAGACAACTGCTACAAGTTCATTGCATGCAGATCATTTTGCATTTCGGTTGTGATAGTTTTCCTACGCGACTAAGCGCGACTAACTATCACAACGAAATGCAAGATGAGCAGCATGCAATGAATACGTAACATTGTCTTGTTGGGAGAATCGCGAGGGGATGAAATCGCTGATGTATGCCCGGCCCTTGGGGGTAGTCGAGGGTGCGGGAAGTTTCTCACCCGAGCCATATTCTCGCACCTAAGTGATGTGCCTGGCAGGCACATCACTTAGGTGCGAGAATATGGCTCGGGTGAGAAACTTCCGCCCCCCGGTAGTCGACTGTTGGGAAAATGTAGCATTCCTTACTTTTTCGCATAACTTAGAATAAAGCTCTGTAGCAGAAAAATTTTTGGAATGTATTCCAACTTTCTTGAGCCCACAGCTCGAATTTTTGAATATAGGCGCTAAGGAATCGTATCCATCATTTTGTGTTTGCTTGCACAGATTTATAACTGCTTTAGGTAATTGGGAAATTCACCCATTTTCGAAAGGCGGGTGAGGGGGGAGGGTTAATCCATTTTGAGAATAGGCATTTTGAGAAATCTCAAAAATGTTGTTTTACATTGTTTTTCCTCTCATTTGAGTGATAAGACATTCAGAAGAAGGTGATACGCAGTGCGCAGAGCGTTTCGAAAACTCTAGTTCAAAAAAGATTAGCCAGCATCGCAAATAGACATACCTTAGGGTAAAAATTGTTCAAACTTGCTGATGCTTGATTTGAAAAGAATTTTCTAGGTACCTCTGGGAGAGTTTGAAAACAATGAAAACACGGATCCATTTGCTTTGAAAGAGATACATCTCAACGATGAATTGTTTCTTCGATTGAAACAGGTGCATATCAACGCAATCGGATATGAGCTAGCGAAAATACTTGGTGAAATCAAAGAAGATGAACAGGTAGAGATGAGAATTCTGCACAAGATGGTTTCAGCTCAACCTTTTCTTCCAGTTTGACCGGGATCGAATGTCTGTAGCAGAATATCAAGTGTTGGTGAAGAAAATGCCTCAAATTCTCCTTCGAAAGAAGCTGTGTGGTGTCCACATGCGACTTGCCGAAATGGCTCGTGCCCAACTTTACGATGTATTTGCGGACTACATCAAGGTTGAAAAAGGTCAGCTGCTGGTTTTCTGAAGAAAAAAAAACCATGACAGAATGAGTGATAGTGCCTTGATTGACTTGACTCTCATGTAGAGTTTGTTCCTCTGAATTGGGTTCAGAAAACGGGGTGTATGTCAAGGTGCGATTTTTTTGCCAGATGGACACCAGATAGTACATAATAAGTGTTTTATAACTTTTTAGAAGTATCTAGATTTTAAAAGAGACATCAGACAGCTCAACGGGTTGTTTCATTCAAATACCTTGGAATCATTTCATAACAGCCACTTCGAAGGTCAAAAAGCTTAAAAAATACAGTCAAAAATACAAAAAACGCAGTCTTCTCATTCTCAGTTTTCATGTTCTTATATCCCTTAAAGGTACTGAATTTGCAAATTTTCAAGCTTGGGTTGTTCATAAAACTTCCGAAGTGTTGAGTTGGAACCCTGCCCGGCAGCTTACAAAATTAGAAAAAGTACCTTCTCAGGTTTTTGGGGACGTCAAAAATGTTGCACATTTGCTGCCCAAGCAGCCAATCCGGTATAGTTTGGACTGAGTTGATAAATTCTAAAGGTCCATGAATGATCGAAAAACGAAAGCTGCAAATTTGCGGCCCTATATCTTTGAGTTCGAAGAAATACTGCCGCAGTTTAGTAACAGCGATTAATAACATAAGTGCGAGGTCAGATTTATCTTACCTAATAAGAATATGAAAATCTGTTCAATAACTCAGTATAATGCTAAATAATATTACAATGATAATTATGATAGAGGCGTGTATGAAAATGGTGAATGTTAGCCCCAACTCCACATATTAATTTTCTAGGTTTTTGATTTCAAAGGCAGCGTCCAGGCAGATCTGGACCTATGGAGATTTTACCCTCCGAGTTACAAACAGTTCTATTTTTAAATTCCAGGATACGTGTACCATTTTTCTGGGCAAGATTTTTTCATTGCTTTCAGAAATTTCTTTTCCGGATGTATAGGCGTTGGCCATACCTGAAAAACTTCTCGTCATATTCTTAAAATTTTGCTGGACATATTTATAAGCTCGAAAATTCAAAAAAGGAGCGTGAGGAGGGATAAGTCCCCAAAGAATTTTTTCACGAGCTCAATCAGAATTTTTGAAATCCCAAAAATATTACAATTTACTTGTACACTTTCATATCTCTTGCTGACAAGGTTCGAAATCCTGACCCATACTCGTGTAGAGGGGGAGGGGGGAGGGAGAGCTCCGTCACTGCTTTCACTTTAGTTTGGTGGTCACATTCATGATTGAATTTGTGTGTTAAATTTTTTTTTTGAAAAACTGGAAAGAATGATTGGAAAATCTTGCGAATGACAAGCTTTCCTTCTTCTTTTCGCAGATGTAAGAAGGCAAAAATCTCCAGTGAGGGGCGTCCCCTTGCCAAATGTTGGCAAAAAATTGGTGATTTTGCATTACATGCAGCATGATGACGAATTCGCAGCAGTGTGTGTTCGAAAAGTGCAGCGACCTCTCTGTACTTTTGCGTAGGTAATCTATGACCTTCTGGTACACAACATTTTGCATATGTACAGCAAAGTGCATTGCTTACGCACTTTGTTTGTGACCACTTGGAACTGTCAGATTTTTCAGATGTCGATTTTATTATACTGAGAAGGCTATGCCGGCGGCTGCATAGTGATTGAACATGAGCACAATCCGAATACTTGAGACTGATTTTCGATACATTTCGACATTTCAGAGCTGCTTGAATCGGCAAGCAACGATAAAATTCATCCATTTATCGAAGACACTATTGTTATGGGAGATGATGTAAATGCGGCTCTTCGCTTAATTGCTATACACGCACTCGCTGCAAATGGTCTCAAACCGGCTACTTTACACCAGTATAGGAGGATGGTCATGCAGGTGAGACGACAATGGTCTATCCTCGACCCTGAACTTACACAAGAGATGGTTAAAAAAAGCTTTGCGGCGCTTGGAAACATGGAATTCTGTACGCGAGTCGTCGCACGCAGAGAGTGGACGAATTTGCGTCCGATCAAGATACCGCAGATGGTGAAAGGAATGAAGAAGTCTTTAAAGAGATCCCGACCGCGTCCGCAGTATAACCCTGTCTCTGCGTGCGTTGAATCGCCTACCATAATGATTTGGTATCCAAAATGAGCCTTCTCGTCAATCAATAAATTTCTTGCAGTCATTCGGAGTTGAAGCTTTGAACAAACTCCTGAAACTGCAAAAAATGGGTGTCGTCCGAGAACGCGGTGGCAGCGGCAAACTGAATGCTGACTACGTCCCAGTAATGTTCTCGCATATGAAGAAGCAGTACAATCTACTAGCCGAAAACGTTTCTGAGACGGTGAGGGTAGATATAAACGGCAGAATTCACACTGTGAATTGTAACCAATCTCCAGAACACATCCGACTCTGCCTATGCCTACAGCGGTTATGCTCCTCTTCTTGTTAGGATACTGGAAGAAGGTGATCGAGTCCGATGGGCAGGATGGCACAAAACATTTGATGGCACTGTTGGCGGTATGTCAATTTCCTTCAATGACATCTTCAGCTAATAAAACTCCAGATTTGACTTAGAAAAATTTGGCGCTGTTCAAACCTAGCTTATACCATAGACTGCTAAACGAGAGATCTCAGCGAACGCTATTTATTTATTTTTGGACATATGCCCTCATAAAAGCGACTTGATATAGTCATATTCCACCGACTTGGCTTTGAAAGACCAAGAAAAAGGGGAATTCAATCATGATACCTAATGTAAAGGCAGCCATAATTTATGTGGTGAAAAAAGTTAATGGAATTGCCAGACGTGACTACTCAAAAAATTTAGGAAAATTTTAGGAAGCTATTTCAGGTGACGATCGAACGGCCATATTCATCGTAGGTGGTGTAACACGCGCGGAACTTGCCGGAATCAAACTCATGCCAAACATTTGCCTAACGCTCACATCCTCAATCGTGACTGGTAACAAATTGCTGGATTGTATAACGCAAATTTGACCACTATGAAATAATCTGATGAGTCATGAATTCGAATTCATATCTGTGATCCACAATTTTATCAGAACATAAATAGATTCATACAATACTCTGTGTCTAGGGGTGGTGACCAGACACCATTATGTCATGTAAAAAATATCAGTAGCGAGTAGGCTTAACCACCAAAATCATTTATCAAGAAAACACACAGGAAAAGAGACATGCGCTACTTCATAATATGATAAATAGTTACACAGATAAAAACTCGTATGGATCTTCTCCCAAGCGATAGAATATGGACAAGGTGAAAGAATTTGGGGGCGGAATATAGAGTCAGCAAGCTTTTTTTCAAGAAATGAAGTAAGAGAGCAAAAAACGATTGCTAACACCGGAATATTCACATAACATGTTATAGTAAAGTAGCAAACACGAGTTGTAGCGGGGTATTCGCAAGCCCCAAACCTGTAAACGGATCAATCAAACTGCACTGGGTAGGCTGAGAGCGCTTATCATTACCGCAAAAAGCGGTCACAACTCCTGAAGATAAGGAGTAACTCAGCCTACACATGCTTTACAACGAATCAAAATATTCATTCAATACTCTAAGCAACTAGACTTCAAAATTGATGACATCTGGATGAGCTGTTCCAACTATAAAAGAAACAGAATAAAGTCTGCCCTGAGTCTGCATAATAACGAATTCTATTCAATCATCGGATTCGCCCTTTGAAAGCGTGCGTGAAACACTCGGGGACGACGGGGGCCCACTTTTCTGCAAGGAAAAACCAAGTGTTATCAAACAGGTCTCTTTAAATTATATTCTATCATGAGTTTGATACACATGCCAAAAAACTAACCTGTCCTCGTGGTCGGAACAATTCATGCTTCATTAGCTCAAATACATCTGCTCGGTCTTCTTTTTTATACTGTAGACAGCGTCGAATGAAGTCCTGGGCTACCGGACTTACCTAAAAGGAATTATATATCATTACTGAAACCTATTTTTACTATATACTTCCAAGAGAATTGCGTTTACATAACCAAGGGATATGTGCAGATTGTATCAATCTATAAAATTATTTGCACGTATATAGTGGATTTTGTTCGATGCATTATTACAGGACTAACAGTAGATCCAAATTTCAATCATTAATCGCTTGAGCACTTCTAATAAGAATGCGAGGTGCACACTGCATTCTCTTTCTAGGAGTGTGTTTGTTATCAGAAAATGCGCCGAACATCCGTTCTAATGCGATTAATGCTTATGAGAAACTTCAAGGAAAACACTCTACTTGATTAGAACGTATTGATTATTTCTGACGTGGAAGGTGAAAAATAGAAACGTAAGGCTTATACTGTGAAACAAAAGTATACAACATCACAAGATACAGCGATAACAAACGTTCACCTGTGGTTTAGCAGGGAAGTGAACCTCGTTGGCCTTCAAAATAGTATTCTCTTCAAGAATCTTTTGTTGAGTCTGATCATTTCCAAACGGCTGAGATAAGAAGAATAAACTCAAACGAATGTAAATAATACAACTCCACTCATACCTTCTTCCCATAAATACACTGGTAAAAAATAACACCAACACTCCATACATCTACTTTGGAACTAATCTTTGGAGGAGCATGACTAACGACAAATGTTTCTGGCGGGAGATACCTAAAAACCAGGAGCTTCATACGCTGTGTATGAGAAGGAAAGTGACACTTACCAGTAAGTACCAGCAAACTGCGATGTTAATTCAATACTATCATCATCAGACGAGCCTTCCATGATCTTGGAAAGTCCAAAATCTGTAATCTTGATGGCTCCACAAGTTGTACCCGACTCCAATAAAATGTTTGCTGGTTTCAGATCGTAATGAATTATTGGAGGTTTCTTCTCATTAAGATACACCAGCGCCGACACCACCTTAAATATGGTACTAAGTTCGTATAATAGAGGCAAAGGTGAAATACCTGCATGATTATACTTCGCGCTTCTTTCTCTGATATGCATTTGTTCTGCTTGAGGTAGAAATCCAAGTCATTACCCGTGCAGTACTCAAGAACGGTGCAGAAAGAGTGATTGTCAATGGTGAACAGATCGAATAACTTCACAATGCGACAATGATCGAGAGTTTTATGAATGTCTTTCTCTCGCATTGCATGCTTCACGTAGTTTGCCTAAACCAAAAGATGGGTCATTATCCGTGAAAATTACCAATTTTTCACAAATCATCTACCAATACCAAACGAATGACACCACAATGCAGAAAGAATTTAGTATGTAATGAGAAGGAGATCAGATGATAGATAAAAACACCAAATTAGTACCTTCTTTTCCTCTTTCCATTCCTTATTCACGTGATGGATCTTGCAGGCTACAAATCGATTCTCCTCAAGGTCGAAAGCACGCCAGACCTCACTGAAACATAATGCATGAAGATAGAGCAAAACGAATTCAGTGCATATAGTATTGTGAATATGCCCATTTCTGCTAATAACGCTTTGAAAACTATTCTTGTTTTACTTCAAATAATTTTTAAAACGTTGCACTTCAATTTCTTTGTTACCGGCATCATTTGAGGAAATATGCAGTGAACAAGCCTACAAACTCCCCAATGCCTCCTTTGGTCTATTGATGTAAATACTTCGTAGGATTTTCGACTATGCCGCCAGAACATCCTCATTTCAACGACGGCCACTACCTTTTTTGCAATCAATATCCATGAGACGCATCGGTGCGAGTCTGCACTTACGAGGCGACCGTCGGACAAACAAACAAAAACGCAAGAAGTATGACGTTGGGCGCGATACATCCTAATCGAACCACTACAGCCCTTACAATTAGCAAACAAAACCTCTCAATATCTGTTCATACCCTGATACTCAAAAATAAGTGGGCGGCGATTTGAAATGTGGAGTACATGTGACTTCAACAATGCGCAATCAATACCACTGCGATGCAAAGCGAAGTCGATTGAAACAATGTCGCTTGCTCGCTGACATCACTGTGCAATAAGAGGTTCATCGCGAGGATGATTGTACCAGACGAAAGAGGAGCAAGGAAAAAAGAAGCCGAAATGATTTGATCATAGAATGAATATTTGGAAAAAAAATCAAGCATGAAAAAGTCTTAGACAATTAGCAAAGTGATGATACAAAACTTGCTTACCTGAAACCACCCTTCCCAAGCAACGAGAGCAACAAATAGCGCTTATTGAGCATCTCATGATCTTTGTAACGTGAGTCTCTTTCGTTGCTTGCTCTCTTCAATTCTCGCAGATGCAACTGGCGCTCCCTATCCAACTTTTCTTTCTCGGCAAGCACTTCCAACTCTTCCTTTTTCATGTGCTCACGACGTAACTTGTATATCTCATCCTAAATTCGAAAGTATGGAATGAACTTAAACATCTACTAAGGAAAGATATCGACCACAAAAAATTAAAAAAATCACAAAAAATCCAGAAAATAAAAACTTGGAGGACGTACCAGTTCTATATATTCCTGATAATTAATTTCCTTTGGTTCTTCGGGACGTCGAAATACTGCATCATCTCCCGAAGATGTAGAAGGCAATGACCCATCAGTTTGGATTGCTGCTAATTGGGCGGATAGAGAATTTGCAGCTCTGAAAATTGAAAAAGGTAAAATTTCAAGAACGATCAGTTACTGACGTAAACGTTTGCGTGACATACCGTTTTGGCGTACTTCCCTCCTTTGCAATTCCTACTGGCTTTCTCTTTTTGAGAAGCGCAGAAGCATTCGCAATCTCATTCCTTTCATTGGCTATCTGTTGCATCTTTTTATCAAGCTCTTCCTGAGCCCAACCGTCAACCTAAACATGTCTATCTTTTGCAAGAATCCGAAATTCTATCTACATTGCACAAAAGAATGGTGAAGAAGACCTACCCAAACTTCACGGAACGAGTCGCCATGACGAACTAACTTGTATTGGCCTATTCGTGGTGTATTCTCCGTCGTCTGAAAGCCGTACTTTAGGATAATTTATGTCGAAAATAACAAACATTTTTACAAACTGTGACTCAGTTTACCTTATCTCGAACAGCTTTCCGCTCCATAGTATTTTTTTCAATAAGTATTCTCTTCAAAGCTTCCTTTGCTGATTCATTCTTTCGTCGTTCATTGGCCGTCTTGAAATGAACGATTTGTGACATAATCAAATTGTAATCGATCTCACCTTATTTTGTTCCTCAATAAGCTGATTTCTCAACTCCTGGATCAAACGATCTCGTTTCTCTATCTCTTCGGGTGGAGCTAAGCTGAGCTCCTGAATGCAAAGATAGATCAAAACAATAAAGAGCTTGATATAAGAATATCAGAGAATCAAAATACAACTAAATATTACTTCTAAGTCAGTTTGGGTTTCACAGTCCGCTTTTAAGCGCACTGGAGGAGGAGCAGGAGGACTTTGGTTGGAGTTACTATTCGAATCTGACGAGTAGTGAGGATTCGTCGGCGTAATTCGGCTCATAGGAGTTGGAGATGTGGTCATCCAACGTTGCTATAATAGAGCACTTGCTTTTGAATCACATGAACCAAAACATGCGGATCTCACCACGCCTGGGCCCACGCCAGAGCTGACGTCATTCGCTGTCAAATAGTTCTCGCCATTTGAAGTCACAACCATCCGCTTTGGGCTAGTTTGTCCCTGGATAACATGAGAGTGCATGCAGACAATCATAATAATGCTGTTCGTTCTATTACCCTAATGAAATCTGTTATTTTTCTCTCGGACTTCGGCGTCTCGTCACCGCGACGACGTTTCCGGACGGACTTTTTCTCTGGTCCAGGTCGATTGCACCTAAAACTATGAGTCGATGAGGCCTGGAAACGGGAAAAAGATGGAATGGAAGTTTCGAGAACACGGTTCATATTGAGTGGTACAAAACAAACGTTTCAGAGGTTTCTTGTTAGTTGTGAGGGAACGAGTGAATAAAGGTACTGCAATAGATTCGCCATATAGATTGTGTGAAAAGGATGGATCTCTTTACGTCAATGAAACTGGGTGCAGGAATGGTCAAAAGTCTAATAACTTCTAAGCAATATGAGTCATGGACCCACTAAAAAAAGAACGCCGGTGATAAGCGAACTACATACTAAAAATAACGGAATGCAAGAAGCTCCAGAATGAGGATTGATCGAGCATAATGTTCTGACAGGATATATTGCAGGCATGCTTCGAAACAGTAAAACGGTGTAAAGCACGCTTACGTAAGCTACCGAATCATTCTAAATGAAAATGGAACGACAAGCAAAAGAAAAAATGCTGTACCTTCCAGGCGTTCCGTCCGGTTCTCTGTCCGATATCGAACCAGCACTGCTCAGATTGCTGCACTCATTCACAAAAGGAGCAGCAAAAACTCGCATTTGCCCATCGATGCTGTCTTCGTTGTACGGTTGCAAAGCAACATCAGTGGGACATAGGTTTGGAACAGACGCTGAACCGTCACCACCAGGCAGGTTTTGCGACTGAAATACACAGATGAAGACAACCAAAAAAAAACTCAGAAGAAAAAAAACTGATATTATTTTTTGTAAAACATGGAGAGCAGTTCCAAATTATAAACGACAAATCGATCGATAAGACAAAAACAGAAGATGTCGCAGTCTACGTTTGCAAGTCGAGCGATCGGCGCGTGACCGGGACGTAATAGTGAAAAAAACTCCACTCGAAATAAAAAAAGTGGAAGAGATGATAGTCTTTCAGAATCATCATGGTCAGACAGAAATCGTCACAAAACAAAAATTAGAGAGTGAAGACAATTAAAGGTGGAAAGTCCAAGAAATATTGCGTACCAATCACATCGCAAGTGACTAAGACTATCAATACCAACGAACAGAAGATGCGACGTGCAGTGCATAAACATAACATGGCGAAGAAAAAAAAGAACTAGAAAATCGATTCTACCTACGCCATGGGGGAAGGGGGAGAAAAAGAAGCAAAAATTTGTTATCGACTACATGAAGAGTACTGATCATGTAGGCACACTATGTTTTGAGGTGGAAGATAGGAAATAGATTCGAGATACACAAAAACTGACCGTTGCAGTGGGTAGCGTCCTCGAAGCTCTGGGACCCGTGTTGAAGAGTTTTTGCTCCAATTGCTGATGATGAAGTTGATCAAAACGCTGCTGTTCACCGAAATCTAACGGGTCAGCCATGCTGGTTGTCATCTTACGAACTAGATCAGCATCTAGAAAATAGGATAATACGAGGATATCAATGCGAACGAACGGTCCGTGTGTGACGCGACGCACCAATCAACGGAAATCGGGCAAGTCCCGCCTCTCTTCAGGACTACCGAACGTTGAATACTGTTAGAAGTTGTAAAAGTAGTTCCTGGCTATTTGCTGCAAAACTGACAATGGATGACGAAACGACAACGACTAGTGGCGACTTGTGCACAACTAGAGGAAATTTAAAAATGCGCAAAAATCAATATGCCACACTTCTACACATGACATCAAAAAACAGCGGTCGATACGCACGCGCAGGTCGTGAGCGAGCCATGCCGCCGTTTCGTGCGCCCTCTACGGATTATCCTACTGTAGGTGGTGGCAAGCTGGCATTTTGCCAGTTTCATTCATCGGTCGTTTTCGCTTGAGTTCACAGGTGGGAGGTGCTGTTACAGCAGGACTTGTAACTATTATTACATTCCTACAACCTGATTGCAGGTGTGCAGTGTGAATTTTCTACTGTACTTTTTTCCAGCTTATCGTAGTGCTTTTTCTGAATTTGTATTTTGAATTTCTCTGTTTGAACTGTTTCAATCTGGTTTCGATCTTTCTCAAAGTTTCTGGTGTCTCAAAGTTTCTGGTGTCACTTTCTGGTGTCGCACTTCATTTTTTTTACATTTTGAAATTTATGCACAATCGCCGTTAATACGGAGGTATAGACTGTGCCTTTTGTGTTTCCATGCATGTTGTGCTCTTTAAACTTCCATTCTGGTATTATGAAACTAAAGGGCTCGAATTTGCTTTGCACACATTGTGTAAACAAGTTTGATTCGTTTTTGAACAAGTTTAGACTTGTGGCCTGTCTCATTGCAATCATTTATTATCTGGACACAGGAAAGAACAAGTTTGAGCTTGTTTAGACAATGTGTGCAAAGCGTATGCGAGCCTCCTTGTCTCAGATTAGATGAAACCTTTTATGGTGCATCCCCAAGAATTGTTCCCATATGCACCATCAACGTGACTGTCTTTTGATCATTTTGACATGTCAACTTCGAATAAGCGCCTTAAATTTGCTGGAGTTAACATGTTAGAACGACCGAAAGGATATAGGAACAATTTTGGGGGATGCACGATAGATTTTTTTGAAAATTTCTGCTGATCATTGCTGATGAAAAACTAATGTAAAAGCAAATTTGCAGATGTCACGCCAAAGCAAAAGGGCGGAGCGGCCGCAGAGTTCGCGAGATCAGCGCCTTCTCGCTTCTATACAAAGCACACTTCAAGGCGGATCCCCAACACAGACACAACACTCACGACGAGAAAGATCAAGAAAGGCAGCTGAACCGGTCGAGGTGCTCAAACAAATCTAATTGAATGTATATTTTTTTAAACCACCACGGACAATCACCACCAATTAAATGATGTTCTAGGAACTGAACGATTTGGACAGTATCATCACGCAGATAACCGATCTCAAGATTCGGGCAGACCGATCAGCTATCCAAATAAGTAATCTTCGATTACTTACATTCCAGTTATGCTGGGTCAAGCGAACTTATTTTTAGAAAGGAACATATCGGCTTGTGGCTTTCTGGCTCGGATGAATGAAGATGAATGGACGGAGATGTGCAAAAGCCTTATCACTGCTGCTTTGACAGATGGGGAGACGGATTTTGTGGTCGATTTATTCATATCGCTCTTAGGTCAGCAATCCTTTTGTATCGTCTTTTTTCCAGTGTGCTTTAAGGGCCGGTCTTACATTACGCGATATCGCCTCGCGATTCACCCAGCAAGACAACTGGTACGAGTTCATCGAATGCAGATCATGTTGCATTCCGGTTGTGATTGTTTTCCGGCACGACTTAGGTACTAACTTTCACAACCGACAAGATGATCTGCATGCAATGAACTCGTAACACTTGTCTTCTTGTCGGAATCGGGAGGCGATGATATCGCGTGATGTATGCCTCGGCCCTTTAGAGTAGTCATATCTTTGATTTATCGACTTTTATACCATCTCAGTATTCGTACTTTCTGCATTCTTAGCTGTTTCTCTTGTCCATCGCCATTGTTTATTTATCTCACGGCATGTTAGCTCGAAGGTAGCAAGTGATTCCACCCTGAAAGTGTAGGCTCTATCTCTCCGCATACCGGATTTGCTTGTCATAGCAAAGTCAGAAAGGCGCTATCGGTTGGAATCTGATCGAAATACAAGCCCTCTAAACTTTCATGTTTGAGTACAATTGCCCTCTTGCCGTCAATTTATATATAGCTGCTTTAGCACACCGTGCGTTATAAAACCAAAACATAAAATGGCTTGTAATTTTGGGGGAAGCGAGGGGTTGTAGGCAGTTATTACAAAGTTTCTTGTTTTTTTTCAAGCGCAAAATGATTATATAAAAATGCCATGTAGACTTTGATTGTCAAAGATTTGTACTGACGGTAACGCTTCTTCTATGAGTATGAGACGAAACCCGTAAAAAAGCCTTGCTATGGGAAGTAACTGAGTATGTGTTAGGATTGTGAGGTTCCGCATAAGACAGTGAGATGATAAACTTACAGGCACCGTCCACCCAAAGTGAGGATTCACGATATTCAATGGCACACTAATGTGGGCCCCCACACTAGGCCAACCCCCAAGTTTCCCCGCAAAAGATTGCTTCCGGAGCGAGAAATCCGCTCTGGAATACGTGATACGTGATCCAAAGGTGGTCACTCCGCCCATTTTGCAGCTTTGGGGGCAGCGGCGCTGATATACGCCGGGCGATAACCGCGCCGCAGCCCTGCAAAATGCACCTTCACCCGTCCTGCTTTCTCCAAAACAGGGGTTTTTGGGATTCTCGACTTCATATTCGAAATCAGGGTCTTCAGAAGGCCCGGAATCGACAAAAACATGGAAGTCGAGAATTTGGGTGGACGGTGCCTTTACGGGGAGAGGCCAACAAGCGTAAGTTCAAAAGCCCTTGTGCAGAGATGTCAATTGTAAACATGCCCCAGCTATTGTCCACCAAGATCCATTCTCCTACGAAATGTTCATCTAGCAAGCAGAACCTATCTAGCGAAAATTTCAGATCCTTGTTTTTTTTCGTGCGTTGTTTGGGTACGCCTTTTGTTTTTCACTGATTTTAGTTTACTCTTTATCCACAATTTTCAATACCTTTTCGAGGGCACGGTTTCTAATTTTAACTTTACGCTAGGTAAGAAAATTCTTTGAGCATCGTCATCTGCAGATGTATAAAGTGCAACTACTGTAAAAAAACAGTCACCTTCCCAAAACGTTTTAGTTCTATCGTACTGCTCGTATAAGGTGATGCTCTCATCCTCTGATAGATTTTACATAAGTCCTACTGACTTTTGCAGAGTACGACCTTTTCTGCGAAGTGATGTGTACTGAACTCATGACTCTATGTTCGGCATTTGTAATGGATGGTCCAAGTGGGATCGGCAACATTCCGTCTTTTCTTGGCGCCATACTTTGTGCTAATTGGCCGCGACACATCTCTAAAGTGAGTTTCATAATTGAATCGAAATTTGTTTTCATGAAGGTTTTTTAGGCCATAGACACAATAAATCCAATCCTATACACCACTGTCTCCGTTATTAAAGGCTGGCTTCTTGTTTTGGAGGAGGACAATGAGGTTGGATGAGTTAGGCTTTGCTATGTTTTCCTCTTCTGTAGAATTACTAACTGATTGGAGTTTTTTGATCCTTTCAAGACCTTGCCCTGAAACGCATTGCACAAATATTTTGTTGGAAAATTTACAAGGGAAAATAGCTGGTTCAAAGGAGAAAGCGTGGGGTAGCTCTATGTGCGCAGTAGCAAGTGCGTCATGTTCGCTGAATAAACATGACGACAAGCTCTAGGCGGATTGGGCTGTTGTAATTCTTTAGTAGAATTTTTTACTCTTGCACATAAGGGAATGTACAATTCAAATCTTTTTTAGGCTGTCGCAAAACTGGCGAACTTGAGCGTAGCCAGCGATGATAATGCTGAAGAAAACGGGACATCGGTCAGTACATCAGAAAGGGAGGATCCTGAGATCGTGAACAGGTGTTGTTAGTGAAATGGACATAGACAAATAAATAACTAACCAGTGAATTTCAGGTGTGCACATTCGATTTGCCTGCTGTGTGAATCGGCGCAGAGGTCTTTGTGGATGAAGTGGCCAGAGCTATGCGATGAAATTTACTGCGTGATTAAGCCATGCATCACTCACAACCAGATTATTACGGGGTGAGTTTGCTTTCGCTTTGGTTTTTGGTTACATGATGTCTGAAGGTCCTGTCTGCTTACGGTTTGAACATTTTTCATTTTCTGTTGTCATCAGACCTTCGAGGTAGGCTTATGTTTCCATCTGCGCCTCATTTGTTTTTATATTGCTTCACAAGTTTATAGTTTCGTTCGATAGAGGTGATGGATCTTCTTTGATTTTGTTCTGTTTCCAAGTATTTTGTTTAGTTGGAACCCTCCAAATAAGCAGCTGCTCTTTTTTCGCTCTTTCCAGCTGAAATAGCAAATCAAAATGTGAGCATTATTCAAGGCCCCACAAAATATATCCATGGTTTGAAGAGCATTTCTAATCATGCCCCATTCCACGCTGAGGATCACCTCATGCTTGCCCTTTAGAGAAGTCAAATCTGGCCTCTTACATACTTTGATGTCGTTGAATGCGTGGACTAGAACGAAAGCAGTCACGATGAAGAATTCACAAACGCAGACTGTTCAGAATATCTAGCGAATGCGACTTTAGTTAAATAACCTCATTACTTCAAATTTTAGTTGTCAGGATCTAATAAGCTACTTAGAGTTGAATGCATGGTTTTAGAAATTCTAGTCTTTTGTGCCATAACAGTCTCGCTAGGCTCATCGCCGTTTTAGCAGTTCTCCATTTATCTTGCTCAGCCACTCTGGTTTTTGTTAATGGTCTCGTTCCTAACTCTAACATTCGTTGAATATCATTTGCTTAGCGAGTACCTCTAGAGGCCACTATGGTCATTACTAGCAATAACCTTGCCTACCTATATAGCTTGAAGTTATTATTTCTCATATCACAGGTTGTACATATATTGTGAGCTATTTCGATTTCATTTTGTGCTTACACACTGTTAGGAATGTTCATTCTCTGATGCTAGGCGTGAATCTACCTGTGATTTTGCTTGTATCGTGTTGTTTTTATTGCTTGTACGTGTTCTCCGCGGTTGTCCCTGGATTTCTAATCATCGATCTGATCTAGCACTCCCTTGTTTGTCCTTAGGGCATGGTACTTATCTATCTGTTCGCTGTATATGAAAGTACCTCTTTCAGATTGTTTGGCTATGTATCTTGAGTCTCGGGATAAAGTTGACTAGTTTTGCTTTTGACACAGAAGATTTCGCAGCAGGAAATGCCATTTTATTATTTTGAAATAAAGAATCATAAGCATCCACGTACGACTATCCATAAATCTTGGCATAGTTGCAATCTTCTCGATAGTTGCTTGAGCGTAGTCCAAGATTGGTACAGATCTTTATCGCCCAGAATAACAGACTAACGTTTCGGCGAACTCGCCTTCTTCAGTGTCTAAAAAGTCGAAGACACATGAGTAAACTATCCGATCAAACACTTCGTCGACCACAGAGAGGAGCCCAACCCTGTAAGAAAAAGAACAGCCTCAACCAAAACCAAGATTAAGCTAGTGCTCACCTTAGCAGATGATAATTTGGTGGGTGCAGACCACTGGTGGTCTGTACCAATTTTGGTGGGTACCAAGTGATTAGGGGAAGATGAGGTTGCGGAATATAGATTTATTCGCACTGGCGTAGTTTAGTCGTGAAGAAGAGTGAGGTGTCCCGGTGTGAACCGGGGAGCAACCTCTAATACATTCGGAGGCTCCTTATATACGAAGGAAGGCGGAGCTGAAGCGAGTACAGGGTACAATGTACAGAAGTTGGTGCTTGAAAGGAGATGCCGCCGATTGGCTACACTCCTGGCGGACGGGTACCACTCTTGAGTGATTAGATACTCAAGAGTAAGTAGTTCACAATTTAGCCTAAGGAGATTCCGTAGGCTGTCTAAAATGTAGAGTTCATTGGTTGATGATACAGAAATCATCAACACCAATCTTGGACTACGCTCAAGCAACTATCGTATAGAATCATATATTTATATTTGATCTCACATTAAAGTAGTCGAATCTCGTCGCCACCAACAATGCAAATCCTATCACAGCAGCAGTTGTATCATTAACTGTACAATTAGACCAAAACATCATGAAGGATTATGCCTCGGTAAGATCGTGAGTAAATGAAATCAGTAAGCAGGGTATAAATTTTCGTAATTAAAAGTGTCCCCCATTACGATGTCAAAACAGTTGCGAATTACAAGAGAATATGAAAATAGGTGAAATCACACAGGATTAGTAAAAGCAACCATATTACATCTAAGGTTTGAAAAATGGGGCAAATTTGGATGCAAAAGGTTCGCACCAACCGGGAGTTGAACCCGGATCTGTACCGTGGGAGGGTACAATGATACCGCTACACCATTGGTGCTTGCATGGCTTTGCGTGACCAAACAGCTTTATCCTATGCATTTGTGAGTAATATGTGTAACCAGCGCTTTCTCTTCTTCCCTTGTTGCACAAGTCATCCATACTTACAGAGGAGGATGAAATTTTGGAACACAACCTGAATGTTGCAAGGGTGCGTAGTACACTTTGGAATATTCGAGAATACTTTCGAATAGTCAAATAGCCGAATATATTCGAAAATCAAAAATATCGAATAATCGAATTTCGAGTATTTTCAAAAACACAAAAGGTCGAATCGTATATCGAATTTCGAAAAACAAAAATGTCAACTGAGTATCAAATAGTTTCGAAATAGGGAAATCGTCGAATAACCGAATATCGAATATATTCAAAATGAAAAGAATCCGAATAGTCGAATATATTTGAGAAAAAATCCGAATAAACGAATATTCTGCATCGATTGTGTCGAATATTCGAACAAATCTTGATCGAATTAGCACAGTGAAGGACTCCATGCAGTGGGCAACTTGGACAACAAACGATGTTTGCTGATATAGCAGTCAAAATGGTGACTGTCATGTAGTTATCCGATTACACGTAACTGTCGAATAATGGAATAACTTTTGAAAATAATTATTCGAATGTTCGAATATTTTCAAAATCGAAATTTCCAAATAACCGAATAATCGAAATTAACAAATTTCGAATAAGCGAATATCGAATACATTTGAAGTTTGAAATTTTCGATTAATCGAATTTCGAATAAAATTTATTCGATTACTTTATTCGATTGCTCGAATATTTATTCGATTAGATCCAAAGTATAGTGCGTAGCGAGTAGTACCCGGACAGCCGAACTGCTTCCGCAGCCAGCCGCCGGAGCTGCTGGCAAAGCCGCTGCAGCTGGTACAGTAATTACGCTAGTCGTCCATAAGTGTTCCTTAACTCGCACTTCTTCGAGCTGAGGTGCGATATCAGCCTCAAGGATAGTCTGATATCCTCAATATCTAGTAAGTTATTTTGAACAGCAAAGCTGAATGTCTGTTTTCTGTATGTCTGTCTGTATGTGTGTACGTATGTTCCGAACAGAAAATTTTACTTCTGATTTGATCCGGACCAAACTTGGCACTACACTTCGGGCGGGGCGGGTGTCGTAGGCTACTTTTCGTTCTCGATCGATATCGATTTTATCGAATTTTATCGATTTTTTCTGCAGAGTTCACCTACGGGCTGGGAGATTGATATGGATTTCTTCAAAGTTTGCTAGCTATTTACTCCCTCACAGCAAAAGACTTTCTGCACTTTTCGGCTGCTTCTAGAAACTAGGTAAGCTGCTCTATCGCTTGATGCCTACGGGAGCGCCCCATCTACATGAAGCATTGTTGCAAACTTATATAGACCCTTCCGCAGAACGGAAGTGAAGACCTCAGGTCAACGCGAAACTCAGCTCAGATAGGCAATATGGCATGCAGGTTGCAGTACTAACGCAAAACTCGCTTTCTAAGGTGCTGCTGTAGATTTACGGTAAATTGATAATTTCTAGACCTTGCATATTCCCGAAATTTACCACTCTTTCTCTCGGCTTTGAAGAAAAGCCTTCAAGTGGTTTTCCATTTAGGATGTTATGTAGGCACAGCTCTACTGAAAAACACTTATCAAAACTTTTTATGTGCAATGTGCGTTGCGATATGCTATGGTGAAAGCACGTGCTCAGAAAAATACTATGTCTACATACGAAGCTATATCGCATAAGTGCTAGGTAATAAAATCAATTGTATTTACAGCATGACGTCATAATGAATACTACTCTGTGGAACAGGAAATAACCTTAAGATCACAACTGTCGATCTTGATAAATTGTATATCTAAACGATATCTACCTTCCCTAGCTGCTGAACTCTCTGAGAGAAGTGATGAGCTTTTGAAAGTGTAGAGTCATTGAGCTACGTCTACATATTGCTTTAAAGATCAATTCGAAAGACCATAATGGTTCATGATGCTGTGTGTACTCACTACAAAAAAGCAAAAATTTTATTGGATACATAATGAAGGATCCTTGTACCGCCATTTGATGCGACACTAATTGTTTGCGAAGCTTGGAGACGCCTATAACTTGCATAAGGGAGCCGTTCAGTGAATAAGGAAAGTAGATTAAGAATCAGCTCACCAAGGCGCATTTGATGACATCTTCTCGTTTCAAATGGCCACTGATCTTTCTGCTCAGAACGAGTAACATCTGAAAGCAACAATAAGCAACGTTTCGAACGCAATCAAAATGACTTTACATCGCAGATCCCTGCGCACTATGCCTTGAGCATCAAATGAATGCAATTACGGCAACAAGCGCAGCAGAAATACCCTGCGCTGAGCTTAGAACAAACGATCAAAGTTCAAAGTGACTCTTTCCCATACTCCAATAGTGTCCGTACGATGTGCCATCAGCAGCAGATCAATGGCGATGTTGTAATCAGCACACTGACGAATTTAGCCAAGCCAAGCAAAAATTACTGCCTACCGTATACCTACAATACATCGACAGGTTGTGGCACTTCTATACACCATATGATGCGTTTCGCCGAGCTGAATCGAACGGTGTCCTCGAGAATTCGTCCATTCTGAAGCGAGATATGGCGATGCGACGCGGATTCCGACGGACTCTAGCGATGTGCGGCGCACTCCGCTGCACTCTAGTGGACTGCGCCGTACTCCGGCGCACTGCAGCGCACTCCGGCATTTGACGATTTGTGAGCGGTATTGTATTGCAAAACTTCAAAAAAAAAAGAATTCACCAAACAGTACCGGAAATTTGGGTAGACTTAAAAGACTTTGGATAGAAACAGCTAGGAGTGCGTGTATAGCTAAAACGTTATATCGGACTCAAATGTGATTTACCAATCTGTCCTGTTCTGTATGTTCTTAAAAACACACGAAATACCTACCGACTTGCTGACTACGGAAGATCAACGAACTTCAAAGTCAAACCTATCATAAGCAATGTCGGAGGCCCTACAGACATGATCCGTGGCTACTCAATATTATTCTTACACAACTGTTGCAATATGTCCCTGCGCGCTAAGACTGATGCCCTGCTTAAGCGCCGGTCAGGAAGTATTTTAAACAAATTAGGGGCCTTGAAATGGGGCAACGCTTGGCACCTGCGTTATCTATAACCTTCATGTCAAAAGTAGAAAACTGCATTTTAGCCCGCAGGCCCATTCTCTACTGTCGCTACATCGATAGTATTCTCATTGTTTGTTCGACATAGACAGAGATGAATGTCTGTTTCGATTTGCTTAATGAGCAATCAGCCAACATAAGATTTACTTGGGAAAAGCCAAAGGATGAGTAGCTTCCGTTCCTCAATAAGAAGAAAGATAGATTTCTATATCTTTTACTCCGTTTCGTCCTTTTCCTTAGACGGAGTTCTGAGATCTAGACCCTCTCCGGGACTCTCAATGTTCAGATAAACTTGAACAAAGGAGAGTACAGGACCAGCTGGTACAGGAAGCCCAGTAACAAAAATATCCTTGTACACTACTCTTCTGCGCACCAGAGGTGCGATAGGTGAAGCCGGAATTTCCACCGTTATAAATCTGGTATTTGAATATATCGGCAACTGAGACTTCATAATTTGGATTCTCCTCTTCAAGAGCTTTCAGATGATATATAATACGTGGGGGTTTCGCGCCTCTCGCGGCATATGCCCGGGGGTGGAGACTTTTCAGACAAGCTCGGCCTCCAGCCAATACATTAACATGGGCGAGGTGGAGACTTTGATATGAAAAGTCTCCACCCAGGGTTGAAGCTGCAAAAATCATCGAACCCTCCACATGTTTTACA